CCCCCCCCCTTGCTGTAAAGGGACTTTGCCGTCAAGCTCTCCAGAACCAAGACTGTTGATATGGTGGTTGCCTAGCAACATAAAAAAGCACAGCGCACTGCTCTTTCCTAAAGTCAACAAAAAGGCAGTGCTGTGTGCCTTGCCTTTTCAGAACTGAAAAGTGTGCTCAGTGTTGACTTATAATCTTTTTTATATTTAGGACCCCTTGAATGTAGGTTAGACTAAGTTTATAAGAATAAGGCTAGCTATTTTTGCCCATTTTGTATCAATCCGTAATATTAAAGGAACCATGACATTCAAACTGTTGAACATTGCTGCACTCCTAACAGTTTCATGTATTGCTAATTCTCTAAATATGTAAACAGGGTTCCCATTCTTTCGTGAGCAGCAAATTTAAGGACTTTCAAAGGCTTTTAAGAGCACCAATAAATTCAAATCAAGCACTATTTCAGTTCCCCCAGGAGTAGTAGAGCCATTAAAATCCTTATTAAACTTTACATTAAAATATCAGTGTAGTCATGCTGTTTTAAATGTGTCGTTATAAGAAAAAGTTTTTTAGAAATGTTCAAAGAACTTTAGTAAAATTAGTACTCAATACTGGTAATATTCAAACATGATTTCTGAATTATGGATAAATTGTGCATTATTTTTCCATTTTTTTTTTCAAGATTTAAATGGAAGATTTTTTAATTAATTAATTGGTTTCTGAATTATGGAGAAATGTGCATTTATTTTTCATTTTTCTTTTACAAGATTTAAATGGAAGATTTTTTAAATTAAGAATGTTCCTTTTTTAGTTCTGTTTTTGACAGCAGTACAGTACAATTGCTAAAATAACCCCATTAACAGATTTCATTTTAAATTGAATTCAAGCACTTTCAAGGACCTATGTGTGTTTACAAAGTACTTTGGAATACTTTTACAGGTCTTGAATCCATATGTCTGAAATTCAGTAACTGTAAAGTGTAACATCATGTTGACATTTGCGATATGAGAATCAGGACTGTAGTTTAGAGGGTGTAATACTGACCCGGACGGTGTCCAACTCTTTGTTCTTCTGCATCAACTGTTTCTCAAGCTCCACAATTTTAGACATGGCCTCGTTCTCCGTTTCTAAGAGTTTATCGCTCATCTGCCAGCATAAGAAAGAGATTCTTGGATTAGGATACAATGGACTTGTGACTCTAAATATGTGGATTAAAAAAAATAATCTTTTGCTAACATGTGATAGATTTTCCTCCAGTTCCTCCACACGTTCCAGGGCAGCGTTTTTGGTCTCTGCGTCCTCTAGAAGCGTCCCCACGTCAAACAGGTTATCCAAATAAGCCTGGATCTGCACTTTGAGTTTATCGCTCTCCGTATGCTTCAGCCTCTGCGGACAAAACACAAACCCCAGGGAAGTGAGTTTCTGAGGGAGCGTGAATGCAAGATACTTTGAAAAAGTTCATACCTCCAAATAGTCGTCCAGAGAGAGTTTGGTGAAGTCATACTGGAGGTGAACTCTGAAATTCATGTCCTCTACCGAGTGCACCACAATATTGATGAACTGCATGCACGCCACCTGAGTCACCAACAGAGGATGATGATGAGATCTGACATCACTAGCGGAGAGAGCTTTTCATTTTAAAATAGGCACTTCAGAAGAGACGGGAAGGGAAAGTAGACCCACCATGAAATCAATGTTGTTGTCTTCGTTTTTGAAGTGTTCCATCAGTTTCTCAAACCGCTGGGTTTCTGAGCAGACCTGAGGAACACAAAAGACAGTCAAATTGGAAAAGAAAATCAAATTTCCACTGATCTTTTAATATATTACAGGCATAGTAGGCTGTAACGTGTTCCACAGTAATGTGTTGCTGTATTATAATTACATTTTTGAGGAGCGCAGTAATGTAACGAATTACATTTTAAATTTGCATCATTTGATTAAAGTTATTAAAGTCAGTGTATATATATATATATATATATATATATATATATATATATATATATATGTATATTAGGGCTGTGCAATTAATCGAAAATCCGATTTCGATTATGTCTTCTAACGATTATGAAAAACCATTAATCGACAACGAAACAATTGTTCCATTATTTACCGCCCCCTGTCCAGTTGTCCTCACTTGTTGCTCTAAAAAGCGCGAAAGACCGCATGCTTATGTGCGTGTGTGTGCGGCGCGCAGACAGTCAGAAGCATGCAGTCTGCACTTGGTCTCATTCGCACATTGTGACGAGCAGAGAGCACACACATCTAAAGTCATAAACGTGAGCGCTTTAATGTTCAAATAGGTGTCAAAACGTGTTTAGTGATTATTCATATTAACCCTCAGTTTGTAATAAACAAACAAGTTGAGAATCAAAAGACACGTGAAAGCGAAACCATTAAAGTGACAGAGAACAGCTGTTTTATCATGATTAATAAAACAACGAGAAAATCCCTCTTTGCTCTTGACTGAACACTTTTGTAGCTAGTGTTTTTCTTACGGTGAAGATGCTAAAAACACAGTTTGTTTAATATTTTTATTCTATTGTATTTATTTCTCTTTCCTTTGCAGGGAGGAAAATAATATATGCAGTTGAAGTCAGAATTATTAGCTCTCCTGAATATTAGCAACCTTTTTCCCCCAATTTCTGTTTAATGGAAAGAAGATTTCTGAACACAACAGTTTTAATCATTCATTTCTAATAACCGATTAATTTTATCTTTGCAATGATGACAGCTCATAATATTTTAGTAGATATTTTTTTAAATACAAACATTTAAATTCAAAGTGTGAGTCAAATGCTTAATTAGGGTTATTAGGCAAGTCATTATATGACAGTAGTTTCTTCTGCAGACAATCAAAAATATATATTGCCTAAAGGGGCTAATAATATTGACCTTAAAAGAGGTTTCAAAATATTTAAATCTGCTTTTATTCTAGCCAAAACAAAACAAATAAGCCTTTCTCCAGAAGAAAAATATTAGAGGAAATACTGTTAAAATTCCTTGCTCTGATAAACACCATTTGGGAAATATTTATTTAAAAAAATTCTCAGGAGTGCTAATAATTTTGACTAATAATCTAAATATATTATTAATAAAACTAATAATCGTTTGGAATAATCGTGATTACAATTATGACCAAAATAATCGTGATTATGATTTTTCCCAAAATCCAGCAGCCCTAATATATATATATATATATATACATACTACATTTTGAGGTCAAAAATCTGTTTCACTACCCATAAAACATAATTTTATTAAATATCTATGCATAAAATACAGTTTGCATTCACATCAGAGTTAAATAAAGTGAATGTAGAATATCTATTCTTACCTCTTTGAAATGGTCAAAAGCAGCAAGGATGATCTCGTGTCCTCCTCTGACCAAACACACAGCGGCCAGCAGCTCCAGAACCAAAGCTTTGGTCCTGCACAAAGGAACACTTATATCAAGAAACCAAACCTGCACAAAATACTTAGTGATTGATAAAACATTCCAATCAAAAATTAAAGAACCATGATATAACCCATCATGTAATCTCCAAAGGCCAGGTCAAATGGTCCTACCGTTATTATGGTCGACAAATTTCAGAACAATTATCCCCCTGAACAAGGAGCTATTCATAAAAGTTCTGTTAAACGGCTTGGAAAGCTTTTGTATCACAGTCTTGGGGAGTGTCTCAGTTACAAACCCTTCTCTCCTGTTGACCTTAATCAGCACAACCGACAGACAATTCATCTATTTATAGCTAAAGTTTCCGAAGAACAGCCCTTCCAAAAAAGCGGTTTGATCAAACGTAATGGCTTTAGGGTTTGGATGAAAGCCTTGACAGATAAGAGGAGTTCTCATCAACCATTCGAGAGCTTTAAACACAGAAATCGAAGAATTGTTTGAAACCCGTGGTTTCATTTTTCACATTTACAATGATTAGGATAAATTATGTGGACTGAAACCTTGAATGTGAAAATCCGCCACTCTTCAGAAAAGAAAACTGTTTTGAACTCTTAGTGTGGTTTTATATATGTTCAGACGTATAAATTTGTCTGTATATTATTAGCAATTTGCCAAATTAAAGCTGGAAGATGTGCTCAGCCTTATGCAGTTTGTCCATGATTAGAACAGCTGCATTTGAAGCAGTAAGTGCATCATAACTTTTTCACTAACGTAAAGTTAAAATGCTTTCCAGTGGCTACACAAGACCGTTCTGGCAATGACTAGCCAGCAAATGCTAGCTGAACTGCATTCAAAGTAGAACACTTTCCTACTATATACACTGTAAACCCTAATGTTGTCTTTACTTAAACAATCAAGTAAAGTTAATTGAACATAGGGCGAAGCAGAGGCGCAGTAGGTAGTGCTGTTGCCTCACAGCAAGAAGGTTGCTGGTTCGAGCCAAAGACATGCGGTACAGGTGAATTGGGTAGGCTAAATTGTCCGTAGTGTATGAGTGTGTGTGTGTAAATGTGTGTATGGATGTTTCCCAGAGATGGGTTGCGGCTGGAAGGGCATCCGCTGCGAAAAAACTTGCTGGATAAGTTGGCGGTTCATTACGCTGTGGCGACCCTGGATTAATAAAGGGACTCAGCCGACAAGAAAATGAATGAATGAATGAATGACTGAACATAACTTAAAATTTAGCATTTTGGTCCTATCACTTAAAAAAATGAGTTAATTTAACTTACGTACCATGAAAATGCATAAACTTAAGATTTCAAGTGTAGTGAGCTTAAAGTCATAATTAATCCTTTGAAATAGGACAGTAGGTCATTTTCACAGATGTAGTCTTGACTGTAAAATTCTAATACGTGCAACCTTTAAGTGCAAGGTATTTTCTTTAAATCAGAAAACAGATGGCTTCAGGTATAATTATTCCTCATATTGTGAATAAATGGCTACTTATTTTTTGTTTAAAATTGATTTAAACATTTTTAAAAGTATAATATTACACACATGCATGCACACACATGCATATATATATATATATATATATATTAGAGCTGCATGATTCTGGCTAAAATGAGAACCGCGTTTTTTTGGATTAATATAAAGATCACGATTCTCTCACGATTCTTTAGATGTAAAATAAAGCTTAATATGAGATTATAGTTTTTTCTCAAACATATGGCAAAACAACAGCATTAATATTATGTGTAGGTCTACTGGTTTCTATAAATAATAATATTCTACTTATAATAATTCTGATGTTGAGTTATGTTTGAGATATAGGCCTATGCTTGCAATCTGTCATTGAGAACATTATTAGACCATTTAATTCACTGGTAAAATCAACATTATATAGGCTAGAGTAGTTATACTGACACTGTAAACATTTATTTTCATGCACAACTGTGTGTTCGCTATGAAAGAAAAAACATATCAAATGCTTGTCGCAGTCATAACTCTGAAATGAGATATGATTATTTAAATGATGTGCACGCTTTCGGTTTCATTTTTAACTGCTAAGTGCTGTTCATACTTCGCGCGCGGCTCTCAAACGATTACTCTGTGCCACAAACTGAATATTATTTACAATTTTATTACCAGTTACTCACAGCATATGCAGGTTCTGTTTAATAAAGTAGATGCACGCGCGTCTATCATTTAGCGAATACATCATTATATGAAGACAAAAATGAAAATTTTGGGTGAATTATACCTTGTAAAAACAGTATTTGATTTATTTATTTTCAACATCATTTGGAGGTGTCCATATCGCTGAGCTACGTGTGTGAAATAATGAAAAGACTCGTGCAGCCGCCTCCTGAACTTGAAAATATGATTGGCAGAATCGTAGAAATGCTGGATTAAGATTGTCAAGGGGGTCGAATTGAATATTCTTTTTTCGATTAATTGAGCAGCTGTTATATATATATATATATATATATTAGTTCTATAACTACTACAATTACCATATCGGTCATTCTGACCATTCTCATATAAGACGTCATATTTATTTTCACATGTTCAATAGAGGTATCAAAAATAAGTTTTAAATGTGTTTTGAAAGTATTTGTTAGGATTCTGCCACTTCATACTTGTTAATTCTTGTTTTGGTGGTAGAGTCCAGACACTGTAGTCCTGTCTTGTCTAGTAAGCTGTGCTCAGCTCGAGTATTCTCAGGTTGAGCGTGCGCTCCTGCTTGACAAGGACATGTAGGGGCTCGGCATGCTCGGGATGCGCGCTCTCATCCTAGTGTTTGTTCTGTCTGCAGCATGCTGTTTCATTCTCAGCATCTCAGTCTGTTTGGTTTCAGTTTCGATTGGCGCTGGGATGGAACATGCACCTTGTATGTGTGAGTGCACAGTGAGAGTTTTTATTTATCGTGCACTTGTACCTTGCGTTCAGTCTTCTGTTGGTGTTGTGTTTAGCATGTGGTTCATGTGTACATGCGGCGCGTGCTTTAGTGTTGTTTCATGTGAACACGCAGTTAATGAGTGTTCTAGTCCCGTTTTGCGAAAGCAAGTCTTGTGTTGGTTCTTTGTGTCATGTGCTCTTCTGGCTATTGTTTAGTCCCATCCTCCTTGTTAACCAATTTTAGTTTATTCAGTTTACCTGTTTGTTTGTTAATGTTTCTCTTTATAGTCTTCTCGTCTACTGTTCTGTGCCAGTTTGTCAAACTTCATTATCCAGTCGTGTCTTGTTCTGTCCAGCCCTGATCCCAAACAGCCTGCCCAGTCAAACAGCCTGCCCAGTCATCAACTGTCGCCGAATTACAGTTCCAATTCAAAGTTCACATTTTGCCAAGTACAGATAAAATTCCCGGATGTTTACTTGCTCTGCCCCTTTGGCCAAGGATGTATCGAGAGGGGACTTGTGCGAACTTACGAAGCTCAGGTATCCCAAAATGCATTGCCGCGTAACCAGCGAAAGCTAATGGTGGAGGAGGAAAACTGAACGGTTTTAAAAATACTCCTTTACTGTGTCACAAAATAAAGTTTGAACAGTTTTTCAGGCGATAATGTAGTTGTTTTAAACTCGAACTCAGTTTATTCACAAAGATAGCGCGTCTTTGGCGATGTGCCTCAGCTTATGCTGACTCTGACTCCTAGCCTGCCCTAGCTTTACTTTGGCCAGTCAATTTCGGATGTACTGTTGGATCTCATCTCTTCATTGTAGTTAAAACATGATGTTTAATACATCTTGTGCATATCTACCGAACAGTTTTTGGTCTTTTAAATCTATTATTTGTACTCAGGTGTAATATATTGGCAGTGTTATTTTGCTGCCTTGTATAATTGTCTTTAAATATGTTACTGTGTTGTACGCTGTTTGTCTTTGTCTACCAAATTGCTTGTCGTTATCTTTATTTCCTATTACTCACATCTTGTTCTTTATACTTGTATAATGTCAAGTATAGTTTATTAAATCTGATAATCAAAGACACGAGTCTGTGTATAATAACCCATTTCACTTCACATTTATGATTATTTACTTTTATATTTTCCTAAATCAATTATTAATTATAGAGCCGTGCTTTATATAATTAAATTATTTTATTGTTATTGTACAGTGAAACAGATGAATCCATGGTGAGGTAAATGACATTATAAAGTACACTGCTGTTCCATTTGAAGAAGTACCCGACTTGTGTCTTTGTGTCCTCGGTAGTTCATTCTTCCAAGTGTAAACTTAGCAAGTCTGAACTTCCAAGGACACAAGTCCGAACTTTGCATACTTGGTATTAAGAAACAGCCTATATAGTAGGAAGTTGCTAGGCAACAGAGGCATGCTTATTTAAAGTCATGCAGAAAAGTAGCAGATAGTGAAATGAACGTGGCCATTTTGACCACTATAGTAGTTCTAGGTAGAAATAATCAGAAGTCTTTTGCGTTTTGTAATTTTAATAAAATAAAAATGTCAGAAGGAAATATACAGTTATGTAGTAAAAGTCATGAACTTAAAGATATATGTATTTTCATTCATTCATTTTCCTTTGACTTAATCCCTTATTTATCAGGGGTCACCACGGCGGAATAAACTGCCAACTATTCCGGCATATGTTTTACACAGTGTCAGCGGATGCCATTCCAGCTACACCACAGTACTGGGAAACACCCATACGCTCTCACATTTACAAACACTCTCACACTATGACCACTCTTGTTTCCCCAATTCGAGAATAGCGCTTCGCAACATGCAAACTTGACACAGAAACTCCTACTGGTTCAGCCAGGACTCAAACCAACAACCTTCTTGCTCTGAAACGACATTGCTAACTGAGCCACCGTGCCACACTTATGTGTGTTTTATTTCAAGAAAGTTATAAATTGCAAAAATTAAAAATGACTGCCTCTGTAGTTCTAGGGTTAAGTGGTTAAATGTTTGTAAAACCCATAAATAAATAATGACCATCAGACTGACAAATATGGAGATTAAATGTTCCCTTATTCGGACCACATATACTGGTGTGTGTCTGTGTGTGTGTGTGTGTGTTTGTGATTACCTGGGATTTTTGTTGTTAAGGCTTAGAGCAATTTCATTGACAGCATGCGGATGGGACATGACCATGTTGAAGCCATACTTCAGAGTGTGACAGACAAGAAAATACAAAAGAAGATTAAAATAAGTTTGAAATAAAAAAACACAATATAAAAAAATCATATTCTGTTTACCTGGTAGTTCATAATAGCTCTAAGACACATGATGCAGACGTGAACGTCATCTTTCTTACACACCAAGCGGGAATTCTTTAGAGTTCTGCGACTGGGCAAAGTATTGGACCTAAGAACAAAATATAATATTATGGGCTGTCTTGTAAAAATCTTTTCCAGTTTTCCCTGTAAACAAAAATCTCCTTGCTTTTGTGTGTGTGTATACCTTAAGGAGTGCCGTGTGGATCGTGGTATGCTGCTGCCGCTGACTGGTGATGGTAGATTACTGTCGCCATGCAGATCTTCTATAGACCTGCTCCAGGGAGTCTCTACAGAAATCTCACCTGTGGCGCTCTCTGCTACATCTCCATCAAACCTGGGGCAAAATAAAAGTGTTTAAAAGTTTATAAGAAATTCACAACAGCATCATTATATTCTGTCTGTTTATGTGAAAATTATTTTTAGTATGTGAAACACTGAATCCTCCCAACTCAATCATGATGAGAAAGTGTGCTTCAATCACATTTTAGGCTCCATCACAGTTAATAGAGTTATTTGTTACCTGTCAATGTAACAAATTACACTTGTCCTCTGAATTCATTTGACTGCTAATGCTACAAGGATGTCTTTTGATACTATAAAACCACTGTTCTGGGGTGTGTTGACGCAACAACCAACGATGTGACTCGCGGTTAAACTATCAAAGTATGATGCATGTTTGGGAAAAGATCGATGTAGTAATGAGTGTTTCTACCTAAGCTTTGCAATAGCATTTATAACCATGTCCACAACTTAAACTCTAAATTTAAGACTTATCCATTTAGCTAGGTATATTAGTAAATTCCCTATAGTCTGCTTCTAATTCTGCTATTTATTCTGTAGCGGGAGAACTATTGATTCTTTCTTTATTAGAACCTCTAACATTACTTAGATTTCTTTTGCTAACACCTTAGTTTCACTAAACTCTATCATGCACAGTTCCAGCCCTTGCTCAGATTCAACAGTTTACTAGTTATTATTACAGGGCACCTATTTTACCCCTTTTTCAAGATTTAAGATAAGACTTTTATGTCTCCAGAATGTGTGTGTAAAACTTCAGTTCAAAATACCCATCAGATTATTTATTATACCTTTTTAAGTTATCACATTGTAGCTGTTTTTGTTGCCTGACCCTTTAATGCAAATGAGCTAGTTCTCCCCGCCCACCATTCCCACGTGCGTCCTTTATGTACATAAACAGCGCAATGACAGATAAAAATGAAGCAGATTTCCCTTACTACAGTAGGAACTTTCCCAACTGCTATTTGATATCTTTGTTGTGGAGTTAATTCAAGCCTTTCTGCAACGATGAATCACACACAAAGTCGTTATAAAGTTCAAGTGCGTACACAAACACACACATGAAGTCCACAAACCGGGACTGAAGCTACTTTTTTTTTATAATTGTACTGACACTATGAGGCTGTGATGAAGAATTACATAGTGATTTTACTGTACTTATTACAAACATCCACTGTTTTAAAACGTTTTAAATGGTCACGAAACACCAAAACAGATATCGACAGTCATATTTGTGTCCTACGCTGCTAAAAACGCTATTAGGACACATATATTTCACTAAAAAGTGAAAATTGGTTGTTTTTGTGTTGTTTTAAGCAAATTCGTTCTTCCAGTTTGAAACAAATTTTTTAAGCTGCATCACGGCGATTAGATACTGGATGTCTGTACCTGCGAATGCATCATGACGTCAATAAATGTGCTGCATTAATTCATGAGAAAGACTTGGTTCAATCAGCAAGCTCTATTGTGTATGCAGTGCAACTTCATTAATACGCATGATTGCTTCGAAGACTGTATTTACCTGTTCCAGTGTTTAGATGGCAGAGAGACGCCGGGGTGTGTTGCCAAAACAAGTGGAAGAACGAGAATTTGGAGACATGGGTCGCCAGTGTTGCGTTTATTAAAGTGCTGTAGCGAAGATTTTGTTTTCATTCCCCCGCTATGAGAGTGCAGCTGAACTCACATGTGGATTACAGTGCATGCAACGTGTGACAGAAATGCGTTTGTAAGACACATTTTTACCCGAGAGCTTTTGGCATCTGTAAATGGTGAAATCCAGATTTGTCACTCGTCTCCTTTTAAAAAAGATTCGGTTTTTGCAGGATTTGGTAAGTGTGTGTGATCAGTGCCCTTTGTTTGTGCATTCAGATGGCAAAAAGTTCGTATCGTCAGCAGTACTCTTTCAGTTTTACATACCTTAGTCAAAATGATTTAGTTACTAAGATTACAGTATGTTAATATCACTGCAATATTACAGTCCAATATTATAGGCTGAAAGATCCGCTGTAAATGCTGCTCTCTGAATGTAAACATGTAAACACCTTAATCAAACTATTACCTTCGTGTAGGATTTTTGCTGCATTTTGTGACAGGATAGTCTATACCAGGGATGGGCAAACTTGATCCTCAAGGGCCGGTGTCCCTGCAGAGTTTTGTTCCAACTCTAATCAAACACACCTGCTTGTAGATTTCTAGTGATCTTGAAGACACTGATCAGCTTGTTCAGGTGTGTTTGATTAGTGTTGGAGCTAAACTGTGCAGGACACCGGCCCTCCAGGACCGAGTTTGCCCATCCCTGGTCTATACACACACACACACACACGTCTTTCTGACGATATGTTACATACCAAGTGCATCTAAGTTACCGAGAAATGCTGAGGTTTTTTTCTCCCATTTGCTGTGCAGTATTAAACATTCCATTAAAACTACACCCTTCCAGCAGTTCATCCTCGCATCCAATATCTAATTTTTCACGGAGGGGCAAGCGTGAAATGTTACTGAATGAAAGTGAAAGTGCCAAACGTCAGTTAAATTCGACAAATTAAGAATTTGGCAAATAATTTGATTACTGATGTCCATGTAAACACAGTCTCTGTCTTTCTCCCTGGCATCTATGTGTTTGTTTTGCCTCTCTGAAAATCAGCACATGCCCCAATGGAAAATCCCATTTTGATGCAAAATCTTCCCTCTTTCCCTCCCCCGACACTCCCACCTAAACCTAGCTGGACACACTCACTTTCCTGACTTTTTCCCAACTAGGGGTGTAAAAACACCCTGCTGAGACAGGGGGGTTTCGTGACCCTTTAAACTTGTAAAACTCATTCTTGACCACATTTGATGATGATTGATGATCACAGAGAGCTGAACAGATCTTTTAATCCCTGTTGCTTTGTGCATGTCCTGTCTTGTTGATATGATTATACGGGTTTCTACGCAGACATGTTAATACACGTCTGTCAATAAATTCGGTGGGCGGGGAAACCACACTCATACATCACGTTGTGGTGAGCCTCAAAATGTGAGGGATTTGGATCCTATTTCAACATCAGGAAATTGAAAAAAAGAGACTTATTGTCTTTACATCACCACAATATGACTATGGACACACTATACCGACAACACAGTTCTGTTCAAACAGCTTCCAAAAGTAGATTTTTATCATAGGTGCCCTTTAAGCAAAGATTTTCAGAATCTGGAAAAATGTATATGTTTTAAAGGGCCATGAAACCCCCTCGTTTCAGCAGGGTGTTTTCACACCTCTACTTTGGAAAAAGTCAAAAAAGTGGGCGTGTCCAGCTCTGTTTAGGGGGGAGTGTCGGAGGAACTAAAGTGGGAGGGTGTGGGAGGGTCTATTTAGGCACGCGCGAGTTTCAGAGTCAAAATAAACACACAGAAGAAAGTGATGGTGTTTAACCTACATGGACATCTGTAGTCGAATTATTTGCCAAATTATTAAATGTTGGACTTTAACAGCAGTTTGGCTCTTTCATTCAGGGAATTCATTCATGCCCCTCGCGTCAAACGAGATATTTGATTCGAGGAACTGCTCTAAGCGTGTATTTTTCATGCAATGTTTGAGACCGCACGGCGAATGAGTGAAAAAAAACCTCAGCATTTTCCGGAAACTTAGATGCACACGGCAGGTAGCGTCAGAAAGCCGCGTGTGTTTATTCCGGTCACAAAATGCGGTAAAAACCCTACACGAGGTTAAAGTTTGGTTGTGGTGCTAACATGTTTACACTCAGTGCAATAGTTAACTTAGTTCGATACGAACAAACTGATTAAACAAAGAGCACTGGTCGCTCACTTACCAAATCTGTAGAGACAGGACAATCACCAGCAACTAGAGCCTCGTCTTTATTAAGAGAAGACTACAAGCGAATCCGGATCTCTGCGTTTGCAGATGAGAACAGCTCTCAGGTAAACAATAATCCTCCTTAGACACGTAAGTTATTGTTGTCGAGCGTCGCGTACACTGTTAATCCACACGTGACTCCAGATGAGCTCTCACAGAGAGAAAATGAAAACAAAACTTAACTGCAGCAAACTATAAAAGCAACACTTCACGCTTGTTTTGCCAACACAACGTGGCGTCTCTGTCGTCTAAACACTGTGACAGTAATGAATATTAATAAAGTTGCACAATAGAGCGCGCTGATTGGTTTGAACCAAGCCTTACTCATGCATTAATGCATCACACTGTAAGACGTTATAAGACGCACTCTGGCACAGACACCCAGTATGCACGCTGGAATACAGGCTATTATGTCATGACCGTGACGCAGCTTCAAAAAATCGTTTCAAACCGGAAGTACGAATTTGCTTGAAATAACGCAAAAACAAAAATGTACACTTTTTAGTAAAATATAGGTGTCCTAAAAGTGTTTTTAGCAGTGTGGGACACATATACAACTGTCAACAGCTCAAAAAATGTGTTTTGGTGTTTCGTGACCCTTTAATATGTTTTAAGTACTATTTCAGACACAACGAATTCAATCAAACTAAATAATCACATTACAAGAGTTTCATACATCACTGTTTTCCATCTTGTCTGCGCAATGCACTTAAAATACACCTTTCACATTCCCACCCACCAAACCCTCCGTCAGAGCTAAATGAGGCAAACATAACTCATCACTCCTCTTTATTAGTCAGAAACAACACAAGCGAGCAGGGTTGACAATATTTTGGCAACAAAAGTCAACTGTTGTGACAACCCCTACAGATTTCAATGTGTTCTGAGATGGCAAGCGAAAACAAAGAGAGAGCAGGTATGACAAAAATCAATACTGACAAGAAAAGGAGCTACTTACGTGACAGCATACTGGGCAAACGACAGGTACTCCACCAGCACATCGAGCCCTTTGTTCTCCTCATTGAGAAACTCTCTCACCCACCTAAATGTAAAACAAAGCATTTAATAGTTTTCCTGATTGAGTAATTCAAAAGAAACCTTTCACAGTTCTGTGTGATGTGTATGTTGGCTCACCCGATGTGATTAGTCCTAAGAGATATCTCCAGCTCTCTGAGCACCTGAGTTGACTCCTGAACTCGTCTCCTAAATTTCTGTGTAAAAAAGATGAAGTAATGTTTATGTTTGAGCAAACATGAACTTCACTGGGGGCAAAATAATAATAGCTGGGTTCATCAAATGTATAAGGCTAAATGTGACCCTGGATTTTCAAACATTTGTATGGCATGAATGTGATTAATCTCTTTTGATGGAACCCCTTTGTAAATTTAAAAGGGTGGTTCACTACGATATCATATTTTAAACTTTAGTTGATGTGTAATGTAGCTGTGTAAACATAAACAACATCTCTGAATGTAATACGCTCAAAGTTCAATGCAAATGTAGACATTGGCTTTTACAGAGTTAGCTTAGCAAAACCTACAGCAAACAAAGTTTGGGGACTACAAAAAATGCATCCAGGTTAATAAGATTATAAACCCTTCAGGTTACTGCATACACCCTGAGCAGCAAAGGGGCGTGGGCAGATGCGCTGTAATGTTATATCAGAGAAAGCTTTATAGGTGCCCAAACACTGCTATTTCCACAGAGCTTCTTCTGTTTCTGTATTTGGGCTTCCAAATGACACGACACAAAGAGAGAAGTGCTTGCAATTTAATTATAATTATGTTCCAGAGAATAAAAAAAAGATAAAGCTCTAGTATTTGACAGAGGACAGCTTCCAGAATCTCTCTCAGTTCAGTGCTGGAATCGGCTAAAAACTCCTCAAAGATGGAGCAGCTCCAACCATAATAGATGAAGCTGTGGATTGTGAGCCACAACCTGTTTTTTTTTTGTTTTTTTTTGTTAAAATTGATCCAAAGTGTCTAGCGTTAAATCTATGTTGTAGCTACGATGTAAACAAGGATGTAAACAACAAAAATGCTGTTTGGTACAGCTAACAATTTAGCTACTAATTATTTTTTATCCATCAAACTGCTGTGAACACCCACAATCTTCACCAGTGCTGCAGTGTTACTGTATTCGGCCCTTTTCTCTGCATTTTACATCTCAAATAACAAACTCGCAAAAGATATGTGACCATTTCAAATTACTTACAAATGCTTATTCCGAATATATATGGAAGAGACTTGTCAGATTTTATTTTAGAGAGCAGGCATATGGTTTAGTGTCCTCTTCGTTTTCTGTCTGATTCAGGCTCAAACTATTACGGCTAACAGTTACACCGATTGACAGTATTTACATAGCAGAGGCACAGCACATTATTTTAGCTGACCAATCAAAGCCTCTTGAGGGCGAGCCTTCAGAGGAACTAGGAAATATGGTGGTTGTTTTTATGTCAGCTGAGTGCAGTATATAATCAAAGTAAGGTGAATGAAAAAATAATGTGAAAAAATGAAGCATAAGCACACTTTGCTTTGCACCCCATAAACACAACCAAGCCTTAAAAATACACGCTGGACTTTTTATATAAATAAAGGCCCTAATATGCTCACAACAGCATCTTTTTATTCTTATGAATTTAAAATAAAAACATTGAAGCAAGCAGATATACAGCATTAAATATGAAAAGCAAAAGTGTGGTTGTTGCAGTTTTCCGTAAACGTTGCTTAGACAAGTCCAAAAACCAAAAAAAATGAAATCAAATTTACATTGGCTTGTATTCAAATTGACTAACCAGCGTGTTCCTCAGATTTGTTTTAAGTACATTACTGCATTATGACTCATTAATAAGACTTCAGAAATAATTTTTTACTACTTTGTTAAATGATAAATGTGTGTAAATGATACATTTTTGAAATGCTACTGCAGTACTGTAACGCAAGTAGCGATCCTGTACCCAAAAATAAATGTCTTTTATCAATTATTCATCATACACTTGTTCCAAACTTATTCTTTAGTTCTTTCTTCAATTGACAGAAGAAAATATTCAAAGAATACTGAAAATTGCTTGATATTGACTTCTATAGTATTTTCATACTATGGATATCAATTCCTACCAGTCTCCAACATAATTCAAAATATATATTTATGTCCAACAGAAAAAAAAGAAACTCAAAGTTTGGAACCACTGAAAGGTTAATAAACAGTGAGTTGATGCATTTCATTTTTGGATAATCAATCCCATTAATTTAAAAAAACTGAAGTCCCACATGTCCAACTTCTAGAAAACTTTAAGCCTACATTTTATTCCGTTCATTAAATCAGCACTAACACTATTCCTTCTAGGGTTGGGTCGATAGATGGCCGATAGACATCACGATGCTGAGCCGGCATCGCGATACTACGCCCCACCCCATCGCAAAAGCAACCTGCTTGCGAAAAATACAAACTTAGGTCCTGTTTACACTAATACATCTTGGTTTTAAAATGCCATTTTAGAATGAAAACTATCTACATCGACACTTGTGTTTAACGATTACATCGTCCATCGCAATGTATTACATTAGACATCGAACAATGCCAAATTGGTTCGCCCAACCCTCATTCCTTCTTCTTAAATGTTGCGACCTCCTACTTGCACCCTCTTGGCACCCTCTGCAACCCCAATTTGAAAACATCTACATTAATTAGTTTTATTTTGATAGTATTATGCAAGCACAATACAAGTGCAGTTTTAAATTAAATAAGTTCTTCTGGATGGGACATTAAATTTAAGAGGCTGGTGTTTCTGTGATTACTTAGGAGTTGTAAAATATGCAGGAGACGTTTCTTTGTTGCAATTGCCATTCTGCATGCTAAGTGCCATGCATAGTCAGATTTCTTTGCATACATAATTCATTAGGATGTCTTTTACATATACGTGTCATACATACTATATGTCAAAGTCTCAAGTGTCTTTCCAGAAGTGCTCGTAATTATTAAGCTACTGAAAAGTTTATAATTTTGTATAGGAGGATCCTACAATTGGTTCGTATTTATCCAAGATTAAAAAATACTTGTATATTTGTATTACATAAACACATTTATAATATAATGTACACTGCAGCAGCATCTTTTTAATCCAGACTCTACAAACTCTACCTTTCAGAAAGACTACTCTGCTGTAACTGATCTGGTCATATGGCCCGTTTCCACTGACTGGTACAGTACGGTACAGTACGGGTCACCTTTATCAGGCTTGCGTTTAAATTGGTACCAAATTAAAATTAAAATGGTGAATTAAAATGGTACCAATGGTACTCTTTTGGTGGGCGTGGTGTACGACAGAAAGTTTCAGTCAACGTCATTTTCGCTTGAGAAAAACGTGACAACACCTCTTAAATTTGGGATTAGATATCATTTTAATCATTGTCACTTCTCCCAATTCATCAGCATCAATGTCATCGCTTAACGCTTGCTTAACTGAAATTAAAGCTTGGATGCAACATAATTATCTTAAACTGAATAGTTCTAAAACAGAGATTTTATTGGTTGGCACTCCTTCTAACGTCAAGAGGTGATGGGTCTATCTTATCACCATCTCTGCAGGTGCGTAATCTCGGTGTTTTCCTGGACTCTCAGCTTAAGCCTTGTTTATACTCGACGTGTCCGCTTGTTCGCTTGAGTGCGCGAATGTGACGTCATTGCGGATTTTGTGGAGGTTCGCTTTGGGTGCGCGCTGCATGATTTTGGCTGGTGGTGTGTCGGGCATTTTTTGAGACTTGAGCACAGAGTGCGCGCGGCGCTGCAACTGGTTTGAGTTGAATATGAAACACTTTGAAGAGATTTTATGCGAAACAGTAGGACTGAACACACATCTTATGACTCGTGATCAGAGAGATAACCAGATAATCAATAATTCTTGGCTAGAAATTTCAACAGCCATGGGAAAGGAGAAAGTTTTTGTTAAAAGGTTTGGAAAAACCTGAAGAATAAGTTTATTAAAATCAAAAGAAGCCATGGCAAAATGTACACAATTACAGAATATAATTTTCCACCAGTCATAGGTTTTGCACTGATGTATTTTGTTTAATTTTGTATTAAAAACAATTTAATAGTTACAAAACTATAATGAAGTCACAAAATTATGTTTGATAACTGGAAAGGAACAGATATACTGATGCCCTGTTTCTCTGGGCTTTATTGTTGATAATGGTCAGGAATGTTGGACCATAACTGCCTTTTTAGCATAAGAATAGGACAGAAGCTAGCCAGACAGTAATGTGTGAATTGTGGAGCGGGCTAATTCTAAAATAATCTGTATTTTTTAGTAAGTGTGTTTTTTTTTGCTTTTATTTTTGCGATAATAAAACATTTATTTGTAGAGCAACTCATGTTCTGTTGTCATTAATACTTTAATAAATTGTAATAGGTTAACTGTCTGAGATATAAACAAAAGCAAGTGATGACCAATAATTATTTGCTAGAAATAAAAACAGCAGTGGGAAAGGAGGAAAGTTTATGTTAAAAAAATTGAAAAAAAAAAAACAAAAAACTGAGAGATAAGTTTGTTTATGCCTAAAGAAATCATAGCAAAAGTGGAGACCCGGGTACACAATTACAGAATATGTTTTTCCACCAGTCATAGCTTTTACACTAACGTATGTTATTGGATCGTATTTGTAATACATCTGTAGTTTTTTAGTAAGTGTACTTTTTATTTTTTGCTTTAATCCCTGCCATAATAAAAATATATTTGTAGAGCAACTCATGTTTTCTTGTGATTAATATTGTAATAAACTTTAAAAGGTAAAACTGTCAGAGATATGGACAAAAGCAAGTGATGCATCAAAGTTTGATTTAAAAAATCTTAAAGGTTATAAAAATGCTTATAATCATTAAAATAATTTATAAAAACAATACAAATAATTAGTCTGAAAATATTGAACGACATTATGATATGCCGTACTTCCGGAAATTTCCTACTTCTCTGTTTATCTGTCTGATTTTAAGGTGGGTTTCTTTTGACCGCCCCCTGTCGTTTTAAAGAATATCACAACGGCGAATGCGGCGAGTATAAAAGCCTCTGCAGTTTTGCGAGGGGAGCGCGCAGTCAGCGGAGGTACGCGATGCGACGCCAGGCGCGAGTATAATACCAGCTTCAGTCTGAAGCCTCATTTTAAACATGTAACTAAAACGGCCTTTTATCATCTTCGTAATATAGCCCGCTTACATCCTTTCCTCTTGAGGCCTGATGCTGAATGACTCGTCCATGCTTTTATCACGTCTCGCTTGGTTTTTTGCAATTCCTTGTTCGGAGGGTTACCAGCAAATTCTCTCAAAATTTTGCAATACATCCAAAGTTCTTTTGCACGTGTGTTGACACATACATCGTCTCGGTCGCACATCACTCCTATACTCCAACAGCTTCACTGGCTCCCCGTCAAGTCTCTTATTGATTTTAAGACATTGATTTTAACATTTTCCCAGAGATGGGTTGCGGCTGGAAGGGCATCTGCTGCGTAAAAAATTGCTGGATAAGTTGGCGGTTCATTCCGCTGTGGCAACCCCGGATTAATAAAGGGACTAAGCCGACAAGAAAATGAATGAATGAATGAATGATTTTAACATATAAAGCGTTCATGGTTCTGCTCCAGGTTACATTGGGACGCTCTGCCTTGGGACCTACGTTCTCTTGGGGCATTCTCTTTCCGTGCTCACATACTGTGGAATGCTCTTCCCACTAACATTAGGAATGCCGGTTCATTGGACACTTATAAAAAGCTACTTAAAACTCATCGTTTTAGGTCTGTTTTTAATTTTTGATATCTTTTATTCTTACTGTGTTTTTTATTGGATTTTTTTATTGTTTACTGTGCTTTAGTGTTTTTACTTTCTTGTAAGCACTTTGGGTTTTTGAAAAGCACGTTATAAATAAAATATTGTTATTATTATTATTATTATTATTATTATCAATAACAGCATGATCACTTTAGCAAAGGGCATTAATTGGAAAATTCTGGAGTGTTACTGGGGACTATAACAAGGCTTCTGAACTTTGATGATTTAAAAATATACCATATATGGTTATTCACCCAATTAAAGGTTAATATAATTATACCTTGCAGAAAAGCAAGAGCTTTTCTGGTACTTTAAATATTAGCTCATTAATATAGCAGACAAAATGAGCATAAACAAAGAAACTCACCTTTCTGGTGACAGCAGGGTCCAGAAAGCTTCTAAGTTTCTGGATATATGTATGGGGAGGATTCTTCACTTGGAACCGTTCCTGTTAGAAAGACAAAATATGTTACATTTCAATTATTTATATTTAATACCCTCTTGAAACAAGTTCAATCCCCTCCCCAACATAAAACATTAACTAAGCAAACCTCCTTTTCTGCTCAGCTATCCTCTGATCTAAATCACAATCATTAAACTCCTCATAAAACCTAGTTTTTTCCCCCCCGGTAACGTCTGAACCACATTTTGGTCTTCAAATGATCACTGAGATATAATCATTCATTATTTAGACAGCAGACATTTCACACGCTTTCACCTCAACAAACATTTCCACAGTCAGCCATGCTCTCCTTCTCTTACGTCAGTGTAGTCATGGTGACATGTTAGGGTGGATGTAGAGAATGTAATAATAAAGAATCTGTCTACATGGTGTTTCTATTATCATAAAGCAACTTGCCTCTGTGTATATACACTTCAGGGTGATTATATATCTGCGCTCAATTATAATTTGAGGTTATGCAGGCTTATAGGTATTATAACATCTTTCACGTCAAAAACACTGACAGAGAAATAAATGTGCTTTATGTTAGCTTTGACATTTGGCCTTTGACAGAGAAGGATCATGATCTGAATTAGAAAAGGCAGTTTAAACGTTCTTGTTTAGAAATATAATTAGTGAGGATATGGGAGAAATCAGATCTAGCCCATCCAAGATCATACAGTATTTATTGTCTTTTCTCAGTTGGATAAAAATCTATCCACAGTAGAATGTTGGACTACGCACGATTCACATATGACTTCAGGATCAACGCATGACAGAGGGCGTGTCTAAAGTGGTACAGCAAGGTACGGTACAGGTCGGTATGGGTCACCTTTATTAGGCTTGCATTTCCACTGTTAAAAGGGTACCAATGGTACTCTTTTGGTGGGTGTGGTGTACGACAGAAAGTTTCAGACGACGTCATTTTTACTCGAGGAAACATCTACAGTAAAGCTGTACGGGTCATTCACATTTCACATGAGAAGCACTTCTCACTAAACAGATCCTTTATACACAAATACTTAATGTTGATAACTAAATGTTTATTACTAAATTTTCTATGAGCATAATTTGATTGTAACTGCAGATCAATGACAGTGAGAAATAGCCTACCGTAACATCTGCAATTATATGAAATAAAAATAAATGCAGCATATATGAACACATACAGCCCCTTACAGTCTCCGATATGTAACCAATTACAGAAAAACTACACACATCATACATTTAGTCCTTATTTAGATTCAAAAACAGTAGTACCTAGAATAGCAAAATCAAGTAAAGGAGGTCGAGCCTTTTCTTTCATGGCTCCTACACTCTGGAATAGCCTTCCTGATAACGTCCGAGGCTCAGACACACTCTCCCAGTTCAAAACTAGATTAAAGACCTATCTGTTTAGTAAAGCATACACTCAATGCATCACCTAGCGGGTTCCACACAGGCTTCTGCATCTTGCTTATATACACTATGAACAGCAGCTACGCTAATTATTCTCTTTATTCTCTATTTTCACCTGGGGATACTCATCCCGAGGTCCTCAGATTATGCGGAGTCACTGATTGGATCCAAGACCGGCGACATGATGATCCCAAGGATTCCATATCCGGGACCAGGCCATATCCTGAGCTGCTGCTGCGCTGATGGTCGTGGGGAGTGGAGAACATGAGTCTGATTCCAGCGACGCTCCAGGGACAGACGAGTCTTCATTGAGGCCATCTTCCAGCCTAAACCACGACGAATGAAGCTCTGCACAAGACTTTTGGCCAGTGGAGAAATTAAAATGGTCGTGCCCAACTGAGTCTGGTTCCCTCAAGTTTTTTTTTCTTCACTCCCATCAGGTGAAGTTTTTTTTCCCTCTCCGCTGTCGCCACTGCCTCGCATGGTTCAGGATTGGTAGAGCTACGCATCGATGAATTTGCTCTTCAGTGTTTGAACTCTCAGTAATGTTTAAATCACACTGAACTGAGCTAAACTGATCTGAACTGAACTTAAACACTAAAACCTGAACTACACTGTTCCAGTTACTATGACCATTTATGTGAAGCTGCTTTGACACAATCTACATTGTAAAAGCGCTATACAAATAAAGCTGAATTGAATTGAATTGAACAGCACAAAATATAGCCCACAGTCAGTGCATACCTCTCATATGTGTCTTTAATCCTCAGCAGCATGTGTAGCCTCTTGTTAGACAGTAATTTCATCATACTGAGTTCATAATAGTCCAAAAAGTGATGATAATAGTTGAACATGGCAGTTCGTTCCTGTTTTAGGTTGCAGGCGCATCATTTGCCATTTTTTCCGGCTTCACCTTTGTTTTTTTCGTACTTCACTCTTGCGTTTGTTCCTTTCCTTTTAAAATATTACGGTGTAATCTTTCGGCTGTGTATTTAAAGCATAGCAGTTCTTTTGTTTTTATTCTGGCTTGGTGCGTGAGCGAATGACGTATCTCTGTATACCAATAGCGTTCAGCTGCATGTCTAGCTCCGCCTTTTGGTACCCTTGATACCCTTTTTACACTGAGTGGTAAGGTACGGTACGGAACCGAACCGTACCACTTTTTTGGCACCCTTTCAAAAGGGTACCAAAACACGAGAAAGAGTACCAAAAGGTGGAGCTACACGCTTAAGCCTGGTTTATACTTCTGCGTCAAGTGACTGGCGTAACTCACGGTGCATGCAACGCGCGCAGCTGTGCATTTATACTTCTGCGCACTGTCTCTGTTGGTCTGCATTAACACTTCCGAAACGCTAGTTGGCAGTGAGGTGTAAATGTTCCTCTGTGTCGAGTTTCTTCGCTTCTGTTTTGCGTTTCCTGAACACTTCCTGGTAGTACAAGTAACTCAAACTCGCTCATTTTGAGGCAGGAAACGGTGGACGTGCAACGACTTTAACTATGAGGTAAACACAAAACAAAACTTTCCATCCGGAGCTCCTTCACGGGACTCCACACTTGTAAACAATCGCTTGCGCCATTCGTGCGGCTCTCGGTCCCGCCCAGACTCGTCAGCGCTACCAAGCCGACCAATCACAGAGCTTGCGCTACGCGTTGTTGCGACGTGTAGTTACATTTTTTGAGAGGTGCACGTCAGTGACGCTGACGGCCACGGCAAAGGGCTATGCGTCACCGCCGTAGCATACGCCGGAGTTTGACGCAGAAGTATAAATCAGCCTTTAGTTGAACGCTGATTGGTTACAGATATATGTCACGAGCTAGTGTGGAGCTAGCCAGAATGAAAACAATAAACCGCCATGTTTTAAATAGACAGCTAAGACATTACACCATAATACTATATGCATATAATAACGAGCCATGGATGCCCCGAGCTCAAACAAACCATGTCGTTGCCTTGATGCACAGACACAAAGCCAAGAAGAACAAAATCTGCCGTGCCCTGTTGTTGTTTTGTAAAAGTGCGCGCAGTTTTCGCTTTCTTCAGAGAGCTCGTGATCGCGTCTATATTTGATATAACAAACTTCTTGAGCTGATGATAATAATGTGCACGTTCTTATTGAAGTGACTCTGACATCCAATCCTTTCAGAAATGGACAAACTAGAGAGCGAAGCGTGAAAAATCAAAGGAGCACATGATTCTTTCAGCAGCCTAAAACATTAACAAACTGCCAGGTTTAACTTTTATCATAATCTTTTAGACTATTATGAACTCGGAATGATGAAATTACTTTAACAACAGGTTACATGTGCTGGTGAAGATTAAAGATACAGATGAGAGGTTTGCAATGACTGTGAGCTATACGTTGCATGTTTTTAAAGCTAAATAAAGACTAAATGTATGCTGAGTGTAGTTTTACATTAATTGCTAACATATCAGAGACTCTAAGGGGCTGTATGTGTTCATATATGCTGCATTTATAATGTTAATTGTAATTTATAATTGCAGACGTTACAGTAGGCTGTTTTTATCATTTATCTACAGTTATAATTAAATTCTGTTCATGGAAAGGTTAGTCATGAACATTTATACACAGGTATTTATATGTATAAAGCATCTGTTTTGTGAGAAGTGCTTCTCATATGATACATGAAAGACCCCTACAGCTTTACTTTGACATTTCCTCAAGCGAGAATGACTTCAATTTTCTGTCGTACATCATGACCTCCATTGGTACCCTTTTGACAGTGGAAACGCAAGCCTCAGAAAGGTGACCCGAACCAACCCATACCGTACTGTACCACTCAGTGGAAATGGGGCATTAGGGATTGCTTATACCTGGCCACTTCATGCATTCTTTCTGACCAGATTGTGAGATGGGCAGGTGTACATGCTGTCCGAAACGGATTTGAAGCTGGTACAAATCCAATCCCTCAAACTACTTTGGGATGACACTAGACTGATCTGAATGCATCTGGTGGTGAAAAGCTAATTTTACTCCTCCTAAAATTAAAAAATAAACATGTGAAAGAGTTATCGATTTAATTAATAACATATCTATGTTGTTAATAATTGTTTAATGTGTTATTATTATTCACACCATAATAAAGATAATCACATCTCAGTCACACTTTATTTTAAGGTATAATTCTCACTATTAACAACTAAAACTTTTTGCTCAATAAACTATTAATTAGCTGCTTATTATGGATGTAGAAAATAATCATACTTTAATAAACAACCAACATCTTAATAAGTCAGTAGTTAACATTGTGTATTAGTAGTTTAAAGTGTTACTAAAATGTGTAACCTTAAAGATCTTAAGAAAGCAATATTTAGCAAATAAAAACAATTTCATTTTTTGGCTTTTTAGATCCAAGGTGGCTTTTCAGATCAAAAGCAATTTAGTTTTGAAACCCAATCCCACTAGTTAATACTGATTATTAACATGCATATTACTAGTGTATTGGTTTGTATTAATCCTAAAATACATAATAATACAATTAAAAAACGAACTAAAATCTGCAGGATCATATTTAGATGCCTTAATTATTCTCAATACCTAAACTAAACTACCTTATTATTGAAAATTTCCTTCCTATCAACAAGCAAAAAATAATAACACAAAGGTTTAAAACAAAAGTCAGATATCAGTTAGTTAATAGTAAGAATTGGCCCCCAAACAATAAATCGACCGAGTATTTAGTTTAGCAAAAGAAGAATTTTTGGAATAGTTTACTGAAACTTTAAACAAAATTCATTTAAAAGCTTGTATGTGCGTTTTTATGGAGCATGATATTTGACAAAAGTGTTTTATTGCGTCTTAAATTATAGTTTTTCTTTGGTTCAAACAATAAAATTTTATTTCATCTAAATCAAAAATATCTAATGTGTTCAAGAAAAAAAATTACATTCACACAAAGTAAAACTATTGTTGACAATAAATATATTTTTTACTTGAGTCTTTTTTAACATTAAATACATTAAAATATAATCCCACTTGTTACATCTAAACTTATAAATTAAACTCAAATTATAGTTTTGACTTGGTTAAAAATGAAAAATGTATTTTAATAAAATCCAAATATTTATTTTACCCAGGAAAAAAAAATGCATTGACTCAAAAGTAAAACATTGCTTTATAGACAGTGAACTAATTTAATTATTTTGGTTCAACTTTAAATTAAAATCCATGTAAAGTTTTACTTTAGACTAAACTAAAAGTAAATACATATAACATCATATATAGGTAAATAGGTAAACTATCAGGTGCTTTCAGTATGGATATAAATGTCAGACAAGATCATCAAATTCACATTGGACATACATAAAGACTGAATGAACCTGTTTTTCCTGTGGTCACGTGAAATGAAAACTGATGGTTTAAAGCAGGGGTTCTCAAACTTGGTCCTTGAGATTCGGTGTCCTGCAGATTTTAGTTCAAACTTGCCCCAACATACCTGCATGGGTGTTTCTAGTGAGCCTAGTAAGAGCTTTATTAGCTAGCACAGGTATGTCTGATTGGGTTTGGAGCTAAAATCTGCAGGTCACCGGACCTCGAGGCCCGAGATTGAGAACCCCTGGTTTAAAGTAAAAATATTACTTTGAGAAAAACTAATGCTTTTAAGTTTACTTTTTCATTGTGATGAGAAAAATATTACTCGATAATTGAGGGATGCTTAAACTTTTCAGTGTGGGTAATCAAGTAAATCTAAATCAGCCTAGTTAATTTTTAATTTTAATTGTATTACTAACAACAAACATTTATGTATATATTAACAACATAAATGAGGACACATAGTAGCTAAGCAGATTGTGTACAACAGGTTTGTCAGCATTGTTTTAAACATGCCATTTAAAAGTTCAAGACACCCTCAAGACAAATACTTTTTTTTACAATTTTTTAAAAGATTTGTGTGTGTTGAGCATCAGTTAAGACAACATTAGCAACTCTCAGCTTTAATTGTGGTGAAAACTCGATCATTTTGAGCTTTTGTCAGCTAATTTCTGGGATTAAAATAATTTTTTGGGAGGCATCAAAATCAGTGACGTTTACATAAACATCAGTAATCTAATTATTTGCCTTAATCTAATTAAGACAATAATAAGATTAAGGTTTTTACATGAGTTGTTTTTGAATGTTTCTTTCATGATCCCGTTTTACATGTTATAGCAGATACTTAGATAAACGTAATTGCGTCACCGCGCTATCCGTGTTTCCTCCGGAGTTTCATGTAATTTCGGGTGTTTCATTATTAATTTGTCGACTTTAACTGCAGTTTGGCACTTTCACTTTCATTCAGGCATGCTCCCCATGACAAACAAGATATTGGATGCAACTAAACTGCTGAAAGAGTTGTTTTAATGGAAGTTCATACCGTAGGCTTAATTGAAGAACATTTCACAATGCAGGGGTCTATGGTCTGAACTGACTCGGTAGGTGCAAAGAGTGTCAAACGTGTGTGTGTGGGTGAGTGCGGCTAATATCGGCGTACTCCACACGTCTTAATTCGATATCTCTTTAGTTCGATTATGGCCTTAATCTGATTTAATTCATCGAAAATCGCTGTTTACATGGTAGACTCTTAATCAGAATATTGTCTTAATCATATTAAAAATCTAATTATTGGTGTCCATGTAAACGCAGTCAGTGACATAGAGCAAGTCTGCTAATGGAGTGATGACGTGTTGGTTTCTCATCATTATTAATAGCAGAGTTGTCTTATCCTATAAAAAGACCCTGCACGTGCTTTCCGAACGCAAGGCAGACCTGCTAAGCTGTGAGACCCAATGACTGGGTGAGACTGTGTCCGTGCATGGCATGGGTCGTATGTGTTTTTTTTCATGATCCACAGGGTTTGTTGTATGTTTTTACCTGCGATTCTGTCACGGCAGATACAGCAAAGCTGTTGGTTTGCAGCATGCATTTATGTCGGGAAAGCTGTATGAAAATCGGGGAATGACGAACTTTGTCTTTTATTAGTTGAGTTACCATTCAGACACATTGCCTATATCCGTGCTGCTGTGTTCACCTATGTTTAAAATCCTCCAGATTACCAGCAGGGCTATTGGTTGAAATAGAAATGGCAAGAGACCTGCTGCACTGCTATCCACTGTGTCTGCATTCAGACCCGGGGATTCAGGAGGAGAGAGGTCCTCATTTATATTGTTTATATAAACATGATTATCTTTATCATGATATAACAAATTGTGGTTATGTGTATATGAAAATACAAATAACAAATGTAGTAGGACATTAAATTGCTGTTTATTTGTTTGCATTTTAACTTTGTAAACTATAAAATCATAGGTCTTTTCCAACCCAAGCTCATTCTGGAAACGTAGCCCCGCGAACGTTTCTGGAGACTGCGATTCACGTGGCCGGAGGTATGTACGGCTGCGTTTAGTTTTTCTCAAGTGAACGCTGCGGGGCGGTGTGGCGCTGCTCCACTCCTCCTCTTCGCGCTCGCCTGCCGACGGCTCGCCTCCGAGTGGAGGGCTTTCCCGCTGCTACCAGTTTGTCCACTTAGCTCGCAGCGTTATGTCGGCGGAGCGGAGGCACAGAGGAGGAGGAGCCGGCCGCGGGGACGACCGGGATCGGGTCCGGGGAAGAGCGGTTCCAGAAATCAGGTAAGATGAAAAACAGAATCCAAAAAATAAGGGCAAGAATGCGGCGGGATCCGAAAACGGGGTCGAAATCAAAGACGAGGGCTTTTGTTTTTTTTTTCCTGGACGGCTTTTGCAAACTGTCGTTTGGGTTAAGGGGAGACGCGAAAAAGCGCGCACAGCGGCCTCTCGCGGATCGGCGAAAACAAAAACTGCTTGAATACGAACCTCCCGGGACGTATTTCGTGGTCCGCAGAAACGTCCGCGGGGCTACGTTTCCACAATGAGCCCGGGTTGGTCTTTTCACAGTCTTATTTTGTGAGACAGCAACAGTTGTTTGCTCCCCTCATTCTCCTCTGCTCTGTCGACCAAGCCCACTCCTCCCTGCACGCCCATTATGAAACATTTTTTGAAAAAATTCTGAGGTAGACTTGAACTGAAATGGGGGGGGGGTCATGGCCCTTTAAAGATCACATGAATTAGTGGTTATAGGGTTAATAGTGGTTATATAAATTATGGCTTTTATTTTTAGAGACTCAAAATGCAGGCTGCTTGTAAACAGACTCTCTTACCTGATCGCATATCAGCTCCCATTTCTTTTCATTGTCATACTGTCTCAGGATCCTCACTTTATCCGGAGGAAGGTTCATAGTGTTCTGAGAAAGAAGAGAGAGAGAGATTGAGCGTTGTTCTTTCTCATGCATGGGAAATGCTACTGCACATACCATGTTTATCAAAAACACAGTGAACGAAAAAGTGATGAAAAGCTAGTATTTTGTAAATTCCTGAGACACCAAAGATGATTCTTTATGACAACAAAAAGTCAAAAGCAGAGGTGAATAACATAACATAACATTTCAGTCTGAACAACAGCCTTAACTTCAGCACAGAAACACTCTTTTTGTCATGGTTCACACAGAATATCAATATCTGCAAACAGAATATCATCAGAATAAAAAAAGAAGTATTACTCTAATGAAATTTGAATTACAGTGCCTCATTAAGACATGTCGATTTAGTGAAGGAAGCCCAGTTTAAACTATTTCTTCTATCATTTATGATATTTAGAGGAAAATATCTCCATAGCTGTTATTACTTGTATATTACACACTTGATCATTATGCTTCAAGATTGCAAGAGACTTCAGACCTAAAATGTTCCTCCAAATATTCAAATGTGAGTTTTAACAAAAAAATAAATAAATTCTAAGCAAAAATATAGCTAATGGGGCTGCACGATTTTGGAAAAATCTAACATTGCAATTTTTTGTTTTGCTGTGTATGACTATATGAATATAATGTCACCAGATGGTTTGAAGAGCTCTATTTGGAAAGATTTCATTCATTAAGACTTTTTTTCTATGCAGAGCATCTACATAAAATATAATAATTTACAAGCATATATAAAAAAACTTAAACAAACAGTGCTTTATGGTTTTCTAGGGAGTTTAACAGTATTGAAATATAGCAATCAAACATAAATAACATGGTTCTCATTGTAGAAACAATTTTATACACAAATATAAAATAATTTTTAATAATATCTTCATCCTTTAATCTTTAATAAATAATCAAATCCTGCGATGTGACCATTGAGAATACATACATTGCCATATCGATGCCAAATTTTTATATTGTTCATTACTAATGACTAGCATTTATTTTTTACCCACTAAATTACTATTCGATGTAACAATTTTTGACATATCAACATTTTTTAATAAATATACAGAACAAGAATCATATCTGTCAATCCAACAAATTATACCCATTTGTCAACAAGATGTTAGTACAATTAAAAAAATACAATTAAACTTTGTATGATCACTTCTATATATTTAAGGGCTGCACAATATTGGAAATTTTATATTGCAATATTCTGTTTTGATGTTGTATATATTTAAATACGAAAAAAATGTCACCATTTTTTTAAAAAAAATGTTTTTTTTTTTTAAATAGATCAACTGGGGTGATCAAGCCCTTCTTTGCATCTGCAAAAGATACAATAAATGACATGCATATACAAAAACAACAGAGCAAAAAAAAAAAGTTAAATACATAGTGCTTTATGGTTTTTGGGGGAGTCTAACAGTATTGAAATATAGCAATTAAACATAAATAACATGGTTCTCATTGTAGAAACAATTTTATACACAAATATAAAATAATATTTAATAATGTTTTCATCCTTTAATCTTTAATAAATAATCAAATGCTGCGATGTGATGTGACTATTGCAAATACACACATTCAGCCCTTTCTTTTTTACACACTAAAATACCATGCAGTGTTACAACTTCAGATATATCAAAAAAATTCAAACAAATATACTGAACAAGAATCATATCCATCAATCTACTGGATTTTACCCATTTGTCAGCAAGACGTTTTTACTATTTAAAGACACACAAAGTTTGTGGCATCTAAAGGGAAAGACTACAATGACACTTCAATTTTTTCACTTACATTCATGATCTCTTGGCAGTTGAAAATTGTAAAAATTTAGGTGAGAGATTTTTTAGAAGACAAGGAAACAATGTTTCTTCAACTATTTTATGCACTTACAAATATAATGTCTAATTTATTTAATCAATTAATCTTTAAATGAGAAGAATGTACACTTTATGGCCAAACAGGACATGGCTAAAAACTTTGGGGCTGTACAATATTGGAAAATCTGATATTGCAATATTTATTTATTTTTTTTGTGATAAATATTGTGAGTGATATGATTACAGTTTCACAAGATGGTTTGAAAAGCTCTATGTGAGGGAGTCTAAAATGTAATAATCACAATGCAAAAAATGCTTCTCTTCTTTTGCCTTGTCTTGTGTCTAGTCCAAATATCAAAAATTCTTAGATCAAGTAAAAATACGGTTTTGTTTACACCTTCAGAAGAAATAAATCAAAATTAATAGTTTTTCATTCAAACAAGCAAAATTATCTGCCAATGTGACAAGTGAAATTATCACTGAAATTATTATTACTTTTGCTTTGAAGTGTAGATATTTGAACTTGAAACAAGTCAAAAACTCTAAAGCATAAATGCATAAATTGTATCAATTCTGTATAAATAATGAGTAAAATTAATCTGTTACACCTCCAAACATAATCTTTTAATTTGTGACCAAATATTTTAAACACTTGAAATTTTACAGGCCTTACAAAAAGACACATTAGAAACCTAAGTTAAACTTAGCAGTGACTCTACAAATCACATGTGTTCTGTATTTATCTACAGTTGAAGACAGAATTATTACCCCCCCCCCTTGAATTTATTTTTTAAATATTTCCCAAATGATTTTAACAGAGCAAGGAAATGTTCACAGTATGTCTGATAATATTTTTTCTTCTGGAGAAAGTCTTATTTGTTTTATTTTGACTTAAATAAAAGTAGTTTTTATTTTTTTAAAATCCATTTTAATGACAAAATAATTAGCCCATTTAAGCTCATTTTTTTATAGTCTACAGAACAAACCATCGTTATACAATAACTTGCCTATTTACTCTAACCTGCCTAGTTAAGCTAATTAACCTAGTTAAGCCTTTAAATGTCACTTTAAGCTGTATAGAAGTGTCTTGAAAAATATCTAGTCAAATATTATCTACTGTCATCATGACAAAGATAAAATAAATCAGTTATTAGAAATTAATTATTAAAACTATTATGTTTAGAAATGTGTTGAAAAAATCTTCCCACCATTAAACAGAAATTGGTAAAAAAAACAGGGAGGGGGGGTAATAATTCTGACTTCAACTGCAGATTTCATTGCATAATGTAACTATTGCAGATAGTGATATCTATGCTGAAACGCTATAGTGTCCACCCCTAATAAATTTAATAAGAATGTTAGTAGGTTTGTTCCCTTATACATAAACATATTTGTTATGCAGAATGTTGAACATATTCCCCTCATATTCATTATTTTCACATTTTTATACATTATATATACTTAACTCGCATTTACTTACTATGTGAATACACTTTTTTCCAATTTATTTTTTATCAGACACCAAAAAATGGAATGTATTAAGCAGTAAACACACTTACAGTAAACTATATTCAAATTAATTCAAACCTTCAGAGATGGCTAACTGAAACATTCTGTCAATTCTTTGTGTGTGTTTTTTCCTGCTACACTTTTTGTTCTCTCATTTTGGGGATAATAAGCTTGACTGAATGATTAATGAGAGAAAGGCTCTGAAATCAAACAGTCTGGGTGGTTGAAATGAAAGCACAGGAGAAGGGCCCAACACTTGGAAAAGGGTGAACTGAAGAGACTTGGGCTGCAAAAGCCAACACTACTGGGACAGAATTTGTGATGCAAATCGGAGAAAACGAGGCAACATTAGCCAATTTGCATTCACTCCCCCCGTTCCATCTCCCTTTATACAGACACAAACAGACTTGCCCACACACATGCATGATGCGCACATGGCATGGAGCCGTTATGCTGATTTGCAGACTTTTAATGGGATACTCAATGCACTGATTAGATCTCGACTGATCTAAGGGCAGGTCTCTAATGTAAGCACATGACATGTGTCTGTTTGGGGGACGCTCTGAAAATTAAATCAAGGTGATAAGTAACAGATGACCCACTCTAAGTGAATTAATTAAAGACCCTTGAGAACTTTACATGTAAACCTTGTCAAAACATAATGCAGTCACGATAATCAAAGCTCTATCAAAAATAGTACAGTAATACAATCTAATTTCCTGAAAGTTAATTCTACTCATCTAAAAAGAGTTTTGAACTCAGTGTTGAAGGTAATGAGTTAATTAAATACCTTGTTACTTCAACTAAAATGTAGTAAGTTCACAGTACTCATATAAATTAGTTTTTTTTTTTAACTCAAAAGGCTTGTAGCAACTGGTTTCCTTAAACAGTTTGAGTTGCCTTAACTTATTGGGTTTTACAGTACTTTACAGTTTTGAGTTCTCTTCATTTACTGTGCTCAAATTGCTTTTGTTTACTCAAATGGATTAAGTTCACAGTACTCATTAAGATTAGTTGTTGAACTTAAATAGTTTGTTGCAACTGGTTTCCTTAAATGGTTTAAGTTACCTTAAAATATTGGGATTTACAGTGTTGGTGAATATTAAAGACAACTTTTTAAAGTTGAAACAGAGGTCCTTGTTGTTCATAACATATAAAGGCAAAGCAAATATAGTACCCATGATTCCTGACAATACTCAGAATAAAATTTCAATTTTAATCACCTTTAAAAAAATTCTGTAATTTGTTTCTTCTTAAAAAATGTTTAACTTAATCTCACCTCTCAAAATGTTTAACCCTAATCTCACTGTATAGTTTAGCTTTGGTTCAAACTATGACATTTATTTTACTCTAAATTCAAAATATTCATCCACACAAAATAAAAATATGGATTAATGTAGAAACACTAAATACATTTGTTATTTTTTTATAACCTTAGATGACAATTAGGCATGGGCTAGTATGAGATTCTGACAGTATGATAACCTTGGATAAAAATATCATGGTTTCATAGTATGACTGTATTGTGATTATTGCTCTAAAATATATTATTTTTAAATGTCTTGGTAAAATATTTTTCCCCTCCTTTTAATCAGAATATATTTTATTTTGAGTAACATTTAAAATATTTTGGAGCAGTAAACATTCCAGGCTAAATAATTACAAATGAATCATTGGCTTTTGCTATCTTTGTTTCAGAAACATTGATTTCTTTACAATTTAAAACAGCATCTTAGGATATCCTAAAAAAAAACAATAACAAAAAATCTTACATATATCATAGGAACAGTATAGCAGAAATGTTTGGTGGTTTTAATACCTTGACTTTTCCAAACCGTGATATACCTTAAAAACGGTTATATGGTTGCACATTTTTTCAGTCTACATTGAGGTTTTAAGATAATAAATATTAAAATAGTTGGCCTGTCTAAGAGACTGAACATTTTTCACAACATTAATACATTCAGTCTATAGCAGAACCTTTATTCACTTAATATAGTGTATCAAACTTTAGGAATCTATGATTAAGATCTTTTTGTTGAGATTTAACATAAATTTTCTGTTTATATAGACACACAAGCAAGCACCATTTTGGTAAACAACACAATACTATATATGCACAGGTAAACAAACCATGTCAGCTCATGTGTGAGTTTATTCACGCGTTATTATTATGCAACAGGTAAAAGGTAATTATTTTGTAAAATAAATGTAATTTCTTGCTTTAATTTTAATGTGATGACCTTAATGTGTTATCAGGGGCCCTGTTTATTACTTCAGTTTTGCCTGTATGTGCGTTTCTGACTTTCAAAGTGCAGGCAGCTGTTGACTTTCATTTTATGAGTCGCTGAGGACCATGTTATCAGCTAAATATCTTCTTTAATGTTCTGCTGAATGACAAAAAGTTTGAAGAGTCTGAGGTAAATTAACATTAAGTTCGTATTTTCGCATGAACTATCTCTTCGAAGTCACAGGTAAAACGCAGATCCTATATTTATTGATCGCTGAGGGGAAATTTCAAGTCTCTGAGGAGATATTTGTACCACTCCAAATGTCATTTTAATAGACTGCAAGATGTATTGTGAATTAGATCGCAGCACAGATATTACGTATATCCCTCGAGACATTATTCTTAAGAGCCCTTCATCAAGACACACTGATGCTTTTCAGACCCCATCACAGACAACAACCAGACAGGCTGTGCCAGTGGCTCAAATATCAACCAGCAATACCTATTATACACCGTTACTCAGTCGGGATATTATTAAGTAGGCTACATGTACTTTTCAAGCTACAAGAATTCCGTTAAATCCAGCACAAAAACAATCCTATTTAAAAGCAAATGCAGGGGATGCGGTGGCCTACACTGCACGCTGCCATGACTAGGGAATTATATTAGAAAAAGCATACACAGATGCATAACTACCGCAATAATGTGCAAGCTTACAATATGATGAGGCAAAAAATGGAATTCACAAAAAAGGGGCCGCGCGCCTGCAATTAGTAGCTATCATGCACGCGCAAACAGCATCAAAGCACTGCACACTGCCAAGCGCACACAATAGAGGCGTGTGTGCTGGCGTGGGCTGCCAGCTTCCATACTAGTTGTGCACATGATACCAATTACATCGATACGCTTTACCCAGAATTTCAGGATATTAGTCATAAATTACCAGTGCGATTGCAAATCTCTCCTCCAGTTCGGCAGGGTCCGGCATGGGCAGTTTAGGGGGTTTGCTTCCCCTCGCCCTGAAATCTGTGAGCTGAGCATCCATACTTTCTGCGTTCCCCATGTTTTTTTTTGTCTGATGCCCGGCGACGCTAAATCCTTTCGAAAAAACGTATTCCGCTCCAAAATGTAATCAAGAAGCAAAAAAGCAAGCAAACAAAGATAACGCAGGCTTTTATAGGTGTCTAGACGCCCTCTCCATCGATGCAAACCCGCAGAGCTCAGTATCAGATGCGAGACTTCGACAATAGCATCCCTACATTGTTAATCCGTATCTGTCGGGCCCTCCGTTCATTTCTCGGAGCTGTTGAGCATCGTTCAGTCAGCGGCAGCGGCTCGGAAGCAGGGCGCATTTATCAGTATAACGCACAATGAACGCACCGCTGGAGGGTTGCGGCATGATAACGCGCATGGCTCGGACTCGGGCAGGCCAGTTAATCCGCGCTGTGTGGATGATAACAGACGGACTTCGACAAAACGCAAACTCCCCCATTCAATCCCCGACACAATGAAGCCTTTCAGCACCAATCCCCCGCTGGGGAGTGCCAAAAAGCCATGCTGAGGAGTCGAGGGGGAGGCAATGTTTTGTTCTGTTGCATGCCGGTATTTGTAGTTTTGGATGAACAGCGTGTGAATTTACTTTTTTTGAGCTGCGACGGTGTAACTATATTCATTTATAGTTTTTTTGTCTGTGTGTTCATTTGTTGTGCAGTATGTTTTGTTATATTTGATATTGAAATCTAAATATTAGTAAAAATGCGGATTATAGGCTGAGTCTTATTGTTATTACGTTGTTAAATATGCTAGGCTCCATCATGTTGTCCTAACAAAAACTGATGAATCGTTTTTACAAGTTAAAGTAGATTGAACATAAAACAATTAAGTTGTTCCCCCAAAAAAACCTAAGAAGTGTGTTTTTTCAACTCATTTTAAATAAGTTGTTTGAACAAGCAACAAAAGTAAATTTTGAGTGTATTACTATCAATATATTTAGCATTTTAGATTCCTTTTGTAAGTCTTTATTAGTTTTTTGCAAAACCATATTTTTAAAAATACTGTTTAAATATGTCTTATTATTATTATTATTATTATTATTATTATTATTATTATTATTATTGCAGCATATTTTAATGTACAATTTACACTATTAACAAACCATTGACTGTTAACAAACCCTTAACTAAGACTTTTATCTCAGTACTACTAAGCTGCTTATTAATAGTTACTAAGGTAGTAGTAGTTTGACATAAACAAATTGTCATAATATATTGATTAAACAAAGGTTATGTTATTTGGGAAATTAAAAAGTAGTCATAATATAGATTAAAAAAACTGATAATGAAGGTATAGAAAGAGTACATGCAATAACGTTTCTTGTTGTTGTATTGGATCATAAAATTAGTTGGAAACCGCAAATAAATAATGTGATATCAAAATTGATAAAATCCGTAGCAATAGTGTATAATGCAAGATTTATTCTGGACAATAAATCAATGTATGTATTGTATAACACACTTATGTTGCCATATATGAGTTATTGTGTTGAAATATGGGGGAAATACAGATAAATTTAACTTATCCTTATGTATAATGCAGAAAAAAGTAATTAGACTGATGTGGGGTATTTGGAGCATACAAATCCTTTATTTTTTAAATGGAAGATACTTAAGTTAAATGATTTGGTTAAATCTAAACAGCACAATTTATGTTTCAAGCTACGAATAAATTGCTCCCGAAATGCAAACATTTATTTTTCACTTCATAATAATTGCCACATTGTGTTAGATTAAAGTTTTAAAATTTTATTACAGAAAAAAATGGATTGTATACTTTACACTGTTAACAAAACATACATGTTTCTCTGTGATAAAAGTAAATTGTCATCTTTATTTGTTTAAATGTTAATTAAAGATGCTTTATATTTCAATCTATTATCAGTCGTATGTTTAAAACTTTATGCTATGTAATGTTTACTGGATTATTTTAATTGTATTGTTTTTATTTAATTTCATCAATAAATTGTCTCCTGTTTTACACGTGTGATTAAAATTGCATTTTATTAGTGTACTAGTATTAGAAATTAGGCTTACTGTATGTATAAAGTTTGCAAACTTACCTTTTTGTTATATTTTTTACTCAAGTCCTTAAAGAATTCTGATTCCTTTTTTAAAATAATTAAATTCACTAAATGTCAGAGTAGAATAAGTAAGTTAAGTAAATATTAAATTATTAAATTAAGTAACTAATATTCTTCAAATTTATCCCATACTGGGTTGCAGCTGGAAGGGCATCCGCTGTGTAAAACAAATGCTAGTAAAGCTGGCGGTTCATTCTGCTTTGGCGATCCCTGATAAATAAAGAGACTATGCTGAATGAAAATGAATTAATAAATACTTCAAAATAATACACTGCCTTAATAACATTAATTTTGACAAACAATTCACTGTAAAAATGCTGGGTTCCACATTATTCCTTTATGTTGTTCCAACACAAATCAATTAAGCTAACTTAATTATTTTTAGGCGAGGCAGTGGCGCAGTAGGTAGTGCTGTCGCCTCACACCAAGAAGGTCGCTGGTTCGAACCTTGTCTCAGTTAGCGTTTCTGTGTGGAGTTTGCATGTTCTCCCTGCCTTCGCGTGGCTTTCCTCCGGGTGGTCCGGTTTCCCCACAGTCCAAAGACATGTGATACAGGTAAATTGGGTAGGCTAAATTGTCCGTAGTGTATGAGTATGTGTGTGGATGTTTCCCAAAGATGGGTTGGGGCTGGAAGGGCATCCGCTACGTAAAAACTTGCTGGATAAGTTGGCGGTTCATTCCGCTGTGGCGACCCTGGAATAATAAAGGGAATAAGCCGACAAGAAAATGAATGAATGAGTAAATTAATAATTATTTTTTATAAAATTTAAGTGGATTGAGCATGAAACAATTAAGTTGTCCAAAATAAACCTCAGAAAATGTGTTGATTCGGCTCATATTTAATAAGTAGTTGTGGCGAGGGGGCGTGGCCGAGAGCCGTGGGAACGGAGTGAGGCCACCGCGTAAGTGGATACACCTGCGGTGCGCACCTGCTTCGGATCCCACGGAAGGAGCTCTGGATGATAAAAGGAGGAACGATGGCAGAGGAAGCCGAGAGAGGACCGGGCCCGGACATATTTTAATTTTGTTTTCAGTTTGTTTTAGTATAACTGTTATTAATAAATATTTTGAATATTTTAATAAATATTTTGAACCTGTGTCGGTTCTCCGCCTCCTTCTTCACTGTTATTAATAAATATTTTGAACCTGCGTTGGTTCTCCGCCTCCTTCTTCCCGGTGGCCAAAGGGGCCGTGAACTTCATTACAATAGTTATTTTAAATACAATTTTTTTTTGTGCAGTTTTTGTTTTTGTTTCCACTGGAGACCACTGTGTACGCTTTTTCAGATCTCAAATTTCTATAGCGAGTACCATTTGCACCCACTGTTCTCGCGTAAATACACCAGAGGCCGATGTTAACTGACTGAATGGCTAACCGGCTGACCAATCGACTGATACACCCTCCTCCTTGCCTAAACCCAACCAATAGTGTTTTCACAAGCATTGATTGACTCGCTCACCCACTTCCCTCAACCCAACCAACAGTTTTAAAAAGCAATATGGAAAAAAAAAAACCCTCGCCTGATTTTTACCATGCTAGTTTTCAGATTTTACCACATTCTCTGCCTGTTATTTAGTTGTTCATTTCATTTTTGGCTTTTGTTTTTGTCTTACCTGCCTTTTAGAAACAATCTCTGCCGGACTTGAACCTTGTTGTCGTGGTCAACTCCTCTCTGCATCTCAAGTCCGCAGACGTACATGGCGAGCTAACTGGACAAACCGGCAACAGCAAGTAAGCAGTTCATATGGAGGTAAGCGGTAAACACGAAAAAGAAACAGCGTCATACCGCCCTGTAGCATTCGTTATAAAGATGAAATGCAGCCATACATAGCTCTGGCTACATAACTTGTGATCTCCAGAAATGTATATAGGTCTACATTTTCAGAATGAGACTTAATAAGTAAAGTTTTAAGCAGCAAAAAAAATGTTTTGAGTAAAACAAAAAACATAAATGTCACAAAGCACATAAGGGAAACACTTTATTTAAATGGGTGATTAAATAATCACTGCCAGTTCAATCAAATAAACCTCAATTAACATACAAGGCCAGACTTGCTGATTTTGCTGATCTATTTATAATATTTCATGTGAAGACAAATTTAAAGCACACTTTAAAAAGCAAATAGTTACTTTAGAAAAGTGAGTAAGCCAGTTGCCTTAAAAGAAATGAGTTGACTTTACTTTAAATAGTGAGTAAATCTGTTGTATGAATGGTTAAGTTGACTTGCATTATAATTATGCACATAACTCAATTAATCAATAGTTTTAAGGCCATAGGCTTACTCACTTTTTAAAGTAAAGTCTACTTATCGTTGTAAAAGCAATGGATTTACTCACTTTTTTAAGTAAAGTAAAACTTATAGCTTTTAACAGTTTATTGTATGATAAACAAAGTACCCAAAGATAAGTAAAAAGGTCGGTTTGAGTCTTAATTTAATGACTAATTCATTCTCAGAGAATAGTGCAGACACTCAAAGGCAGCTGAAGCCTGTATGCGGTCATAAATATGATATGAAGGGTTGTACTGCAGGTTGCTGCACAAATTCACCTCATTGCTCTGTCATGCAAGTGAATTAACTAAAAAAAAAGGTAAAGTGAACTCAAAGTGGAAACAGCACAGACATTTCTTTTCTATTTCAGGAGTCTATGGTGGTCATCCACAGTTTCTAAATGACCCCATTGGCCACTTTTAGAAATTATAATTATTATAACTATTAAATAAATCAGTATATATTTATATTATAATATATAATCATTAGACAAAAATAAAAAATGCAAAAAGAACTAATAAAGGTAATATCTTGATACAGTAAGGTCTCCAACAGTATGAATGTGGCAAGATGAGCTGTGTTTTTATTACTAGATTTCACTGCAGCACAGATTTCATGTAAAATGAGTGCACTAAAGTATACTGACTCAAAAAGTTAATGACATGTAATTAATAAAACCCGTGTTGGTTACACTTCATAATAACAGCACACTGTTAATCATTTATTAAGCATTAAAAGGGACCTATTATGCCTATTTAAGATGTGAAGTAAGTCTCTGATCTCAATATTCAGCTCTAAATACCACACAAATAATGTTTTATAACTCTTCGAAACTCCTATTTTTAGGCTTTGATCCAAGTTAGTGACTTTTGCTTTAAACTCAAATGAGATGAGCCAAAATAGGGCGGGGCTACAAATGCGCTAGCATAGTGGCAGATTCAAAAACAAGACTACCATCCTATGCTAACGAGGGAGACATTGTTACCAGTAGGCGGAGCTTACCCCCTCTGATGACATGTACAAAGGGAGAATGTCTCTGCAGACTGTTTTTATCAAGTGTGGCTATAAAAAAATCAAATGAATACATTTTTACCATTTGAAGCTGGTTATATTTACTGACTGTTGCTGCACAAAAGTATGTAAACCCCTTATAAAACTAATTTTGCTTAATAGGTTCCCCTTTAATTTAACATTAATTAAAATTAACAGTCTATAAATACAGCTATAAGTGATGTACTCTTGATTTATAAGGACACATGGTCTTAATGATTGCAGTTTCATACCTTGTTATTATTTTCAGTCTCGTTATTTGTTGTTATACGTACTAAAATTCATTTGCTATTACTGTTATATAAGTATTAAATTATTCACAAACCAGTTATTTAATAGTTGTTGGTGGTTTTAAAATCATTCAAAGTGAGTAAGTAAATGTTTAATAAACTAGTGATTTAGAAAAAAAACACATTAATTTTAAGATACAAAACTGTATAACCGTACACCAAAATGCTAAATAAAATTCAAAAAAATGAAATATAAAACCCTAAATTGCACTGAAATCATATCTAAAAATGTTTCAGTTTAAACCCAACTGATTAACATTGAAATGTTTTATCATGTTCTTATATTGCTATATTATTATGTTGTTGTTTTAACAAATTTATTGTATGTACAAAAATTGTTGTATTTGGACATTATTGTTTCTCAGGCAATTTTTAAATGGTACAAATATGTTGATTTTAGATAAGATTGCAAAGATTTATTTTTCATTTGATACAGTATTTTATTTCTCAACTTGAAAATAAATATTTTAGTATGACTCTGTCATTTATTTAATTTGTCTTAGAATATAACTGAGCCTTAACTTTCCATTTATAAGGGGTTAATAGCCATTATATGAGCTCACAAAACTAGAAATGTGAGTTAATAAAGCATGCATTAAACATATAGAGTAACTACTACTATATACCTAATTAAGATGTATAAATGCTTGTTTGAAGAGTTTGTTAATCATTTACTTCCTTATTCTAAATGATATTTAAAACCACCAACTACTCTTAAAAAAATAATTTGTGAATAATTTAATACTTAATTTAGTAGCAAAAAATGAACATCAACTAAGTATGATAATAAATCATTAAGCCCATTATATAAGTGTGTGTAAGTCAAGAATAAAGCATCTGTAGCTGTATTTAAACTGCTAACTAATCTCTATTAATGTAGAGGTAATGACTTAACAACTGGTGCTTAATAAATGATTAATAGAGTGCAGTTATTATAAAGTGCTACCTAAGTGGTTTCTGTGTTTTGTTGTCCAATTATCCCAACTTCAGAATGTGGCTATATGCAACCCAGGCTCACTGGAAATACATATATTTGAGAACCGACAAAAATATACCCTGGACTACGTCTTTAGTTTATGTTTTCACAAATCCATGTGCATTTCAATCTTTAATTCGTTATCTCATACATGCTAATTCTCATAAACCCACCAGAGGCCGCTGTATACATTTCTGTTTATCTTAAAGTCCTTTATGTGCACTTTCTTATGTTGCGTTCACACCAGACATGGATGAGATGTCAAGCGCAAGTGATTTACATGTTAAGTCAATGCAAAGATGTGAATAGACATCCCGCGGCACGATTCATGCAAATGAGGCAGCGCGAATGACGCAATTCACGTGAATAAAGCTGTGCAAGTTGAGCGTTTTGCATGGTTGACGTGCTTCATGCAGATATCGCGACACCATTTCATCAAACTGGGCTCAAGTCTGAAGCACTGCTGAAAGGCTCCATCATCCAGGTTAAGTCTCTGTAGGAGTTGAAGAACTCACAGGGCTGGGTGCACTTCTGAAAGGATCTATAGTGGACACGACGGCGAACTAATCTACGCTGTTTTTCAGCATTCCTAAAGCACATAAAGCACAGCTACTCTCTTAATAAAATCCATGTTAGCCATTTAGCCACGTAGCTAGAGACAGAAGCCCTGCCCATGAAGCGAATCCGCGTCTATTGTAAAGTGAATTTGATGCACGAGTGAAGCGAGTACAATCAAAAAAATCACACGTCTATTCACGTGTAAATGGCGTGATTCATTCATGCATGCGACGTTTAGTGTGAACACAGCATTAAGAGAAGCCTGTCTGCTTGTTGTGGAGCATAATATATCAGCTTGATATCGACTTACCCACACACCCCGAATGATAGTGTTTTCAAAAGCAAACTACAGGAGAAAAGCAATCCTGGCCAGGTGCTTCTACTATGACTTCACACTGCTTTTTGGGTTTCGTTTTATCTGGTTTCTGGAACCAGTCACACTAGAAACGCCGTCCATACAGAGGTCGTTCATTTTACAGAAGTAACAAAAATTGCACAAAATGCAGCCATTTGTTAAGTTGAAGACTGAATTATTAGCCCTCCTGAATTATTAGTCCTCCTGAATTATTAGCCCTGGCTGCGTATTTTTCCCCAATTTGTGTTTAATGTAAAGAAGATATTTTTTTCAACACATTTCTAAACTTAACAGTTTTAATAACTAATTTCTAATAATTGATTTCTTTTATCTTTGCCATGATGGCAGTAAATCATATTTTACTAGATATTTTACAAGATACTTGCAAGTGACATTTAAAGGCTTAACTAGGTTAATCAGGCAAGTTAGTGTAATTCACAATTCATTGTATAAAGTCGCTGTCAAACTGCACTTTTTGCTCCTTAGATTTCCACTCATGGGTAATTCTTCAACGACGGGCACATTTATGTCCTTTAATCATATATCTTAAAATATATATATAATTTTGTTCAAATTTCTCTTTCTTTGTCAAACTAACAATAAAACCTACTAAAATTTGTACTACCTTTCTATTATTTCATTTTCATATTATTCAACCTCCTTTTAGGTGTCAAAATCACTGTTTTCACCTTGTCGCACACCCAGAGTTCAACTTCAACAGTGAAAATAACATTTTAAAATATTATTTATCTGGTGTCTGTTAATGTATCCTAATTAAGTACTAGTGAAATAATTAAAATATTTTATAGTATCAGTTGATCATTTCCACCACAACACTGTAATGTCACTAAGTTTGTGTGAAAGATTATTTAGGTGGTTCAATAGAGGGAATAAATTTTTTTTAACAACAACACTTGAATAAAAATCAAAGTAATAATTGATTTGATAAGGAAACACATTTATTCTACTTCATTTCCAAATATGTTGCACCTTCAAAGAAGTTTTAAAAATTAAACAAAATTAAAGTGAATAAGAGTGTTTTTTATACATAAAAAGGCTAGTATCAATTCAAAGCTAATCGGTGAAGCTATTTTTCATTTTTTCACAATAAATTGTTGAAATGTCATTTCCACCACTGTCATTTCCATCACCACAAAAAATATTTAAAAAGTTCTCGTCACACATTAAAAGTGTATTCACAATGTATAAGTTCATGCTCTATTTAATTAACAAATTCAGTTTATTTATTTTCTAATAAGCTCTTAACCAAATTAATATTACATTTTAGAGGTATACAGGTGTACAATTCAGCATACAACTAATTTATTTCATTGACAAATGTATATTTATTATATATATATATATATATTGTTCAAAGATAGGTTAAACTAGAGACACAAATGATCTTAGACAATGTTTGACTGCCACAACTTATTTCATTTTGAAATAAGCTGTAAATTGAGATGTGGTGGAATTGACATTTGTTTAGTGGTAAAAATGTTTCTCTCCTTATCTAAGTTTGTCCTCTTACAGATCTTAAAACTTGACAGACTGTTGAAACTTATGAGGCTATGTTATGTTAATTTTTAACAAGTTTTTTTACTCAACTTCACAAGGCTAATAATGCCTATAGTTGAAGAATGGACCTCGTATGCATGTAAATGCAACAGACTGAAAACGCAAGCTCATGCAACAAGTTTCGCAGTTTGCTGCGTTGCAAAGTTCAAGCTTGGTGAATTCAGACCTGCTAAATCATGTAAATGTGGGGGACCAATAGAAGATCAAAACGTGATCTCTCTGGACAGAAATTACAAATATGAACTAATTGCTTGTTTTATAAACATCTGATCATCTGGTTTAACTCCACCCATTTTCTCAACGTCATACAACAGAATTTTGCATGCTCAAACTCTAGTGTGACCTTGGTTTATTCTGTAGACAATCAAAAAAATCTTTATTGTTTGATAGGGGCGAAAAATATTGAACCTTAACCTTAAAATTAAGAACGGCTTTTATTCTAGTCAAAATAAAACAAATAAGACTTTCTTCAGAAGAAAAAATATTAGAAATACTTTGAAAATTCTTTGCGTTGTTAAAATCGTTTGTGAAATATTTGAAAAAGAAAAAAACACAGCAGGGCTAATAATTTTATCTTTAACTATACATGCAAGCACGTTTTCTCAATGAGCCTGTGTTGCCTACATAGGTTGTCACATAGATAGTTCCTTTTGGAAATTCAGTCAGGGATAATTAAAGGCTCAAGCTGGAATGTCTCTGATTTTAGCAAACAGTTGTACTCAAAAACTGTTTTGCTCTCTCCATACTATTCTAGGCAGTAAGAAGACACATAAATACGATGTAAAATTAAAGAAGAATTGACTTGGTGTGTAAATGATTAAGATATTCGGTTCCTGGGTTATTCAGTGCATTCTTCATCATTGTTCAGTCCTCTTCCTCTCCTTCAGCGTCTCCCTCCTCCTCCTGCATAAACTCCACCATCAGCTCAGCGGTGCAGGATGCTTCTCCCAGGCCGTTGACGGCTTTGCAGGTGTACTTGGCGTCATCATCAGGGCAAACTTCTGAGATCACCAGACTACAGTGGCCGTCCTCCTCATAGTCAATCTGGAAGTGGCGTGTCTCCTTAATAGGTTGGTCATCTTTGTACCACACCACCTCAGGATCTGGGCAGCCTTTATTTTCAGAAAAGAAAGTAAATCAGTAGTGTTCTATTTTTCCTATCTTTTACATACATTGAAGTCAGTGTGAATAGAAAGTTGCTGAGACATTTATTTCAGTATGTTGATGTACTTCCTACTGAAACAGAGCATTGAGTAGGGGGCGGGGCTTTATTTTTGTGAATCATTCCCTCATAGCAAACTAACAATAAGAGGGGCGTGGTTACGAATATTGTGGCTCAAGCTGTCAAACTGATGTCATTAACGGGATCGCTACTTCAGATGCCCAAGCAAATTTTTAAACATTAATTGAAGATTATTAAAACAATGTTTTTTTTTCAGTGGCATAACTTGCACGGATTAATTGTTAATCTAAAGAGCAACGATGTGCGCTAGCAAAATAAACATTGTAAATTTTGATTTCTCACAGACTTTAAAGGTTTTCATTTTCTTAGTTTAAATCTTTTCTCACAGTGTCTGAAATAGTTAATTTAAGGATCAGGGGTCTTATTTTATAAAAATGTATGTAGAAACTTTCTAAGCTTTAAAGCTTTTTTAACTAGATGCTCATTTCTTTTGGTCAATATTAGCTTTGAAGGCTTATTCAGCACTTGTATATAAAGGGACGTGAATAGTAGTGATTGTGTTGGTTTTACTGTGTCAGTTCTTATCCTGTGGTTGTGGATTTACTTCGACGCTAACTGTGGTAAAAAGACTTTGCTTTCCCGCTTGCTGGTCAAAGAGAGTGTTCACCAGCGAACAACCACCAGATGTCGCTGGTAAACATTCACACACAAACATTCACACTCATTGAACTACATATCTGCCATGTTATGGGTCTACAACACCCAGTCATGCCACACACACACAACCGGTTCCAGATCCACACTGATTGCACTCTCACAGCTGAAGCCACTCACCCAATGATTATTTGGACTATTTAAACCCCTCTTTTCCACACACATGTTGCTGAGTCTTGTTTATCTGTAAGGTGACATTACACCGCGTTATCCTGGTCTTGTGTTCCTGTGTTTTGATCTTAGCCTTTTTTATCCAGTTCTCCTGTTTAGCCGCCTGCCTACTGACCTCTCGCCTGTGTTTGACTACGATTCTGGACTGCCTGTATAGATCTGTTTGCACCTGTGTTGACCATTGCTTGCCTGACTATGATTAAACCTGCATTTGGATCCTAACTTCTGTTGTTGGTGTCACTCCCCGTCGTAACAGAGGTACACACCTTCAAGGAAGGTCTAATAACTTGTACACAGTTATAAGCTATAGAAGTCATATTTTTTGGGTAGTGATTTCATATATGTGATGGCGGACAGTCAATAATTTATTCTAAAATGTAATCTCAATATAAGCTTTAAATGTTAATATTATGTGACAAAAATTCAGTTCAGCACAGTCTTACAGTTGAGGTCAGAATTATTAGCCCCTTGTTTATTTTATTTCCTTAATTTCTGTTTAACGGAGAGATTTTTTTTCAACACGTTTCTAAACAAAATAGTTTTAATAACTCATTTCTAATAAATTATTTTATCTTTGCCATGATGACACTACATAATGTTTTACTAGATATTTTTCATGACACTTTTATACAGTTTAAAGTGACATTTAAAGGCTTAACTGGGTTAATTAGGTTAACTAGGCAGGTTAGGGTAATTAGGCAAGTTATTGTATAACGATGGTTTGTTCTGTATTTAACCCCGCCGGTCCTACACTTCCCAACCCGCTCCGAGCTGGTATCGAACTGGCAACTTTCCGCATGGAAGTCAGTTGCTCTAACAAGGAGGCTAAAGACCATGGCCTCTAGCATCTGTCGAGACTATCGAAAAAAAAAAGATCAGCTAAAAAGGGGATATTAATTTAGAAAATGGTGTTTGAAAAATTAAAAACTGCTTTTATTCTAGCCAAAATAAAACAAATAAGACTTTCTCCAGAAGAAAAAATATTATCAGACATACTCTAAAAATGTCATTGCTCTGTTAAAGATCATTTGGGAAATATTTAAAAAAGAAAAAAAAATCAAAGGGGGGCTAATAATTCTGACTTCAACTGTATGTTAGAATGACTCCTATGGCCATTTTAGTAGTTATCGAATTCTGCTTTTCTAGAGTTAAAAATAGAGAAACAATAGATGACTGAATCATTTTTAATAATAAAAAAAATAACAATCCTACATTAAATCAAGTTCCAGCAATGTTGTTCTGGGTGTCACGGTGGGTAGCATGATCGCCTCACAGCAAGAATGTTGTTGGTTTGAGCCCCGGCTGGGTCAGTTGGCATTTCTGTGTGGAGTTTGCATGTTCTCCTCATGTAAGTGTGGGGTTTCTCCGGGTGCTCCAGTTTCCCCCACAGTCCAAAGACATGTGGTATAGGTGAATTGAATCAGCTAAACTGGCCATAGTATTTGTGTGTGAAAGGGTGTGTTTCCCAGTGTTGGGTTGCGGATGGAAGGGCATCCGCTGTGTAAAAAATATGCTGGATAAGTTGGTGGTTCATTCCACTGTGGCAACCACAGATTAATAAAATGACTAAGCTGACAAGAAAATGAATGAATGAATGTTGTTGTTCTTAATGTCTTCAGAAGATTTACAATATTAAAAACAACAACACTGCTGGAATTTGATTCAACTTAGGATTGTTTTTTTTCTTTTCTTTTAATAAAAAACCATGCTTCAGTCTTAACATGTTTAATTCTTAATCAATCTATCTACAACAAACCAACCTTAGAGTGATGTCTGAAGGATCATGTGACACTGCAGACTGCACTAATGGCTCCAGAAAAGTTTTGTAATGACACTTTCATGACACTTTTATACAGTTTAAAGTGACATTTAAAGGCTTAACTGGGTTAATTAGGTTAACTATATCACATTTTAGTATTGTACAATGATTTTTTTTACTGTATTTTTAACTAAACCAGGAATGGTGAACATGAAAATCCTTTAAAGTTCAGCTATATATTTAAGGGTTAACGACAGAGTAATGACTCAGTAGTTCAAATGTAGAAGCTGTTGAAAATGAAGCTCATTACCTTCAATCTTGCAGTCAAAGCGGGCAGCGCTGCCTTCCACCACTTCCACATCCTGAATGACAGAGGCGAAGCTGGGCGCTGCTGGAGTGTGGTTTTCATCCTCCACGCTCTCAAGAAATGGTGCTGGAGGCTCTTCTAAACGCACACATGTATATATTTTACGTTATACTGCAAAAAATGTTAATTAACAGTTTTTGTATTTTGTGATTTACAAGTGTTTTCTGTTTATTTATGCTTGTGTTTATTTATGCTTGAATATAGCATTATGGGAGTTTTATCTCAGCTTTGTCAACTTTTGATGTTGAAAATTCTACTTTACAGTTTAACAAAGAATTTTATTACCATTTTAATTATATAATGCATAAGAAATAAACTATAGAAAATTAAGTCAGAAAAAAAAATGAAATGGTGTCTGTTTATTACAATGTAGCGTAATATACAACACCAGCCTAGACAAAATATCACTTTAAACTATAAAAATGTTAATAAAAGTCACTTTTTCCAGTTGTTAAAAGTTGTTAGAAGAAAGATCAATAACCTAATTATAAGGATAAAAATATGAATCACAAATTTGGGAAACTGCTAATTTAAGGATTTTGTTTACAGCAGATGCAAATAATATTTGTACAAATATGAGATTTACAGTTTTATAAGATTAGTTTGGCACACTTTTTTAAACTTTTCAAATATTTCAGCATATTTTCAATTGTGTTCAATACACAATTACAAAATATCCTTTTTCATACACAAAATAAGTTTCATCTATATAAATGTTTCATTCACATCTGCCTTTCATAAAGCTATTACTATTAAACTTTTGATTTGCATCTCATTACATCCAGTCAAATACAGAACATCTGTCTATCATTTCATTCAACTGATCTTAATCACTGAATAATTTTATTATGTCCATAGATTTTTAAGTTTCCTGTTCATTGTCTAATAGTTTGTTAGTTACAAATTGCAGCAAGAGATTTCAGTCAAGAAATGGTTGCAACATTACAATCCAACAATACTACAATAAATACTTTGTTTTTAAATTGTCAATTTGTCAGATGGCTGTGTTTATAGTTTTACAAACCTGTACCTAGTATTATCTGCTACTGATTAACTAGTTAAGTAAAGTACTAATTTGAAAACAGTCCCAACCAAATGTTTTCACATATCACAAAGATATTTTCTTGCAACAATGATTATGTAGAATGAAAATATGTCTAACCATGACATCAGGTATTGAAAGAATACTAATGGAACTACAAGTGTAAGTAGTTGAAAGTTTTGTTCTAAGAGATTTGAAATGTATTCAATTAGTTATGAAAATAATGCCAAACTGATTTTTAAAAACCCTGTAATTAACAGTGTGGCAACAATGTAAAAATAGTTTGCTATAGGTCATTACCTTCAGTTGGAGAGCTTTTCTTTGGGCCGATCCCTCCTAACATTCCCATAGAGCTGAATCTGGAAATGGCTCTCACTGCATTCCCAGTTTTCTGCAGAGACGCTCACAAACATGAAGGCTAAGCTCTGTCCCTTCACCAAGAGACAGTTTCCCCTACAAAGTAATTCCCTGTGTAACAAATAAATCAAAATGCTCTCACCTGCCAGCGACGTCTCAGGATGTACTTTTTCATCCTTTCTTTGGACAGCTGTTTAGCTTCCATGTTTTTGGTGTCCTGTTTGAGCCAGGAGTGCTCGAAACACTGAGCGCAGGTCAGTCTGGCCCTAAAATATGGGTCAGGAAAATAAAATATTCACCTCAATATTTAGTGTTTACTACCCTCTCAGAAATAAAGGTATACAGGAGCTGTCACTGGGGCAGTACCTTTTTAAAAGGTATATTTGTACCTTTAGTGTCCAAATGTACCTCAAAGATACTTTTTAGGTACATTTGGACACTAATATGCACTAATATGACTCTTTGGGTACAAATATGTGTTTTAAAAAGGTACTGCCCAAGTGACAGCTCCTGTATACCTTTATTTCTGAGAGTGTCTTAATAGATTTGATAAGGATGAGTTTGATCATTTACTTTGCCTATCATTCATGTACAGATTTTACTGGGATCTTAGTTATTTGATAAATTTGGCACAAACTTGAAGTTAGTGTTTTTTTTTTTTTTTTTTTTTTACCCCTGTTGTAGCATATATCTACATTTACATTTACATTTAGTCATTTAGCAGACTCTTTTATCCAAAGCGACTTGCAAATGAGGACAAGGAAGCAATTTACACAATTATAAGAGCAACAATGAATAAGTGCTGTAGGCAAGTTTCAGGTCTGTAAAGTCTAAGAAGGAAAGTATTAGTAATTTTTTAGTAATTTAGTAATTTTTTTTTGTAATTTTTTTAGTGAAATTTTAGTAATGTGTTTTTTTAATTAATTTTTTATTTATTTTTATTTTAGGTACAGTTACTGGTATATCCAGAGACAGGCAATTTGGTAATTTTGGCAATTTGGTATATCCAGAGAGGCAATTTTTTCTAAGCTAAAAAGCTTCCCGAACAAGGAAAAGTGCAGGATGGGACTTGATTTCTTTTATCAATAACTGATTTGATGGTTGCAATTTTGGTTCTTTTGAGACACAGGTTGTCCAGCACTTGTCAATAAGAGAAGTTTATTTATAAACTAATTTCGAGAGGATCACATGCTTATGATTGCTTGCAGCCGGCCCGGCATTATTCAATTTATATTATATTCAATACCCTAAGTTCCTTTTAAAAGCCATGTTCATTTTGAAGACTCCCTCTTTCCACCCCAACTCCTCCTCCTTTCCTAGATGGGTGGCACGGTGGCCCAGTGGTTAGTACTGTTGCCTCACAGCAAGAACGTCACTGGTTCTAGTCCTTAAAAAGCCAGCCAATGTTTCTGTGTGGAGTTTACACGCTCTCCCCGTGCTCACGTGGGTTTCCCCCCGGGTTCCCTGGTTCCCTCCCACCGTCCAAAAGCATGCAACTTAAGTTAGTTGAATAATCCAAATCGGGATTCTCTAGATCTACCTAAGCTCGAACTCCCCTCTCGCCTTGCAAACAGGAGGGAGCCCCGGGCTCAAGGATCTTTTGAGCTCAGGGTTCTCTCCCAGGACAGCATTTCAAACCAGCTTTATAATCAATCATGAGCTTAGTGTGAACTCTTGAAACACATCATTAAAGTCTGCATGAACCTAAAGATTTATTTCAGTACGTTGATGTACTTTCAACTGACACAGAATATTGAGTGGGGGGCGGGGCTTTATATTTGCACATTATTCCCTCATAGCAAACTAATGGAAAGAAGGGCGTTTTTAAAGTATATCGTGGCTAAAGCCATCAAACTGATGTCAAAATAGAAGGACCACCACTCCAAAGCAGAAAGAAATGGTCAGATCACCTAAAGAATAATAATTTGTGCAAGCAAAATAAACAATATACATTTTGATTTTACACTGACTTTAAAGTGAGGTAAAGTTATTTTTATTAAAGATAATAAGCATACTCTAGGAATTTTAGAAAAAAATGATGACTGCATGGATAAATCACTTAAATATTGCAATAAATAAGCCTAACCCTAACCCTAAAACTAATATTTTTTTTTTTACCACATTATATCTTTAATTGCCTAGAGCTCAATCTGTGCTGTCCAACAAAATTGCTTCACATGTGTATATATAAGGTCTCTAAAAAGACTAAAGTCTATGAAAGTTGACACTGAGTAGGGACGGGGCTGCACATCATTCCCTCATAGCAAAATAACAATAAAAAGGGTGTGGTTAACCCTCTACTGCACGCATTATGATAAATCTATTAAAATAAATATTTGACTGTTTTTCTTTTCTTAAAATGGCTTAACTTGAAGTGCTGTAAAAAAATTTGAAAAAAATATTTTTTAAGGTACTTTATGAAATGTTGCAATATGGCAACAACGTCCAACAGTAGATCTAACTTAGACATTTTAAATGTAAAACCTTTCTTATAATTAATAATTTTTTTGTTTGAAATAATTTTATTGGTGTTGCAGTATCATAAGCTTAAATACAGAACTTATAAATGACACCTTATACACACTTTTCAACAACTCATATTTCAACAGCTTTCATTTATTCCATTCTTTTTAGCTGAATATTATTAAAAACAATCATAATACTGTATTATCATGTATACAACATAAAGTAAATATAAATATTTCCTCCAGTAAATATTATAACAAATAAATAACAAGTCTAGTATATCCAGATGCATCAGAATAATGTAGCTACTAGCTAACAATGTTTATGTATATAATATACCATTCTACGCCTGTCTTATCTGCCTCTAAGCTAACTTACCTGAACTGTCTCTATCAAATGTCCAGTCTGCATTATTCTCATGGTCACTAAAACCCATCCCACCCTCACTTTCATCTGCAGGAAGAGCCAGTTCTGTCCTTTTCTTCTTTCACTTACCATAGAACATGGTGGTGCTCGCTAATACACTGTTCCCTGTAATAATATCTATTCAAAAGTAGTATTGCCATAAAAACTAGATTTTGTCCATAATGCAAATGTCATTAACATACAACTAATCAACATTATATTACTAGCTTTCATGTTGTTATTGTTACAACATAAAAGTTCACAGCTGACCTTGCTAGCAAGCTAACCCATTTAAATTTTGCACATTCCACTATTGCACCATTTGGCAACACATACATTTGATCGATTTACAAAAAACTAATTTGCTAAAAAAAATTTAAAAATTGTGAATATGTCATCATAGCTTACTGGAGGTCTCAGATTTTTTTGTGGATCTGACATAATTTGATCCTTTGTTTTTATTGACATTTACATTTGCATTTAGCAACTACTCACAATAAACGACAGTCTGTCAGAAATCGCACTACAGAAAAACACTGCATGTCTTGTGGTTTAACAAAAAGCACATCATTGGCTACTCTAAGGTCTTAGAGTAAGTATTATAATAATAACAAAAAAATATGTTAGTCTTTAAGACACAGTGGCAGGGAAATAAACATAAACATCATGTTGAAATATGGTGAAACAGTGCAGTAGAGGATTAATTGTGCCTAAAGCAGTCAAACTGTCATTAACAAAGAATGACCACCACCCCAAACGCAGAAGAAAACGGTCAGAATTTGAATAAAGATTACCAAAGCACATTTTTTAGTGGATTAACTTGCATGGATTAATTGTTCACATAAAGGATGTGGGCTAGCAAAATAAACATTGTACATTTTAAATTTACACAAACTTTAACCTGGAACAAAATGAGCAAATAAGTACTTGGAATAATGTTGGTGTGGTCATATTTCTGATTGATGAAAAAGTTTTTATAAAAGAGCTTTCATCTTACCTCATGTCTTTTTTCAGAAGCCTGCTGATGAAGTCTTTGGCTTGATCTGAAATCTCATCAAATGCCTCATCCTCAAAATCCCAGGTGGCTGAGGTGACGTTGGCGAGGGTTTCGTTATCGTTGTCTCCCATGAATGGCGATAGACCACTGACACTGAAGGTAAACAAGAGTAAGGGTGTTTGACAGTTATTTTTGATTCTGTTACTACATATTCAACCAAAATGTGTGGCTACAACTTTAGTGTTGGCCGCATTTAGACATTCTAAACATTTAGACATTCTGAAGGAATTAACATGGCAGTCATTAGATTGTTAATAGTTTTTTTGCTTAACATCTGCCAACACTTTGACCTTTTTTAAATTATCCACAAGAGGAAATTTGTCTTTGGCTTCGCTACATAATTACATTTAACATCATCACTTATGTCCCGTAAATATGTATCATTTTAAAAACATTACACAATTAACCAGACTCTTACTCAAATCCCAGTATTTAAAATTCGAATGGCAGTTGGCACAAATGACATTTGATACACATTTTTCATTACTTGAGTTTGTCTAAAACATCTTTTCTATGGCAAAAGCTGAAATTTTGAAACTTTATTTTGATAGTTTGTCAACTGACATTCTATTGACAGTATACACAAATGACTGTCAATGAGAGTTAGTGATGTAATTATTATAGTATTATAGTACACTTTTAACAATAGTCTGTAGACTCTACAGTAAATTACTGGCAAACTACAGTAACATACTGTAAATCAATTACAGCAAGAATACTGTATTTACATTTACAGCACCGTTTATTCAGCTCTATATGTATTTACAGTATTGTATTGAAGTATCTTCACTGTGAAATATACAGTCATTTTCACAATGCAACTTTAAGATATAGTAACATACTGCATAACTGTTCTACAGGAAAATACATATTACAGTTGAATACTGTGCAATTTACAAAAATCATTATTAGTGTTTATATTCATAGTTAACAAAACATCCGAAGTGGATTTATCACATAACAGCAGCCTAGGTGAGCATAAGAGAATTCTTTGAATATCATTTAAATAATCTTCCCAACATCACGACTTTGATCGTAAATGTTAATATTCCTGTTATTTGACTGTGCAATGTGTTCTATGACTGTGCTGTCTTAAAAAACAGGCTAAGTGTCAGATAATTTATTATATATATATATATATATATATATATATATATATATATATAATACATATTATAATATATAAAAATAATTTATTACTATAAAAATAGTAGTAATAATAATAATAATTCCTTACATGTATAAAGCGTTTTTTTGGACACATAAAGTGATCTACATATTGAGGGGAATCCCCTCATCCACCACCAGTGTACAGCATCCACATGGATGATACGACAGCAGCCATACTGCACCAGACCGCACACCACACACCAGCTGATTGGTGGAGAGGAGACAGAGTTATAAAGCCATTTATAATATGGGGATGGTTAGAAGGCCATGATGGACAGAGGTCAGTGGGCATATTTGAAAGGACATCCTGGGGTTTTTAACGACCATCCGAATGATGGTGCTCACTGAGCAGTATAGAGTCCCTTTCACTATACTGGGGCATTAGGACTCAGGATCACTGTCCCCTCACAGCAAGAAGGTTGCTGATTCGACTACCGGCTGGGTCAGTTGGCATTTCTGTGTGGAGTTTGCATCTTCTCCCCCTGTTGGCGTGGGCTTCCTCCGGGTGCTCCGGTTTCCCCCACAGTCCAAAGACATGCACTATAGGTGAATTGAATTGAACCTAATTGGCCGCAGTGTATGTGTGTGAATGAGAGTGTATGGGTGTTTCCCAGTACTGGGTTGCAACTGGAAGGGCATCCGCTGTATAAAACATATGCTGGATAGGCTGGCGGTTCATTCCGCTGTTGCGAGACTAAGACAAAGGAAAATGAATGAATGAATGAGTTTGAAAGATATAATTTTAAATAAAAGTATAAAGGCTGTATTCTATTAACTTTTTCTGTAGTTACAGAATAATAACTGATTTAATCACCTTCAGGAATTATTTGACATATTTTGGCATATAATATGAAAAACTAAATTAAATGTTTGTTTAAATTGTTTAAAATTCAATCTTTTGCAAGTACATGCAGCACCCTCATGAATCAGGACAGTTTTGCAGTTCACAGCAAAAAATAGATGTTTGGAAAGGTGTATTTATTGCTGTTTAGTGTTTACTAAAAGAAATAAAATAAAACTAAAACTTTCTTTTACAACATGCTGGGGGCCATTAGCTCATATGTAACCTGGAGATAAAAGTAGCCGAGGCAAGTCAGTTTAAATATTTACGCTCTACCTCCAGAGATCAAAATAGTGTTTATATGCTAAAATGAAAAAGCAAGCTGTCTAAAAACTCTATGAAGTCCATAAAAGGAAATGTTTGCAGTTTGCAGCATTGATTACTTTGTCTTTACGTGCCGCGGATCTTAAGGGTCTGTTGGAGGAGTTGTACCGATTTGTCACTTACAGAATGTAACAGATGACGCCAATGCTCCACATGTCTGTTGGGTAGCTGATAGCCTCATAATTGATCACCTCAGGAGCAACAAACTCAGGAGTCCCAAACAAAACCTTCAGAGAGCCAGAATCCTCTGTAAGCAGAAAATAAAAACATATAAATCTGTGCCAGAAAACCAGACACCATGTTTGTTTTCGTGTTTCTTTACCTAGTCTTCGAGCAAGCCCAAAGTCAATGAGCTTGATCTTGCTTCCGGTCTTGTTTATGCACATGATGTTCTCTGGTTTAAGATCTAAGTGGACGATGCCTTGCTTGTGGATGAACTGGACTCCATCTATGATCTGCAGCATGTACTTAATCACCTCTCGCTCGGTCAGCTCGAAATCTTCATCCACGATTCGCTCAAACAGCTCGCCGCCAGAAATCCTGCAGCCAATAGGGATCACAGTGACATCATCATTTGGTGATGCTAACCAATCACTGTCAGACTGCAATTGAAACGTTTTAAACTTGTTTATGCACATTCCATTTAACAAGCATACGAACAGTGTCTCTGCCTGGAGCGCTAAACAATTCTCTTACAGTCAGGGAGATTTAAATCTGGGCTATTTTCCGTCATGGCTGCCAAACAGAGAAAGAGAGCATTCATACTTTTCCCTCCCCACCTCTTTGTTTCTCCATCTAGCTATATAAGGGCTTGTGACACGCGCATCTCCAATCACACACTCTTGGATTTCGCATTCCACCCACACCATAAATAGCTAAACTGGTGGAATGATTTAAAGGTGTTGGAAGACAACTAACAAACATCACGACCTGTTCAAAAACTACAAGAATTGCAGAGTAGGTTCATCAAATTGACCTGATGTCCCATCCTGTACTCTCAGAAATAACAGTATGGGAGCTGTCTCTGGAACAGTACCTTTTCAAAAGGTACATATTTATACCGGAATGGTCCATAATGGTACCTCTAATATACTTTTAAGGTACATTTGGGTACTAATATGCACCTTTTAGGTACCACTGTGGACTATTTCGGTACAAATATGTATCTTTTAAAAAGGTACTGCCCCAGTGACAGCTCTTGTACCAAAACTTCTGTGTGCGGAACATGTCCAATGGGATTCTTTTTGTTTCTATACATTCTATTCGATTATAAAACACATTTCCTTAGTCAAGGATTCCTATAATACTGCCCATTACAAACTTGATCTGTTAGTATGATCATCACATGATCATATTTTGCCTGTAGTTTCTGCTTTTGCTTTGAAATGGAAAGAAGAAAGTTGTGGTGTTTAAAACTGAGAGCCTATCAGGGGGGCCCGTAGCCTTCTGGTGGTTCGAAAGACTCACCCCTCACTGAAAAAGGTCTAGTATTTGTCCCATACATTAGCTCATTGGTCCTGTTATGACCATTATGCAATCATACACTCTCAGAAATAAAGGTAAGCGAGCTGTCACTGGGGTGGTACCTTTTCAAAATGTACACATTTGTACTTAAAAGGTCCATATTGGTACCTCAAAAGTATATATTAGTACCTAAAAAAATTGATAGGAACACTTTGGTACTTTTCAGGTACTAATATGTACCCTTGAGGTATTAATATGAGCCTTTTAGGTACAAATTTGTACCTTTTAAAAGGTACCACCTCAGTGACAGCTCACATACCTTTATTTCTGAGAGTGTAAGTAATCGAAATAACCCATCGAAAAAAGACTTTAAGACCAAGCGGAATCTGATGCAAGTAAAGTCAATTTTCACTGTATTGTTATTATTGAGAAAACATTTTATTAGTATCTTTTATTCTAAATCTTGGACCTTATTCTTGAAAGACAAAAATTACCAGTAAAAAGTTTTGAAGCACCAAAAGCGGCCCATATTAATATTTATTAGGGTATTGTTGTTATCAATGAATCTTCAAATGTACTTTTTATTTATTTATTTTTCTTTTTTTACAAGAGAAACTAGAAAAATTGTGAAGCTCTACTATATTATCATTATGTTTATTTTATTTATAATTGACATGGCCAAATTCTGAGACTAAGGAGAGCTGAATGTGCTGGCCAGTTTATATTTTGCATAATAAATGACAATAGGCCACAGTTTTACATTAAAAACTTTAACAGATTGCTAATTTCCTCCTAGTGATGTATCATAAAGTAGCCTCTTTATATTTCTTCATCCTCAATTTTTAGAATATGTTTTTGGTACATCAAAAAGGGTGACCATTTGACAAGCTAATTCAACAAAAAATGTGCTTAAATTGTCACTAAAATGCAGCATTTAAAATTTCATATTTAAATAGAAAATGAGTTGAAAAACTGCAAAAAAGGTCCACTTTTTGAGAAAAAAGAACCATCCCTTTTGATAGACTGGCTACGAGCCTGTCAGGATCAACTTAACGATATCAAAAGTGTATCATCTTTAACAGATGTCTATGAGATTTGCTTAAGGCTCTTTGTTAAAATGAAAACTGGATCACCAGTCTGTCATTTTACAGTGTCTACTGTGAGTTAACACTATCTAAAATGTGATTGGTTGTAGTTCACTTTGGACAAAAGTGTTTGCCAAATACATTGTAAATTGCTTAATAAATATAAATTCTTTCTACTGCTCTCATTCTAAAGGTCTGGCTTCTCAAACGTAATGTTGCTAGTACACAAGGGTGAATTACCTGCTCTGAACACTAGTTTGATTGATTTTTTTAAAGTATTGTTTTGGTTCCAAACAACAGATCGCTCATCAGTTCCTCAGAGTGCCCACTGTTTAGTTCAGTTTCCAGGTGCCAAACAGCAAAATGAATGGACGTGTTTCTGTTTTTTCCATGGATTTAGTATTTTTAGTTTTGTTTCCAAAGCACCAACACATTAACCAGCAGAAACAACATATGTATTTATTTGTCATCAATGTAAAGCACAGGTTCCAAAGAAAGGGGGAATCAGTTGATTTCTTTACACGTACATCGGCGGACTTGAGATGCAGAGAGGAGTTGACTGTGACAACAGGGTTTGAGTCCAAGTAAAGAATGCAGATAAGGCAAAAACAAAAGTAAAAAAATTAAATAATCAAGTAAATAACAGGGTGAGAATGTGGTAGAATCTGAAAACATGGTAAAAGTCAGGCAAGGGCTTTTCTTTTTCTGGATTGCTTTTTAAAATACTGAGGTTGGGTTTAGGGAAGGGGGTGGGCAGGTCAATCGTTGCTCTTTAAAATGCTATTTTAAATAATAGTGAATTTGTACGAGTTTCCGAATAGTCGTAGGAAATTGGAAAATTGAAAAAAAAAAAAAAGGCGTGGCACCTAACCCCACCCCAACCCCAACTTTCATTGGGGGATGAGCATATCGAACTAAATTGAATGAATTAGATCATACGAATTCATACAAATTAGCCACTAAATCAAAAAGGTATGAATTGGCGTGAGATTGTGTTGATATATCGGTACGATCAGAATGAGCCTGTGTCAGTCCATATGGCGGCATCATACCGCCCCGTAGCATTTGTTTTAAAGAGGAAATGCAGCCGTACGTATTTCTGGCTGCATAATTCATGATCTCCAGAAATGTATAAGGCTACGCTTTCAGAATAAGCCTATGTTGCAACAGGCCGCACCTTGAAGAACGAAATTGTCCTTATGGTAATTTGTCTTGTAACATTACTGTTTGATTTTGCTAGAAATCTTTAATTTTGTCAACTTCTGATTGGTTCAAATCAGAAGCAATTATATATCGTTTACTACAGGCATGAATCTGATTAAAAAAAACAGCCCAGCAGGCACAGGACATCAACATGATGTCAGATTGACATTGTACCCCAACTTTGTTTAACGTTGCATTTTGTTAAAAATTGGATTGACATCAGAATCCAACATCAGGCTGACGTCAATGTTCAATGTCGGACAGATGTTGCATTTTGGTTACTTTCCAACGCAGCCTAAAAAAAACTAAATATCAACATATAATGATTTTATAGCTTGACTATGTGTGGCCGTTACCAGTGTGAACAGTGAGTGAACAGTGTGAACAGTGTGTGAACAGTGTTGCATTTTGGTTGCCAGAGTTGATGAATAAATGTCAGTATTTGAAGTCAATAGGATGTTGGTTTAAAATGTTGGATCGACATGATTTTGGTCACTTTCCACCACAACCTAAAAGCAACGAAATATCAATGTCATTTCACGTCGTTATTGGATGTCAAAATAACATGTCCTCAGATGTTGGCGACCTAAATCTAACCTAATATTAACATCTTATAATGTTGTGTGTCTGCAGGGAGTGTTCACATTGTCCCAACAAATGGATCTCTTAGAAACCCTTAAAGCGGATTTTAGGTGGCTAAACACTAGAACTTGTTTCCTTTAAAAGCAAAACTACTTTTTCAAAATCCAAAGTTGAAAAATAAGACAAGAAATCATCTTCTGCATAATATGCACAATCAAACATTCACTCTCAGAAATAAAGGTATAAGAGCTGTCCCTGAGGCAGTATTTATTCAAAAGATTTTGTAAAGGGACTACACTGGTCGGGGGCGGACTGGGACAAAAATTCAGCCCAGGCAATGTAGCCACACCAGCCCACTACCACACCGACACAGCCCCACCCATGGACCTGCACATTCACTACTTATATGGTGTGCAGATGGTGAAATAAGATAAGCAGTACCATACGTAATAGATATTTAACATTAAATGTATGTGACTGAAACAAAAACAACCCATAACATCTGTGAATCTGTGAATCTAGTAGAGTCCATGTGCTGTCTGTTTAAACCGTTTGTCTGCAATTACTTATGATAAGAGTAACCTGTGAATGTGAACACCCCTTTACACACAAATGGACATGCAGCACAAGCAACACTTTAGCATAATTTTATTCACAAATAACTATATATGTCATTTATGCAGTGGTGTTCTTTATTGCCACTGTCTATATGTTGGCTTCTCCTTGTTTCTAAGTTGACATTGTACACATTGTCTATCTGATTCTATATCTTCTCATCCTTCACTGCTTATACTAGGCTTTGCCTCATTCTTGTTTTGAATAAACATGTGCTTATTAAACAATTATAGGTGACCTAATGAATAAATATTAATAGTTACGACCTAATGTACAGTCTCTGGCTGCCCGAAACCAAGCAGCCATAGGTGATTGGGCCAAATGCTTAACATTTATTATTATTGTTATTATTGTTATTTCTATAATCATCATCATCATAATATCACATCTAGCAAGAGATAAAAGCTCACTGCATGTAAAAACAATACATATTTAAAAAAATAAACTAAAATAAAAAACTAATCGGCCCACATTAAAAAATGGTCCAGCCCTTCTAGCATTTGCCAGAATTACCAGATGGCCAGTCCGCCCCTGACACTGGTACCTAAACAGTGCAATAACATAACTTTTGAATATTCTGTTACTAATGTGTACCTTTAAGTTCCCACTGTGAAGTCTTTGGATATAAAATTGTACTGAAAAGGTACCACCCTAGTGGCAAAAAGTTGGTTCAAACAATATATTTTTGTCAGTATTACGAATCTCTTGCGGAAACAAAGTGTATTGTGAAAAGTTCTATGCTAATAAACTGAGCTGAACTGAATTCCTTCAATCTGCTTCACATTAGCCTTTCGGATTTTTGATTAGGTTAGAGACTCACATCTCCATGACCATGACCATGTCCGATTTTCCCTCGAAGGCGTCCATACACTGCACCAGTTTGGGGTGGTGGAGGCTGTTCATGATGCCGATCTCCTGCCTCACGTTCTCCTTTTCCTTTTGTGAGAATGCCTTGATGAACTTCCCTGCCCATACCTTTTTACTGGACTTCTCCACTAGTTTGAAGACTTGACCAAATTTACCCCTAAAGAGAGAGAAATTGGTTATAAGAGTACTATTTTATACCATTCAGCCAGACTATTGATGGAAATAGCAGACTCTTACGTTCCTAAGCGGTCCTCTATATCATAGAAGTCCTTGACGCTGCAGTCTTTCTTAATGACCACATCTCTATATTCTGGCTCTTTCTCTTCATCTGTGAAGTTAACAGGATATGTATCAGACAGAGCATGTGGGAGTCGTGTTAGTAAACTCTGGATTTGTGAGGAATGGATCAGCGGGCTAAATGCTTTGAACTTCGTACCATCATCAGACACAGCGGCTCCAACCTCCTCCTCTTCCTTTTTCTCTGGAGAAGAACATAAATGTTTTAAAAGCTTAGTTTTAAGTAGTGCATCAGCTCATCGCACTCATACTTCAGGGTTCATTAGTCCACAACACGCTGACTGAATATGATTTTTTTTTAAATAAGACCAGACATTTAGGCTTTTGAAACAGGGCCATCAAAGAAAAATATGTTACATTTGTTTCTTCTTTTTTCTTCTTCTAGATTTTGGTATTGTTCTGTATAATATGTAAGTATTCTATAGTGCTTCATAGTATTGATAGATTTGGTACAGCTGATGTAAAATTGATATTATTCATTTGGTATTAGTTAATCATTATATTTGAGAATAATCTTAATGATAGTGAATGATGTCAATATTACCTTAAATGTGTGGTGTGAAATATTATAAGTCAAAAACGAGATGGTCCATTTTGGTGTTCATATCAAATTAAATTTACAAGAGGAATTTAATATCGAGTACCTATTAAATGCAAGCAAAATGTCTACGTCAATCTTTTAAATTGGAAATAAAATGTCAAAACATTGAAATGTTCCATTGTCTATTGTAAACTGCTTAACTTGTCAGTTGGCATGATAAAGTCATGATTTAAATATATTATAATCCTTTTTTTTGCACAGAAAAAAACCCCCCAACATTTTATAAAACAAGTCAAGGTGAATGGAAACATTTTGATGCAACGCCAGAAAAAATAGCAATAACAATAAAAATGTAAAGCTGCTTCCCACTTTTATTCTTTGATGCTTGCAAATACCATTTTGTCTTCTTTGTCTTTGATCTATACATTATTTAAATAATAATATATCATTAAATAATTTTTGGTTTTTTTTGAAGCGGACAAGACACTTTTCTAGCACATTCTTACAGCATACTATACAATGTAAGCTGAGAACTGCCATCACTTAAGCAAAATAAATTCAGAAATTCCCATGAAAATTTCTCAACTTTTCATAAAATTGCATGTTATGATGCTCATATACAGTTAAAGGAAAAATGATAAGCTCTCTTGTGAAATGTATTTATTTTTCAAAAATTTTCCCAAGGGTGATGCAGTGGCGCAGTAGGTAGTGCTGTCACCTCATAGCAAGAAGGTTGCTGGTTTGACCCTCGGCTGGGTCAGTTGGGTTTCTGTGTGGAGTTTTCATGTTCTCCCTGCATTCGCATGAGTTTCCTCCAGGTGCTCCAGTTTCCCCCACAGTCCAAAGACATGCGGTTCAGTTGAATTGGGTAGGCTAAATTTTCTGTAATGTATGAGTGTGAATGAGTGTGTATGGATGTTTTCCAGAGATGGGTTGCAGTTGGAAGGGCATCCACTCTATAAAAACGGGCTTGATAAGTTGGCGGTTCATTCCGCTGTGGCAACCCCGGATTAATAAAGGGACTAAGCCGAAAAGTAAATTATTGAATGATGAATTTTTCGCAAGTGTTGTAAAAAGCTGTTCAACACATTTTTAAACAATAGTTTCAATATTATAAATATGCTATAACTATATAATATAAATATAAATTATAATGTAGGTGATAAAATATACATTTCTCATTAGTAGTCATTAGCAGAAGTATCCACTGGACTCACTAGAGGTGACACCAGCTATATGAACAGCTCATTGGCCATTCATCTGGACTACACCATCATGTTTTGAAACTCTTAACTGAAACCGGTGTGTGACTGCAGGCCATGATGTAGTTCAGGCGAATGACAAGGAGTGTTCTCCAGTGATCTGCAAGGGCAACACTGCTGGTGATCATGGCAATAACTCATTTCTTTTATCTTTTCCATGATGGCACTGCATGAATAGGTTCATTAGGTTAACAAGGCAAATTAAGTTTAATAGGCAGGTTACTGGACAACACAGATTTCCAAAGCTATCTCACCCCAATTTGTAACTTTTTGATGCATAGTTTGATATAATTCAAAATACTCCAATTTTCAAATTTTAGGACAATTTGTGATTGACGAAATAGTCCCAGAGTTCAACCATGGTCACAAAGAATATTGCTTCACCATGCCAAATCTAGGGATTACAAAGAGGAATCTGAATACAACTGAGGAAAATCCTGACGTCAATGAAGCTAGCACCAAGTTAACAGGTGAAGCTGCAATGAACAATGAAGAGAATGAGATGATGAAGGCTCTCACAGATTTGAAACACTTTTTCACATATTAATTCGAAGGCATCTTGAATGCTATTCGAAGGATTAAAAATGCAATTTCTGAATTTAGAGGCTGGTTCGAGCCTCAACTGGGTTAGTTGGCGTTTCTCTGTGGAGTTTGCACGTGTGGGCTTCCTCAGTGTGCACCGGTTTCCCCCACAGTCCAAAAACATGCGGTACAAGTGAATTGGGTAGGCTAAATTGTCCGTCGTCTATGAGTGTGTGTGTGAATGAGTGTGTGTGTGGATGTTTCCCAGAGATGGGTTGTGGCTGGAAGGGCATCCGCTGCGTAAAAATGTTCTGGATAAGTTGGCGGTTCATTCCGTTGTGGCGACCACGGATTAATAAAGGGACTAAGCCGACAAGAAAATGAATGAATGAATGAATGAATGAATGAAAGAATTTGGAGGCAGATTATCAAAGGCTGAGCATTGAGTTCGCGAATTGTGGAAAAGCTACAGAAAACAAGTCCCTTTTCTGTTAAATGGGAAAAGCATGAAAAGTAATGAACGATTCTGCTGAGACAATAATTTTGCCTACAATTTTAATTTTCCTTGAAGGTGTTTCCATGACATTTTGACCAGACTGATTCTTTCTCGATCAATAATGACAAAAAGTATTCATAAGCAGATGTTCGTTCTCACCTGTAACCTCCTCCGCTCCCACTTCAATGGGTCCAGATTCTGCACTGGGCTCTCCAACCCCATACACATTCACAGCTCGAACCCGGAATTTGTACTGACGGTCACTGAGGAGGTTCTGGACATGGAAAGATGTGCTGTTACAGGATGTGAGGTCATTCCATGTGTTGTCCACCGAGTTCCAGATCTCCAGGTTGTACGACTGGACGATGCTGCCACCATCATAAGTGGGCCCATACCAAGAAAGAGTAAGCGAGGACCGGCGGATATCAGAGGCAGCGGGGATACCAGCTGGAGGGTCCGGCTTATCTGACAAAAAATAAATAAAAATAAATAAATGGTATAGAAAGAAATAAGGGATCAAACCCAAAATTAAATAGAATAATCTAATTTAATAATAAAGTTGTTAACACTCTAGTTTAAGTAACAATTCAGATCATTTATACTGTCTTATTAGGTGCTTGTTATTAAGACTTTAACTGGGTTTTTTCCCCAGAATGTATGATCTTATTTTATATCTCTAAAGTTACCCAATACTTAAACCTAACTACTACCTTACTAACAATTAGTTTATTTAACTAAAAGTATTAGTTAATGGTTTGGTAAATAGTGTGAATACATTATAATAAAGTGTGGCCCAACATATCATGGTACTATAGTGTTTTTTAATACTACTAAAGTCAGGTACTCAAATGAGTCTGTTGTAATTCTAAAGTTACTGTGGTAATGCAACAATTACAGTAATATAACCAAATTACCCAATACTGTACTAAGTTTTCTACAACAATGCAGTGTAACAAATATTTGTAAATGATCAGTTTTCCATATTTTGCGTTTTTTTTTTTTTTTGTGTGTGTTTTTATTTTTCCCCATTTATTTATGCTTCTGAATTGCATTATGGGACCTTCATATTTGTTTCCAACTACTTTTAACCTTAAAAAGTTAGAAAAAGTGACTTTTATTAATATTTTTAATAGTTAAAAGTGATATATTGCCTTGCTCGGTGTCCTTGTAAAAACTGTCAGTACATTTTCTGTTATTTTAAAGACTTATTTCTCAATATATTATTTCTTATTATTTCAAACCACTAAAATGTCAATGAAAGTCACTTTGTTAAACTGTAGATTTGAGTTTTAAACATCAGAAGTCACCAGAGCCAAAATCAAGGTCCCATAATTCAATTCACAACCATAAATAAACAAAATAACACTTGCGAGTCGCAAAATACGAAAACTGTTAATTAACAGATATTTCTTACCTTGTAGGGTATTTTACATCACAGTTTCCTGTAGTAAAAACTAAAGTACACTGAAGCATTTATTACAGCTTATCAGTTAGTTGCATTCTTTAGCATTCATTAACAAATGTTTATAAATTCATTTAAATACACAGTATAATACACTTTACTATAGTATGGCCCAAAAACACTTTTAATAACTATACTATATATAGTACTCTGTTTGCCATTAATAAACAATGTTAAAAGAATAAAATGCAAATATAGACACTGATTTAAAACTGTTTCTTCCATTCCTATCTACCTCATTGCCTCTTCTTATTGTATGTAACTTTTTATCTAGGTTAAATCCCATACCTACGATTGTGAGGTTCAGCGAGGCCTGCTTGAGGCCAAATTTATTCTGCAGTTCAAGAGTATAGCAGCCACAGTGATCCTGGTCACTCGCTGCGATGGTCAGCTGACTGCTGTTCTCTGTGGTCTCTATGGAAATGCCTCCATTTCCTGGCTGGATCTAAAAAGGAGAAGAGTTCATAATGAATTCAAATGGTATATAACACTTATTCTTATTCCTTTTTTTAAGTTATTTATGTTTTTTTTATTTTATATAATTAAGCTTTTTTTTTCTTTTGCCTTGTAAAAACTAAAACTAAAGAATTTTGCATACTGGCTTTTTGAGGTAAATGTGGTGTGTTGTGTTACAGTTTTACAAGCTGATTTATTGTAACTAAATTACAGGCGTGTTTTTTTATTTTTATAAGTCAGGAAAAAAAATAGAATTGAAATAGAAGAAAAAGGTCAGACTACAATCAAATAGTTTTTAGGCCCAAACCTCTATTTGCTTTACTTAAACACTTCTGAATAATTATTCATTAACATCACACATTTAAGCTAAGCTTTTAATAACATGTATGCTCATGGTATTCAAAACATTAATGTGTTAAAGGATCATAAAAGAAAAACACTTTCTTGTCTGCAATCTTGGCCTTTGGTTTGTAACGACGAAACTTGCGACCTTAGTTGCCTAACGATGGCTTTCAGAAATGCACTCCAGTACATTTTATTGGTCTCCTGTGTTTTTTGGGGATATGTCCAGTAGAGACCTGCAGGGACTATTGTATTATTGAGTAAAACCAAAATAACTCCCATCATAACCTTTAAAATTCTCTGAGGGATTCTCTTGTTCATTTAAGAAGGCTTGTAGTGCAAAATGTATCAACATATGTTTACCACGAACCCTACTGCACTCATAAAATGCAAACCACCATCAGAATTATCAGATATTGAAGTTTCCAAGTCAGAAATTTGGCTCTCAAACTTATAACATAACAGAGGGAAAGCACAACTGATGCTGCGACTGCTACTCTCAGTTAGTTTTCTCCACAACAGTGAAATCACCTTGTCTTATTGTTAATGCATATTTATGTTTACAAACAAACATTTTCACAATTTATGTAAAAAAACCGGTAAAATTTGATTGACTGTGTTAAAAAATTGCATGTGATTGACAAACATTTTGACTATCTAGTGTATTGAATGTTATTTGGATGCTAACCAAAAGAGTTAGCCAGTTAACCAAAGAGATGCTATTTTATTTTAAGAACAAATCACTTCAATGCAATAAGTTTGTAATCCCAACCTTATAGTAGTGACATAATGCATAAATACAAGGTGTCCAGCTTATTTTGCAAAGTTTAGAGCAAATCACACTAATCCAACCAGCTAATCTAATGGAAGGTGTGTTGGAGCTGATTAAAAAGGCAAAAATGACTGAGCACCCCTGACATAAACCTCTCACATGCTGATGACGGAAGTGGAATCTGCTCACAATATAAGAGGTGAATAGGATAAGCTCATGTAAACACAGCCGCGCCTCAGGATCCATCAGAAGCGACTTACATTTAACAGGTGGGGTATAATGCGAATGTCTAGTCTTGACGACTTTTGACCAACCTGCATTAACAGTAGCAGCTGTTCAATTCGCTCATGCTTCTCTGCTCTTCTCTTGCATGAGAGCTTTTTCCGTTTATTAAAGCTTCAATGACTGTTGCTACTACTAGAAAGACAAAATGTAAGGACCTTAAAATAATGTCTCCAGTTTCATTTTTTGGAAATCTGCATTCTTTAAAATAAGCATCAAATTACACCAATTGCAACTACAATTGAAGCCTATAACCCTGTGTATGTCCCTAATTTAAACAACCCAGGCTCATTAGATACATTCTACATTTTTGGGAACCGCAAAATATGTGCCTGGGGCTATGTCTGCTTGTAGTTTTTGTTTTTACAAATTCACTAGTGGGACATTTGTGACACTCAAATACTGTCACATTTTGTAATTCTTTCCATTTTCACATCTTATTCATAAATCTACCAGAGGTTGCAGTGTATGTTTCTGTGAATCTCAACATTCTTCTTGCGCGTGTCTGTGAGAAGCTGGCTATCAACTGACCCACCCATCTGATATCTAACTGATAGTGTTTTCAATGATTTCACACTGCTTTTTTTTCCTAGTCTGTCCATCTAATTCTGACTCTGTACAAGGCGAGCTACCAAGCAAACTGACCATGCCTGAAATGAATAGAAGTTGTCAATAGCGTAATCTGCCTTATGACGTTCGTTTTACACAAAAAAGCAAATGTAGCCCCACACATATTTGAATGTAGCCCTTGGCACATATCTCCTAATATTAAATCACAAAATTTATCAGCAGATCAAGTAGACAAAAAAATTGTGATTGGTTTGAGCTGGTTAAATCCTTATTGGGTTACGTTTTAGTTTATGGGGTCCTTGATACAGTGCAACTACACATAATACTAATCAACTACATGCACCTCCTATGTTTACGGTCAGGATTACTGTACATTCACACTGAAAGCGGCGAGAGTGTCAAAGTAGCCGGAAGTCATTCATTTTCAATGGGAGCTGGCGACAATAAGCGGCAAGGAGCAGCGCGGTGTGTCTTTACCGGTGTGGGCGTCGAGGAGAGTTGAAATCAAGTAACCTTTATGCTAATGAGCTATGACCCGGTTCTGTGGCAACTAATTATAAAGTAGAAGTCCACTGCTTGAGAGTTATATATGTTTTTGTTTTAAAAAGTGGAAATCTCATGCGACATTACAAAACAGTATTCAGAATATTTCTGGCATGGACACATTGGATGATTAAGTGGAGCAATGCCACACCACATGCAACTTGATCTTCCATTGTTAAATGAATTTGATTAAAAAGTGCACAACATTTTCACGCTAGAAAGCATGTTTTATGCTGGAATGTAACTGATATGATATGCTGCAGCGGCCCCTTTAAATACAAAATCAATGTAGCGAATTTTGACACCGGAGCTGAAGGCAGACAGCGTTGTCGCCAGGGCGGCCAGAGCCACCTCTGACACTCTCACCACCTTCGGTGTGAGCACACAATAAGGGTTAGGTTTATGACTTGCATGTAATAAGGAATAAGTTAATGTTATTACTAGCGCTGTCAAAATTAACGCATGTGATTAATTTTAAATAATTAACACGTTAAAAAAAATTTACGCAATTAATGCAGTTGCAGGTTTTTTTACTTCCTGTTGTGGTGGATGTGTGTTTAACATGTAAGAAATGTGGATAAGACCAACCAAGGAAGCAAGTTTCAGTATGAAACAATTAGTCGCATCACCAGGCTCTCCAAAGTTTCATGCAATTTTGGACGTTTAATTTTTAACTTTCGACTTCTGTTGTAAGTTGATACCGCATGGCGAACAGAAAGAAAATCCTCCGCATTTCGTGACTCTGTGTTCCTTTAAGGTAAGGTTCCTTTTAAGGCTACACGGCAGAATTTTAATAAGAGTATAATCTTAATCATATTAAAATCGGAGTATTGGTGTCTTATGTAAATGTACTCAGAAAGTCTCTGGTGAAGTCGCAAACTGTTAAAGACAGGGCATTACTCTGCCTTTCAGCATGAGCCCTCCAAGTTTAGCGTGTTTCCTCATTAAACGCAACGAAAGCGTATGCTTCACGTTGTTGTGTCAGAATTCTTGTGAAATACAGTAATACTTTAGGACGCTTAGTTTAAGCAAATTTGATGAACATGATCTTGCGTGTTGAATCTGAGGGGAGTTGAGGGGTGTCAGGGGTGGAGTGAGCGACGTATCTGAGTAGGAGCAAGAGGGGTGTGCAATGTATTTAACGACCGGTTTGCAAGAAATTATCATTCATTTGCGGGCATTTGGGAGTCTCTGTGCACTTGCGGGATACTCCTTGTCTTAGCAACTGGATGAATGTAAAGGAGGATTAAGCAAAATTGTTTCTACTCTATAATTAATGTTCTCAACTCACAGCAATAAAACTTTACAATGAGTGCAACAGTTTGTATTCTATAGTTTATTATTATAATTTTTCATTTTCCATATCTGCAATTCCTGTATTTGGCATTTTTTTGCAGTCCACTTAGGATCCAACATGGAAATCAATGTTTTCTTTATTGGCATTGATTGTTTTGAAATGTAAATGTCATTAACATGCCTGTGTTTGAATTTCTGTTATAAATATGGCTGTCAAGCCAGGATCTTGATGGTTTATTGTGGGTATGTTGTTTACATGAAGAAATCTGTGTTACAAATCTATTAAACAATTATATTTTGAATTTAAATAGTTTTTGTCTTGCGTTTACATTAATTTTACATTTAAATAGCCAAAATTACAAGTTTCAGTAATCGTGATTAATCGTGATTAATTTTTAAAAAAAAGGTGCGATTAATTAGTTAATTTTTTTTAATCGATTGACAGCACTAGTTATTACTCCAGTATGTAGCCTACACAGACCGAGTGTAGCAAAGACACCATAAAAAAGTTTGTGTTGTGATTCATTTTTTTATTGATTCATTCATTCGTTTTCTTTTCGGCTTAGTCCCCATATTAATCAGGGGTCTCCACAGCGGACCGAACCGCCAACTTATCCAACATATGGTTTGCGCAGTGCACAGCTTCCAGCTGCAACCCATCACTGGGAAACCCATACACTCTCTTTTTTCCAATTAACCTATAGCGCATGTCTTTGGACTGTGGGGGAAACCGGAGCTTCCGGTGGAAACCGACCCAGGAAACTGACCCAGTTGAGGCTCGAACCACTGCCCTTCTTGTTGTGAGGGTACAACACTACCCACTGCACCACCGTCTGTTTCTTTTTTCATATGACTTTGTATTATATATGCTTTGTTTTTAACTTAAAGAGATGCTTTATAGGGCATCAAGGTGGCGCAATGGATAGCACGATCGCCTCTTAGCAAGAAGGTTTCTGGTTTAAGCCCCAGCTGGGTCAGCTGGCATTTCTGTGTGGAGTTTTCATGGTTTTCATGGGGTACAGGTGAATTGAATAAACTAAATTGTCCATAGTGTATGTGTGTGAATGAGAGTGTGTGGATATTTCCCAGTGTTGGGTTGCGGTTGGAAGGGCATCCGCTGCGTAAAACATATGCTGGATAAGTTGGTGGTTCATTCTGCTGTGGTGACTGCTGATTAATAAAAGGACTAAGTCGAAAAGAAAATGAACGAATGAATGAGATGCTTTAATGCTACAAAGTGAGATCTTTGTTTCAAAAGGTTTGGGAACCTGTCATCTTTCAAACTCTCCCTCTTTTTCCAACTCTTCCTACCGGCTTTTTGAATTTAAGCCAAGTGCAGGTTATTGGTGGCGATCCTCCAAAGTTGCCCAACAGCTCCACCTTTTCTCCCGCCCGGATCTTCTGATCTCCAGGGAAATGTAGAAACTGAGGTGGAGAACCTGTATGGCATCATAGATGAACATAGACTCACTTTCATAGAATATTGAATTCTGTGTTGTAAATTTGGAATATTGGAATTTGTCCAGTATGTTTACAATTAGACTTTTGCAAGACAGCTTATAAGAAATGAAAGCCTCTCTCATATAGCTAATGATGTGTCCCCTTACCTTGTTTGGTGGGAGCTGGTTTCTTCTTTATTCTGGCTTCATCTGAAGAAGATATAGAGCATGTATTAATACAAATTAGAAATTGAATACAATAACACTAACATTAAAATAAAAACAAAATATCAAAATAATATTGTTACAAACTTTGCAAAGTATCTTTTAAAAAGCAGCTTTCATACAAGAAATTAAAACTAAGGTAACACTGAATTTGTGGTATTAATGAAGAGGTCTTAGATGTCTTGTTATTTCATGGACCCACAAAGTGTTTTATTAAGTATATAGTTATATGATGTAGGTTGTCATTTAAATATTCTCATGACAATGCAGCGTAATATGCATATTAATCAATAGCTGTTCTGTCTGGGTGCAGTAAAATGACATTTTCTATTGCTTCCATATAGGGGTATTGCACCTAAAAGTGCTATTCTTTAAATTATTCTAGCCAAGATGTCTAGGTGACATTTTTGTTTTTTTAGCAAAACAATAAAGATTATTTAACTAAAACTGTGCTCCTAAAACTATATAAGAATCAGAAAATAATATACAAGCAAAAACAAAACAAAAACAAAATAACAAATAAACCTGTAGCTCTTGACAGTATATCAATGCATTATGAAGAAAAAACGATTAGTCTAAATAAATAAATAGATAGATAGATAGATAGATAGATAGATAGATAGATAGATAGATAGATAGATAGATAGATAGATAGATAGATAGATAGATAGATAGATAGATAGATAGATAGATAGATAGATAGATAGATAGATAGATTGTTTTAGACCTTCCGATTCGGTTGCCTATGGGAAAAATGACTAATAAATGGCAGAAAATGGTCAAACTACTTGCTCTACAATCAAGTGTTTACATGATTACAGACAAAGTAGAATAACACAATAAGAAAATATCAGTTTGCAACTTCAAGCAGCATAAGCAGCTGTTTTTATTGTCTTAAAATGAATAGAAGTGAATGAGACTAAAAGTCTTGAGCCAAAAAGATTCAAATGGCTGCGCCTGCTCGTACACAAAGAATAAGGTGAATAAATAAACATAAAAGTTTCACAACAGCCAAATGACAATGGAAAATGACATATGGAGCCGATTGTTTATAACATATTCTCAGTTGAGAAGATTGACTTTTCACAGATTTGCCCACATTTGATGTTAGGGTTAGGACTCTCAAAAGTGCTGACAGCCATTGACTTGCATTTTAACAACCACCAAAACTATGATTTCAACTAAAAAAGTACTTCTTTCATGTTATAGTGAAGAAAAGCGGTCCCCTAGCAGTACTTAAAATGGATACACTGATGGATATAACGGATAACCCTAACCCTAACCAACTCAGCAGTGTCAAGCAATTCACTAATGAAGCCAATTTTGTTTATAGTGGTAGCCAAAATTATTCGAACACTTGGCCTATTTAAGAGATTTCAGTTGTTTTTGTTAAGTTGGCCTACACTACTCCCCAAAACTGAATAAAACGTTTATAAACAATAGTATGGAGCCATCATAAGGAAATTTACAGTAGGTCATTTTCATTCCAAAAACGGCTATTCGCTTATTTCACCAACAAAGTGACATGATTATGCTCTTTCACAGTATGAAATGAATACTACACATTTTTAAAATATTGTTAAAATATTTATTTTCAAATCTGTCAGGGATTATAATAATTTTGGCCATTTTTTTTTCAAAATATTACCTAATCATGTTTAACAGAGCAAGGAAATTTTCACAATATACCCTATAATATCTTCTGCAGAAAGTCTTATTTGTTTTACTTTGGCTAGAATTAAAGCAAATTTTTAACATTTTAAAAACCATTTTAAAGTCAAAATTATTAACCTTAAATTGTATTAAATTAAGAATTTTCTTAATTTTTTTCTAGATTGTCTACAGAACAAACCATCATTATACAATTACTGCCTAATTACCCTAAGTTGCCTAATTAGCCTAGTTAAGCCTTTAAATTGCTCTTTAAACTGAAAATCTTGAAAAATACTATCATGTTCTGTCATCATGGCAAAGGTAAAATAAATCAGTTATTAGAAATTAGGTATTAAAACTAATATGTTTAGAAATGTGTTGAAAAAAACTCTCTGTAAACAGAAATTGGGGGAAATACAAAACAGGGGGCTAATAATTCAGGAGGGCTAATAATTCTGACTTGCACTGTATGTCATACACTACGTAAATTGAAGCGACTGGTCAGTATTGATTTGTGTGTGCGTTTGAGAGTTGTCAGGCATTCTAAGGAAACATGCCGCTCCTGATCAGCATCCAGGGAGCGAGTGTCTGTATGGACACTGTGTCTTGCTGGAATTCCCCTTATACGGGCATGCTAAATATAGGCTCTCCAAGATCCAGGAAGCAGTGGCTCTCTCCCTCCACTATTTATTTAAGGTTTGATCACCGTCAAGAAACAATGCAACATGTAAACCCCACTAATACTCCAGCAAAGTCCAAACAGAGCGTTAGAGGGGGAGAAAGAAGACAGAGAGCACATCTTTACATGTTGCAGCTCACATAAGTCTACCATTTTAGGCCTTCTTTTGCTGCTTTCCAATCTTTCATTTTCACACACCTGAGTTTCTGAGGGAATACAATGTACTCTCTGAAGCTTGTTACATACTTTTTTGTGCTGCGAATTGTAAATCACTTTGACATTGTTTGTTACAAGCATAACTGTAATGTAAATACAAGCTACCTAGCTGTCTCAGAGCTTGCTATGCTCATGAAATACTAGAAGAACAAATGTAGTTGCCTGATGTTGCAATAGACTGTCGGCTGAGGTTATTTTCTCTCTGCTATGATCACATGGATTAAAACATAGGATCTAGTGTGACCCAAAAGCTAGAACCAAAACAAACAGTCAGTCCATTTGAGCACTGTAGATACAATCTGCCATCAGATACTGTGTGACTGAAATCCTCTTTGGTATCCTGTATAGAGCGTGCGTGGTGATCATTGTCATCTTCTCAAATGACAAATATTTTTCAAAGTAAAATCGTGACTGAGTGTTACTTGAATGTGTAGAACAATTTATGGTTACATGCTTCTTAAAACAATTCCACAGAACAAAGGACAACATAAGAAGCATTTGTTTTAAATGTTTTTTTTTTTCTTTCTAGAAAGCTATTGAAATTTTGCCTATAACTCAGCTCTTAAAAGGATAGTTCACACAAAAATTAAAATTTACTCGCTGTTTACTTACTTTCAAGGATACTTTTCTGAGTTTCTTTATTCTGTTGAACACTAAAGAAGATACAATCACCGGCCACTTTATTAGGTACACCTGTCAAACTGCTTGTTAACTTGAATTTCTAATAAGCCAACCACATGGCAGTAACTCAACGCATTTAGAACGGTAGACATGGTTAAGACGATCTGCTGCAGTTCAAACGGAGCATCAGAGAGGGGAAGAAAGGGGACTTAAGTGACTTTGAACATGGCATGGTTGTTGGTGCCAGACGAGCTGGTCTGAGTATTTCACGCACACCCATCTCTAGGGTTTACAGAGAATGGTATGAAAAAGAGAAAATATCCAGTCAGCGGCTGTTCTGTGGGCACAAATTCCTTGTTGATGTCAGAGGTCAGAGGGGAATAACCAGACTGGTTCGAGCTGATAGAAAGGCAACAGTAACTCAAATAACCAGTCGTTACAACTGAGGTATGCAGAAGAGCATCTCTGAACGCACAACACGTCCAACCTTGAGGCGAATGGGCTACAGCAGCAGAAAACAACACCAGGTGCCACTCCTTTGAGCTAATAACAGGAAACTGAGGCTACAATTGGCACAGGCTCACCAAAACTGGACAATAGAAAATTGGAGAAACGTTGCCTGGTCTGATGAGTCTCGATTTCTGCTGCGCCATTCAGATGGTAGGGTCAGAATTTAACGTCAATGTGTTTATGTGCAGTGACAAATCCGCAGTAACTGCATGATGCTGTCATGTCAATTATAGGCCAAAATCTTTGAGGAATATTTCTAGTACCTTGTTGAATCTATGCCTCGAAGGATTAAAGGCAGTTCTAAAGGCAAAAGGGGGTAAAACCCGGTATTAGTAAGGAATAGCTAATAATGTAAGTGTATTTTGGAGAAAGATGAAAGCAAAATCATACACAAATTATATTATTTTGAAAAAAACTGAAAACCTGTAACCATTGACATTCATTGTTTATCGTCAATGGTTACAGGTTTTCAGCATTTTCAAAATAATATAATTTGTGTTTATAAGGAGAAAGACACTCATGAAGATTTGAAACAAGTAACAGGATGAGTAAATGATGACAGAATTAAAGGTTTTGAGTGAACTATCCCTTTAAACACCAAGACAATAGACAAGATTTATATAAAAAGAAAGATTCCTCTGAAACTGTTCAGATCATGCGAAAACAATCATATACCAATTACAAAAGACAGAACCCTAACCCTTTCAAGTACACCGTGGTATTCTACTAACCTCAATATAACAGACTTTTAGTGATCTATTAATTCTTTAATGCGACATTGTGTCAACTATCATTGTAATAATAGAATAGTATTAATAACCTTTCTGGAGGGCACCAAATACGTCGCGGGAGGTACGTTTTTTTGTTGTTGCAGTTTTCGTTTTTGCAAATTCACCAGAGGCCGCTGTGTACGCTTTTTTAGATCTCAAACTTTTCTCACAAGTGCCATTCGCGCCTGCTCTTCTTACGTAAATCCACCAGAGGTTGCTGTAGACTGACTGACCGACTGACTAACTGAATGACTGACTGACTGATCAACTGACGACGCACATGGCAAGCTACTGGTCAAACTAGTAACAGTGGAAAAATCTCCCATATGGAGGTAAGCATTCAGCTGGTATCTCGAAATGGAACAGCGCCATACAGTCCCGTAGCGTTCATTTTAAAGATGAAATGCAGCCGTACAAACCTCTTTCTATAAAATTTGTGATCTGCAAATATCTTTATAGGGCTACGTTTTCAGAATGAACCTATTGATTAATACAGGGTTAGTATATGACTTTGCAAAGTTATAGACTTACTTAGTAGTCTAATGTTGGCGAAACATCAAAATTAAGAGCAAGTAGATGAACATAAATTATGCATAAACATAAAAGTATATTGCTTAATGGGTTACCATTAAAATGGATAGTTTACACAGATGCCATTGGTTACTCGCCCTCATATCAGAAATAAAAATGAAAAACATAAGCAAAACCAATATCTATACAGCAGAGCAAAACTGTATACAATCAAACCTATAAGTCACAGTCATGTGATTGTGGTTTTGATGTGTAAGCTGTCAGCAATCAAAATATTGGTATTGAAAATTTTGGAAACGATATTTACAAGAAAATGATCGCATACAGTTTTTCTCAGTCGCTTTGGTGCATTTCTCACAACACTATTTACATTTGCACAACAGTTAATGCATTTCTCAAAACACTTAGTCATTTGTGCACATCATAGTAGCAGTTTCTCATTCCTTTAAACAAATTGCAAATGCTTTCGGACATGCATCAATTGCTTTCATTCAACTCTTTGCTATTTTTAACATTATTATTTGCTTATGCCATGTCAGTCAAAATGAACTAAACTTGTAAATGCTGAATAGTCATTCCATATAAAACTAACAGTCCTCATTTTTATTATTTGAATCATTACATACAAAAATGTTGAACTTGATGTAAAAATCGGTCAAACAAACTTTATTAATTTTTTTTTTACTTTATTTTCCTGAAAATGTCTTTAAATTTGAACAATTTGATGAATGATTTACAGACCTGTGTAAGTTGCAGGTTCAGTTCCGATATGTACTGCAATATTGTTTACAGTTGTGCACAGTTCAACCCAAAGGGAGTTTATGTTTGTTGTAAATAAGGGTGTGTTTATTCTTTTGCAATGCTGTGAATAAACTAGGATTGTAAAGAGAAAATGCAGAGTAAAAATGTGAAACATACATATTCAGTGTCTTGTACTCAGATACCTCACTAAATGCAGTGATGTCCAACTTTACTGTAGTTTTTAAATGGCTGTGCAAATAGTGCTGTCTTGAGCATTTTCAGGAAGTGTCACCAACATCTGATTTTTTTGCATTGAAAAAATGTCCAGAGTAAACTTATAATGAAAACATGACAAAGTCATTTGACTGTCAGAACTTTTCATTTTGATGTCACTGACACTTTGATTGACATGATTACTTGCTTTTGAGGAATGAACTATCCATTTTGAGCATGTGTCGCGCTTTTGCAGGTTATCAGCTAGGTTTTGCAGTTTGCACTAATTGTTTTGAGAAATGCGTTAACTGTTGTGCAGAAATGCACAGGTGTTGTGAGAAACGCACCAAAGCGACTGAGAAAAACTGTAAATACAAGTCAGAAAGCTGTATATGGAAGTGCCCTATAACTAACACAGCAATTATAAAATCCCTTGCTAAAAAATGAAAACCTTTTTATTTGTATCATTTGTAGCTCTTATGAAAATATCTGGATGGCTTTATGCTTTTGCAAGCAATTACAAATGTATTCAATTCAATTCAATTCAATTCAGCTTTATTTGTATAGCGCTTTTACAATGTAGATTGTGTCAAAGCAGCTTCACATAAATGGTCATAGTAACTGGAACAGTGTGGTTCAGTAACTGGAACAGTGTGGTTCAGGTTTTAGTGTTTAAGTTCAGTTCAGTTCAGTTTAGCTCTGTTCAGTGTGATTTAATCATTACTGAGAGTTCAAACACTGAAGAGCAAATTCATCGATGCGTAGCTCTACCAATCCTGAACCATGCGAGGCAGTGGCGACAGCGGAGAGGGAAAAAAACTTCACCTGATGAGAGTGAAGAAAAAAAACCTTGAGAGAACCAGACTCAGTTGGGCACGACCATTTTAATTTCTCCGCTGGCCAAAAGTCTTGTGCAGAACTTCATTCGCCGTGGTTTATGCTGTTTATGTAACGTGTAAAAGTACAGTGTAAAAAAAACGATTAGTTGACTTTACTTAAAAAAGAGAGTAAAATTGGTGTCTTATAGTTATTAAGTAAACAAGCTATGTGCTTAGTTATGAAAGTTAAGTCAATAGGTTTACGGACCCTTTTCAAAGTAAAGCAACTCATAGCTTTGCATTGTACAGAATAATGTTTAGCAAAACCTTTCTGAGTTTAAGGGTTTATTTTATAAACATTCTTTAAAAATCTCTTTTTTTATGTTTCGTAGATAGAATGGAGTAATACAATTTCGAAACAGCATGAGCTTGAGTAACAGACAAACAACTTTTTTTTGGGAGAACTTGACTCATTTGAAAATAAACTTCAGCTCAAGTAAACAGGCCACAACAGGTGTCCTTACTCACTTTCTGTAGTGGGAGTTGCAGAAGAGCTCTTTCTGTTCTTCTTATCTGCTGATGGGTCTGAAGGATCTAAAGGAACAGGAAACAAACCAATATAACAATATTTACATTAAATAAATCCTAATTATCAGTTCTGGATAAAGAGACGTTTATGGGAGATGGAGCCCTTACCATCTACAGTGACCACACAGGAACACTCTGCTTTACCGTGCGCATTCTCTGCTCTACATGTGTAGCGTCCTTCGTCTTCAGGTAGCGCCTTGTCGATTGTAAGCGAGCATTTTTCACCTGATGTAAATCAAGAGGTATAGCATTAAAAGATAATTGAGTCTACAATGCATTTAACTGTATGGTAGGCTTATAGATTGCAAAGACTAAAACTATTAAGCCAGGTATTATGACCTAAAAGGTTATTGATGCTTGATTTCATTTCCAACACTGTAAAAAATTCAACGCAATCACATGGCAATTTGTCATTTTTTGATTTAGTGAATAATTTATATGAATTCGTTTGATCTAATTCAAACTATTTAGAACGATTTGCCCATCACCCAATGATGGTTGGGGTTAGGGGTGAGGTTTGGTGCCACGCCTCATCTTTAAAATCATACATTTTCGTACGACTGAACTCGAATTCGTACAAATAGCCACTAAACTGCCAAAACGTAAAATACTTACGTTTCCTCATGAGATCAGGCTGAAAAAATTATATGATCAAAAAGTCATGACAGCATAGGTTTTTAGTTCATTGTAATTTCTTAAACTAAGTTAATCAAGTTTTACCTTAATTTTAAAAGTTACGCAAGCTGTTTTAAGTCAGTTTGACATATTATAAGTTCAATGGACTCATAAGGTTAATTTGAATCAGCTTAAACATTTAAGGCAACCAGGAGTTTTTCAGTGCAGAGTAAATGTAAAAACTGATTTTGAATGAGGGAGTGGCATAGACTAATGCATGTATTACTCACAAGCCTCAAAGTTGTTCTCATAAATAAATATGACATTTTATGCAGATGACTAGCACATTTTAAGGAAAAAAATAGCCCTCCTTTAAAAGTTTAATTCCTTCAAAAACATTTTCCAAATGATGTTTAAAATGGAAGGGAAATTTCCACAGTGTCCCTTATAATTTAATTTATTTAGTCGTATTTCTTTCAGTTTAGGTGGAATAAACCCTAAAATGTTTCTAAAATGTTATTAAAAAACAGTAACATTATTTTGATGGTCTATTTGCGTATTAGTAGACTGTCTGCTTAAAATACTGCTGCTAAACAGACATTTAACTGACTATAAGAAACTTTGCAAGTACATGTCAACTTACACTAACCCTAACCCTAACCCCAACCTCAACCCCAACCCAACAGTCTACCTAAAATCTAATGACAATTAGTTGGCATGTAGATGTAATGTAACTTAAATTCAACCAATGGACCATCAAAATAAAGTGTGACCTAAAAAACATTTTATATTCAAAATTATTAGCCCCTTTTGGATTCTTTTTTTTCTGCAGGGTTGGCCAATGACTGCCTAATTAATCCAACTTGGCTAATCAACCAAATTAATCTAGTTAAGCCTTTGAATTGCACTTTAAGATTAATACAAATGTCATGTTTTATCATTATACAGTAGCAAAGACAAAAGAAATGAGTTATTTCAAATAGTTTTAAAAACCTATTATGTTAAGAAATGTGTTGAAAAATGTCTACAGTAGACATGCTGTTGGTAATATTTGAAAAAGAATAACAATTTCATTGAAAGGCCAATAATTTTGACTATATCTTTTTATATACTGTAAATATGTTACCACTTATATCTGCACTCTCAGAAAAATGGTATAATGTTGTACCAAAGAAGGTACAAAACCTTGTCACTGGGGCAGTATCTTTTTATTGGAACATAACTGTACCTTGAGACAAAAAATAATTTGTACCATTGCAGCTTGTACCTTTAAGGACATGATTTGTACTGTAGGAAACCCAAATGTATCTTTGGTTTTTACAACCTGCAGAGACAATATTGTTCCTTCATCAAAGGTACAAATCTGATCGCTGAAGGGAACACTACAGTGACAAGACACCTTGTACCAGTGTCAAATGTGTTCGTCCAAGAACTTTTTAAATTTCTTTTTGCTTTATCCAAAATATTCCAATTTATTTTCAGTAAATATAACAATAACAATGTTTTTTTGAAAGTTTATTTTTGTGTAAATGCACCTTTTCCATTTACAATAAAGAATGAAAAATACTTTAACATAAATCCAAAGATCTATTTTTTGCTAAACTTTTCACAAAAATGCTACAGAAACACATTCTCCCGTGTACAATATAAAATCGTTGTTTTATTCCAATTAACTTTTGTAATCGCTTAAACGTTCATTTAATTTACTTAATTTTAAAATAAAAAATATACTTATGCAAAGGTATTGTAATGAGATATGCACAACGTTTTATAACGGTAAAATGTCTGCCTGAACACTTTGCATATGCAGGACTTTTGCTAGCTCACATGCATAGTAGAAAGCAAATGCCAAAAGGTGTAAATATCAATAATGAAAATGTATTGATCAGAAAATGCATACTAAATGTTTATAAAAATGCCTTAAATATTTAGTTTACAATACCTATAGTCTTGCTGTTTTGTTATATAGAACTTAATAATTCATGTTCATGAGTTTCTTTAAACAAATGCTTTTAAATATTGATTCATGTTTTAATATGGAAATTATTCATAAAATCACGTTGCCTTTCCAGTAGCCTAATATTTATTTTAATAGATATTGTAATAAATAAGTTGTCCACCAATTATGTACCTTTTTTATGAGAACAGTTGTGTACCTTCATTTCAATTGTACCATAAAAGGCACAAAACTGTATCATAAGAGGTCTTTTCTGTGCCATATAAGGAACAACTTTTACAAAAGGATAAAACTGTTCCTTAAGGAAGATTATTTGTACCTCCCTGTACCTTGTTTTCTGAGAGTGTGAGAAACTATTTAAAACTACAAGCTTTCCTTACAAGAAGAGTTATGATTTAAACAAAATCAATGTTTTTAAAACTCAGTAAAGTGATGATTTCTTTCAACTGAAATAATCAATGAATCCCCAAAGGTAAGATTTCTAATGGTTAATTGTTGTAAATATTAAGTATATCCTTAAATTGTTCATAATAATTTATTTCTTATACATTTATACATTATTATACACTGTAAAAATTCTGGGTTCCACATAATTTAATAACATGAAGGAATTAAGTTATACCTTATTAATTTTCACAAATGTAAGTGGATTGAACATAAAACAATTAAGTTGTTCCAAAACAAACTCTCAAGAATTGTTATGTAAGTAGTTAGAACAACCAGCAAATGTCATATATTTCAGATATATGCAATGTCAGATATTTCATCTACAGAGTTGTAAGAATACAGCCTTTAAATAAAAATCATTAGAACAACAGAAAGCCTATAGCGCTGGATTATGCATAGGGGACACCCATAACATCCCTGTTTGATTTAGACTCGGAGGGAATCCTCTATTGCTATTTCAGAACTTTCTAATTGTGACTCAGCTCGTCATTCATTCTCGTGTCATTTGAAGGGGTTAGAAAGACCGTAAGCCCTCAGATCAAATAACCCAATGAGAATGAGCTCAGAAAGTGCACCAGTTGGCCAAGATTCAGCTTTCAGATCCTACCTCTCAGCCTGTGATTTACAGCACAACTCGGAAAACTAAAGTCGGGAGTTTAGGAAGCGAGCATTTAAAAGTTTCCAAAACACAGTCACACTTTACAATAAGGTTTCATTAGTTAATGTATTGACTAACATGAATTAATAATAATCAATAAATGTACTTCATTTATTAATCAACACCTAAATTCATGCTTGTTAACATTAGCACTGAGAGAGTTAACATGAATGGACAATGAACAACTTTAATTCCATTAACTAATGTTAATAAAGACGAATAATAAATCTAGTGTTCATTGTTTGTTCATACTATTAACTAACATTAACTTATACCAGGGGACCCCAAACTTTCTTCAGCCTGCGACCGCCAAAATGACAATGCCAGTGACTTGCGACCCCCAATATCCTCTGAGGTGGTTATAAATTCGAAAACCTTGCATGCAATGGCACACACACACCAACTCACCCACGTATATTCTTCGTAATTTTTTTTTAATGTATGTGAGTGTTGTAAACAGGCCAGAAGTTTAACCTGGTGTTTTAAAATCAATCTTCTGCGTCTCACGCTATTGCTGTGTCTTTAATATAATGTAATTACCCCAGGGGTCGCAGTCCAATAGAACAAGTAACTAAGCTACTATAGTTACTATATAGTATATAGGAATTATAAACGACTATTTTCTCTTCAGTAGGTTATGGATAAAATATGGTAATTCTTATGGTTTAATAAAAATAAATAGATTTTCGGAAATCACCAGGCAATCCCCCTTCATTGTCCCGCGACCCCTCGAGGGGTCCCGACCCCCACTTTGAGAACCACTGACTTATACAACCCTATTCTAAAGTGTTACCCAAATCAATAAATAAATCAGACCCATAAGGCAAAAATAATTTCTTTTAATCAAAACATCTGTAAATAAATGCTAGATTAATAGTATTTTGAATTGCGACTTTAAAAATTGAGGTCAAAAGTATCACTCATACCTTCATGTGATAAGACAATGAACTTGGATGGCTTCACCGTTTTCCCATCTAGTATCCAGGTGATGGCAGCTTGGAGGTCAGAGGTCACCTGACACTCTAACCTCAGCCTCTCTCCATCCACCACAGTGATGTCACTGAGAGGCTGTTTGAAAACCGGTGGCTTTCCTGCATCCTTCTCTCCTCCATTCACAACTTTCTTGTCATTAGACTCTGTTATCTGTCCATCACTTGTCTTCTTCTCCGGGCTGGATTTCTCCTTTTTTCCAATTGTCCCTGCATCAGTTTTGCTGTCTTTTTTCTCTGTTGTTGTTGTTGTGTTTTCCTTTAGAGTACTCTTTTTATCAACTGCACCACCATTGACTCCATTGACACCACTTTGCTTTTCCTTCTGAGGTGTCTTTGGTGCTGGTTTTGTGGAGTTCTGTTCTTTTTCCTCCGTCTTCACGGATTCTGCTGCTTGTTTCTTGCTCAGGACAGACCTGAAGTCTGAAGGTCCGCGGCTTGGGGGTGTTGTGGCCACAGGTGCTTTGGAAGAACCATCTTTTTTATTGAGCAATGATCTAAAGTCAACCTTTGCAGGTGTGCTAGTTTTGATCTCAGAACCCGGCTTAGGCCCAGAGCTGGGTTTTAGAGCTGCCCTAAAGTCTGTCATCTGTCTTCCTTTGCTAACTTCTAGAAAATAAAAACAAACATATAAAAAAACCCTCCTTTGGCAGGAATTTCTTGAAAACCCAAAAGCTGTAAATGAATATCGACGTCCAGATGAAGCAACGTTTCTGTAGGATCCCACTGGAGGTGCTGCTCTTTCTGTGGCTTTCGGTCACTGTGCAATTCTCTGCTCCCCGGACTCAAAGCACTCCTGGGACAACCCCTCTGGACCACAATGAAAGAGGGAGGAGAGAATAGAGGATAGAGAGAGAAATGAGAGGGTGGGGAGAGTGGAATGGGATTGTTTAAAAGCTTAGACTCCATTCTATAATAGGTTAATTGGAGACACGGACACATTTCATATCTGTGTGGCAACAAAGGGGTGGTTGTGTGTGTGTGTGTGTGTGGGGGGGGGGACCCATTACCTTATTAGGGCAGCACTTCCAGTGCATGGGCATTGACAAAGGGGAGCAGAGCTTGGAGGTAAACAGATGAACAGATAGCATCAGAATCTGATCCATTCTTGATACAAACACAGATAAAGATCTTGAGCCTGACTGGAAAAACAGCAAGAACCTTTTCTTATTGAATGTTTAACAATAAAAGAAGAGACTGTTGCTTTGGTCTTTGGAAAGAAAGCAGAAATAAAGCATTCTGGTTTATTGTGTGGGTGTTTCTTTGAGTGTGTAACTTTTTGACCCCTGAGGGCTTTTCATTGGGCAATTGTGAAGATGCACTTCACCAATCAGAGTTGAGTTGCATGTCTCCAACAGTTTATATTATAACATTACACGGGCAGCCTTATATGGCTACGAACCTCTCTGTTACTCTTCTACTCGTCTTGTGTGTGTGTGTGTAAGATGGACACAACATGGGAATGTCTTCTAGATAAAATAGCTTCCTGTGCTGTTTTGCTTCAACAAGAGGTGAAATTGTGAGGGAAATTTCCATTGCTGCTACTTTGAAACAGCCAAATGTGCATCCTTACATTGACTTTATGTATAAATCCAATCACAGAGGTCTTAGGAATAATCGTAATAATGAGATTGGATGTGATGTCATGAGTCATAGTGGGCAGGTCGGCAAAATCTGATTGAAGACAACATTAAAAATCTAAAAGAATGCCACAAAGATACTTTTGAAAATGTGGAACCTTTCAATTAAAAATTCTCTAATAAGGAATTATTTTTATACTTAATCTGAAGACACAATAAATATAATATTTAATAGAAATCCCGAATATGTTCTTCATGAAGCCATCAATGCAATGTACCGTAATGTACTGTAGAAGTCTGAGAAGTAATACACGTTTTAAATAGTAAATAAAACAAAATACCCTAGCAACACATCACTTTTGTTTGGATCAACAAAAACTCTGGTCAGCAAAATCCAGATTCTATTGTTAGCAATGATACAATGGTTAAAGCATGCGTCATGAAACGCTAGTTAGTTCTGCTTCTTACTGGGAATATAAATTCGGTTGTGCCACATAAACATTAACCAGACTTATTAGAAACATAAAGAGGGATCATCTATTTTTTGAACTGCCACCCATGTTATCATCAGTCATTTCTATAGCTTTACTCTGCTGTAAACAGCTCTTACAGTCCTCTAAAAATGTAACTGTGCTAAAGTGTTAATGTAACCACACATGGAACCTTTTCATTCCACAAAAGGTTCTTTAGAGAAAAGGGATCTCAAGATTATTAAACATTATTAAATCTCCACACTAAGAAAACATGGTTATTTTAAGATCAATTGAACTTCTCAGCTACATACTTCAGAGATATGCAGCTGAAATCCGAATTATAAGCCCCCCTTTGAATTTTTTTGTTTTTTAAATATTTCCCAAATGATGTTTAACAGAGCAAGGATATTTTCACAGTATGCCTGATAATATATTTTCTTCTGGAGAAAGTCTTATTTGTTTTATTTTGGCTAGAATAAAAGCAATTAAATTTTTTTTAAACACCATTTTAAGGACAAAATTATTAGCCTCTTTAAAGAATTTTTTTTCGTCAGTGCCTAGTTAACCTGTTTAAATTAATTAAAGTTGAGCCTTTAAATGTCACTTTAAGACTTTAAATCACTTTTAATATTGAAAAATATCTAGTAAAATATGATTAACTATAATCATGGCAAAGATAAAATAAATCAGTTATTGGAAATGAACAGATTTATGTTACAGAAAAATGTTAAATACAAATTTAAAAAGAGAGGAAAAATCAAGAGAAGCAAAAAAAAAAAAAGGAATTGTTGTAATTTTTTTGCCATATTTTGCTTGAATTAAATTGTTTTATCGTTCAATTTCTAAATATGTTTTGGTGACTAAAATATTATTACAATAAATATATCTGTTTTATAAATCTGTTTTGTTTAAACGCACCAACATACATGACCTATATTCACTGAGAAATGAATACAAATATTTATTTTCAAAATGGGGTGTACTGAGTTATGCTGAGCACTGTATGTATGCTCAGGTTTATTTACAGTAACAAGGAAGCTTAGATGTGGAGTACAAAATGTGCATTTAAATAAATAAATTAACACCTATATAATTTCACAGCATCACTGTAAAAAATGATGGGTTCCACACAATTCCCTCATGTTGTTCTAACACAAATAAATTCAGTTAACTTAACTGTTTTTACAAATTTAAGTTGATAGAACATAAAACAATTAAGTTGTTCCCAAAAAAACTGGAGAATTTTGCTGATTCAGATAATTTTAAATAAGTTGTTTGACAATATATTATACAGTACAAAATTAATATGTGGTAAGAAAATCTACAAAACGAGTTTACTTTTGGGGCAACACGGTGGCTCAGTGGTTAGCACTATCGCCTCACAGCAAGAAGATCACTGATTTGAGTCCCAGCTGCGTCAGTTGTCATTTCTGTGTGGAGTTTGCATGTTCTCCCTCTGTTTGCGTGGGTTTCCTCCGGGTGCTCCTGTTTACCCCACAGCCCAAAAACATGCGGTATACGTGAATTGAATGAACTAAATTGGCTGTAGTGTATGTGTGTGAATGAGTGTGTATGGATGTTTCCCAATGCTGGGTTGCAGCTGTAAAGGCATCCGCTGTGTAAAACATATGCTGGATAAGTTGGAGCTGTGGCGACCCCTGATAAATAAAGAAACTAAGCTAAAGAAAAATTCATAAATGAATGAATGAGTTTCCTTGTAGTACACTCTGAGAATGTACTTTAATAAACAACAAAATAAATCAATGTGGTAAAGTAAATATACTTTTAAGATCACTTTTTGTTTAGTTTCAGCACAAGCAAAACATTTAAAGTATACTTTTATAAATTAAAAAGTCCCAAATTATACACCTACACTGTATTTGACCTTAAATTTACAGTAATTTACTGGCTAATAATTGCATTACTTTCACAGTGAGGTACTGTAAGTAAGTTCACAGTAAATTATTGTGTTGTACTTTAAAACAACAATAATTCTGTAAATATTTCTAAACATAAAAAGTGCCTGTACTAGCATAAACGGTAATTTGTATTCATTTATATGTTCAAGAAAATATTAATAGTGTTTGAATTCCTATAACTAACGTGCTAAAGATATAGCCATTTTATAGTAATTAGCAGTAATCATCATGCCTGCCTCTATTTCACAATAAAATTCTGAATACGTAAAATTTAATAGTTTAATAGTTTAATAATATTTAATAATATTTATAATATAATAATATTTAATAGTTTAATAATATTTAATAATAGAGAGAGTTTAAATTTAATAATATTTAAATTTAATAGTTAATTCTTGTAAAGTGACACTAATGTAATTTACTGGGTAAAAATTACAGTAACATCTTGTAAAATTCTTCTACAGTGTACAGCTAAAATTAACTATACATAATAAAATAACAGTAAAGAGTTTACTTCGTTTTGTAGAAAATATAAAAATTTAAACAGTTCCATTTCAGTAACCTGTAAATAATTACTAATTTATAAACAATAAGTGCTAGGTTTACACTGAACATCTCACACATACTTTGCTTGTATTTATTTGCACAGACCCCAAACTAGTGACGTGTGACTTTATCTAACCAGTGTTTATTGTAACAAGTATTTCTAAACATTTAAAAACAGTCTATCAATAATTATTTACACAAAAGTCATTGTACTGTTTTTTTAAAGAACTCATTACTTATAAATGACTTTAAAACTGTATATCAAGCTATACATATAAAAATCAAAACATAAAGTAAAACCTTTCAGTACATGTTCCATGTGAGAAATAACAGAATAAAACCAGCTAGGGGAAAAAAAACAATGTTCTAGAATGAAGAATATACATATATTGGATAGCTATTTCTTTTTAAGGTATGATAGCAGCAGTTTATATAACAGAATGAAAATATATCTGTGCCAAAGTAGAAATTGCAATATTATTGAATCTAGATTTAATTAGAATCTAAATTTAGGTCTAAACCATGCTTGCTGCTTTGAAAGTGTAATATAATTACATATTTATATGGACAAAAATACAGTTGATCTGAATCAACCCATAAAAAGTTTATCATTATTGTTATTACTGATTTAATAAACACAAAATACGATAAATTGAAGAATTTTGTAAATCAGTAGTCATTGGGATCCATATGGGGAAAAATACTGTGGATGTAAATGACCACAACATTCTTCAAAATATCTTCATTTGTGCTCAACAAAAGAAAAACACTCATACAGGTTTAAAACACGTGGATGATGAGTTTTTATTTTTATTTTTTGGTGTCCCTTTTATTCAAATCTTTACATATTTAATTTGACTAAATCTATACTAATAAAACCAGTCTCAGTTTAAATTATTTGATTTTCAGTTGATATTTAAATGCATAAATGTGAACATACAGTTCGGTACACTAAATACAAAAAGGGTTAATGTCACAGATAATCATGCTGATGTCCAAAAAAATGCCAAAACAAGAGTAAACAAATGATATAATAAACATATTTTTCCATCTTATTAATTGTGACAATACACATGAAACTGTAAAACAACAGTGGGTGTGCCAGGAATTGTGGGCATCCTTTAAGATCCATATACCAGATTGGTGTTAACTCTATATGCTTTATGTCTGGGAATGGAGAGGTTCTCGTTTAGGGAAGACGAGCAAGGGAACACTGTTTACAGATCAGCCTGTGTGGTCTTTCTTCTTTTGAGACCAGAACCTTATATGTGCATGAAGACTCAGACCTCCAGATCAATCAGCAACTCTCATACCAGTCGTGAATCAGGGCCTCTGCATACTGTTCAACAATGGGTCTTTCATACTGTGTTGTAATATACTGTTGCAGGCAAGACTTTGAAAGACGGTTGTTAGTAATATCATCTGTTCATGATTTGTTGTTGCTACATATGTCACACCTAAAATTGGTTGTGCAAACCAATTTTAAAATCGCTGATAATGCTATTTTTTCGATTTCAGTTATTTCAAAAGTTATTTAAAGCTATTTATTAAGTTATTTAAAAATGTGTTCAATATGCAATTCATATTTGAACATATTTTCTGAGTCAAACGCAATTATTTTTACATTGATAATGTTTAATGTAATGCTTTTGTTAAACATTTAAAAATATTTATTCATTCATTTTCTTTTTGGCTTAGTCCCTTTAATAATCTGGGGTCGCCACAGCGGAATGACCCGCCAACTTATCCAGCATATGTTTTATACAGCGGATACCATTTCAGCCGCAACCCATCTCTGGGAAACACATACACACGCACACTCATACACTATGGTCAATTTTAGCATACCCAATTCACCTGTACTGCATGTCTTTGGACTTGTGGGGGAAAACCAACGTGAACACGGGGAGAACATGCAAAATCTGAAGTGAGCCAGCCGAGGCTCGAACCAGCGACCTTCTTGCTGTGAGGCAACAGCACTACCTTATGCACCACCTCGTCGCCCCATTTCACTTTGTATGATCTGATTTTTAATTTAAATATCAGTATCACATATTAGCCAGTCTGCTTAATGTTAACACTGGTGCACAGATATTTTCCTTGCTATAAAAAACTTTGCAAGTACATGCCAATTTACACTAACCCTAACCTAACGGCCTACCAATAGTCTAATAAGATTTAGTTGGGATGTAGTTGCACAGTAACTTACAGTCAGCAAATTTGCTAAGTTATCCTTCAAAATAAAGTGTTACTCAATATAACCTTTTCAAAGATCTCATTCGTAGACATCTTTAATTGACACAATCTCATTCATTCATTCATTTTCTTGTCAGCTTAGTCCCGTTATTAATCCGGGGTCGCCGCAGCGGAATAAACCGCCAACTTATCCAGCAAGTTTTTTTACACAGCGGATGCCCTTCCAGCCACAACCCATCACTGGGAAACTTGTCACAATCTCAAGTGTTGTTAAATCGTTTACAATCTATACATACACTCACAGGCACTTTATTAGGTCCACCTTACTATGACCACGTTGGACCCCCTTTTGCCGACATAACTGCCTTAATCCTTCATGGCATAGATTCAACAAGGTACTGGAAATATTCCTCAGAGATTTTGGTCCATATTGACATGATAGCATCACACAGTTGCTGCAGATTTGTCGGATGCATATCCATGATGCAAATCACCTGTTACACCACACCTCAAAGGTGCTCTGGTGACTGTGGAGGCCATTACAGTACAGTGAACTCATTGTCATGTTCAAGAAAGCAGTCTGAGAAAATTCACGCTTTATGACATGTTGCGTAATCCTGCTGGAAGTAGCCATCAGAAGAAGCGTACACTGTGGTCAAAAAGGGATGGACATGATCAGCAACAATACTCAGGTAGGCTGAGGCTCAATTGGTACTAATGGGCCCAATGTGTGCCAGGAAAATATGCCCCACACCATTACACCACCAGCCTGACCCGTTGATACAAAACAGGATGAATCCATGCTTTCATGTTGTTTACACAAAATTCTGACCCAACCATCCGGATGTCGCAGCAGAAATCGAGACTCATCAGACCAGGCAACATTTTTCCAATCTTCTATTGTCCAATTTTGATGAGCGTGTGTGAATTGTAGCCTCAGTTTCCTGTTCTTAGCTGAAATGAGTGGCAATGGTGTCGTTTTCTGCTGCTGTAGCCCATCCGCCTCAAGGTTCGACATGTTGTGCGTTCAGAGATGCTCTTCTGCATACCTCAGTTGTAACGAGTGGTTATTTGAGTAACTGTTGCCTTTCTATCAGCTCGAATCAGTCTGGCCATTCTCCTCTGACCTCAAGCATCAACAAAGCATTTGTACCCACAGAACTGCAGCTCACTGGAGGTTTTCTCTTTTACGGGCCATTCTCTGTAAACACTAGAGATGGTTGTGTGTGAAAATCCCAGTAGATTTCTGAAATTTCCTACAGTTTCTGAAATACTCAGACAAGCCCGTCTGGCACCAACAACCATGCCACGTTCAAAGTCACTTAAACCAACTTTCTTCCCCATTCTGATGCTTGGTTTTAACTGCAGCAGATTGTCTCGAGTCTCGACCATGTTTACATGCCTAAATCGATTGAGTTGCTGCCATGTGATTGGCTGATCATAAATTTGCATTTACAAGAAGTTGGACAGGTGTACCTTATAAAGTGGCCGTTGAGTGTATACTGTAGTATAAACCATTTACATCGCTGTAGTATACTCTATGCTATTTTTATGTTAACTTCGTTATTTAAAATGATTTTAGGTTGCCTAAAATGATAGGTAGCCTATGACATTTGAACACACTTCTGATGCCATTAAAATGTATTTTATACATATATATATATATATATATATACAAAATGGTATATATATGTATATATTTTTTTTAAATAATGTTTTTCTTTATTAAAAAAATATTTGTACACATTTTGTAGCTCAAGACATATACAAATAGCAAATATAACAATTATAATTTGTTTAGATTATTATTTTTTTTAAATAAAGATTTTACTTTTTACCGTCTCAAAAATTTAAAGCCACCTTGAAATTTATTTTTTAATTTTGTTATAAAAAAGCTTCCATAGACTCAGATGTCGTTTAATTAAATCTAGGAAAGTTGTAATTAAGACTACACTGAGGAAACAAGATTAGGTCTGCCATCTTGTGGTAGATTTTGACCTAAATGTTTGCTTGTGACATAAAAGGAGGGGGAAACATTAAGAATATATCCAGTCATCTGTCTGAAATAGCCAACATGTAATCACGGGGCCGGATTGTGATTCTTTATTTAAATCGTTTTAATGCTTGTTTGACCTAAATATGAGAGAACTGGACAGTCTTTGACCCATTAATTCCTCTAAACATCATCGTCCCAGAATGACACGTCACGGGTGGGCGGGATTACAGTACACTCACTTCCGCGTTACTGTACTGAATGGATTTTATGAAACTGGTCTGTTAAGGTTAAATTGTACTAGTTTGGGCTCGCTGTTGCGATTTTCGGAAAAGTTAGAAGAAGTGTTTTATAGACTAAACAAAATGTTTAACTAGTTATTTTATAAACAGACGTGATAACAAAAACTGGACGTGAAATAATCCGCGAATTAAATTTCAATTCAAGTGACTACATCATAACTGAAAGATGTTAAAAGCGATTATCCTAATTGGGGGCCCTCAAAAAGGTAAGACATCAATTACATTTTTAACATACTATAAATAATAATAATGTCATGAATGAAAATAAATGACACCACAACAATTGTTATCACGCATGATGACGTGGCGCAAAGGACGTAGCTTTACGTGACACCGTAATCAGCTGTATTGTCTGTTTGTATCAAATAACTGGCAAATTAAGTGTTTAAAGTAACAGTTCATCCCCAAATCTTAAAACTCTCTCATCATTTACTCATTTATTTGTCCCAAACTTTATCAGTTTTCTTTTGTATGTTGCGTGAAGATGTTTTGAAAAATGTTGGAAACCTGTAACTATTGACTTCCAGTATTAGTATTTTCCCCTACTGTGGACGTCAATGGTTACATGCTTCAGGTTTCATCAAAATATCTTCTTTTGAGCTCAACAAAAGAAACTGATAAAAGTTTGGAACCACTTGAGGGTGTGTACATTTTCATTTTTTGGGTGAACGATCCCTTTAAAATGTATTTGAAAAAGATTTTCATTAAAATGATTTGCCCCCCACAGGTACCAGGTTCCGCCCCCTGTCATTTGAGGTGCCCAAACCTCTTTTCCCTGTAGCAGGAGTTCCAATGCTGCAACATCACATTGAAGCCTGTGCCCAAGTGAGATACTTTACAGTTTTAAGTTATGTTTTGGTCACATGTCCATATATCAACATATTTCAATGTGAAATTAATATATATATATATATATATATATATATATATATATATATATATTGAACTGTGTTTGCAACAATAGATATCTTCTCTGAAAGTCTCCCACATTTGCTTCCTTTACAGGTTCCTGATATGAAGGAGATCATACTAATAGGCTTTTATCAGCCCAACGATGAGCTGAACCGCTTCATTTATTCTGCTCAGCAGGAGTTTAAAATCCCAATCAGGTAGGTTTGAAATTTTATCATTAAATAAAAACAAAGTAAATAGTTTTTAATGTATTTTAATGTGCAGTGTTTTAGGTAAGATACTTCAAGAGAGTAATTAACTACTAATTACATAATTATAGTTGTTTTTACTGTAAATTACTTTTCTAATTGTTTTAAACAGAATTACGTACAAAATAGAATAGCTAAACATTATTAGTATCGAAACATGAAACTTTTCAAAGCAGTGACAAAATATTACATTATTTAATCTTTTCAATGTCTAATTTCTTATTTATTTAATTGTTTCTTAAGCTTGTGAAATCATATTGATGAATGTAACCTTCTTTAGATGTAAAATATAATTATTCATGAAAATAAATTTGAATAACAAAAAAACAATTTCTTTGCTTCTCTGAAATTATTTATTCAGAATTTTTTAATTTATTAACACTAAGGCAATTAAATTGTAAGTAAATGTAATTAAATTATTCAAATAGGAACAATAATATTCTACTTTACATTTTCAACAACAGATAAGTAATTAAATTACATTAACTAGTTACTTTATAAGTAATTTCACCCAACACTGATTAAATGATATGATGCTACTATAGTTTTGGCTGGTTGGGTTATATTTTTTGCGTGCAAAATAATGTCCCAGAAATTATGTTATTGGAATTTTAAGATAATTTGTGCCACTGTTTATGTAATTATGATAAAATAGTGTAGTGGTTCAATTATCTACATACAACACAGGGTAAACAAACATCTGTTTCATTAATTTATATTTACAAGATTCAACATATTTCAATGTGAAATTAAAATATATATATGTTTTTACAATTTAATTAAAACTAAATTGAAACAAATCTAAAATCAAGTAAATAAGTGAATAATTTAAATAAAGGAGATATCATAAAAACTATTTAAGAATTTGTCTGTGCCTTCTTCCTATTTATTTATTTATTTTGACAAGATCTTGATATAATGCTCAACAGACCCTCACATCATGATCATCACATACAATGACAGTACATTATAGATTTATTAGACCTTTAAATACATAGGCTTAAACATGCAGTTGCTCTTCTCTGAATCCAAAGGTACCTGCAGGAGTTTGCTGCTCTGGGTACAGGTGGTGGGATCTATCACTTTCGTGACCAAATCCTGTCCGGGGGCCCGGCTGCTTTTTTCCTCATGAATGCAGATGTATGCTCAGAGTTCCCCTTGCTAGAAATGCTCCAGTTCCACCGTCAGCATGGTGAAAATCATTGTGGAGTCCTACTTGGAACTACAGTAGGTCTAAGTTTCGTAAATGTGGGAGTGCATAATGTGAAACTAAGTATTTAATCTAAACATCTTACCTTTCTTTCTCATTGTAGGCAAATCGAACACAATCTCTGAACTACGGCTGCATTGTGGAAAACCATGAGACAAATGAGGTATAAATAAGAATGCTTGAACTTTAACTCATATGCGGTGTAAGGTTAGTAAATATAAGCAATGTAAAGATAATGGAACACATGTACATAAGGTTAGGTTAGCTCACTCCAAAACTTGAAGATTAGTTTTTATTTATAAGTGAACAGTCTAGATATTGACAGGAAGTGAAGTGGGAGAGTGAGAGGGAAATGGGATCATGAAAGGTGTTGGACAGGATGCCCGCAGTGCAGTTGCACTAACTACTAGGATATCAGCATCAACCAAATTGGAATAATAATGTATTCAATCTCACATAGTTTCGAACTCATTGTACGTATATTATTCCTTTGAACACAAATGAAGTTATTTTAATGAATCTGAAAGGTTTCTGTCCTTATAAAAGTCAATACACCGAAATATTCAGAGAATTTTTGCTTGATATGCGAGAACATACCAGGTTCATTCTTGCTTGTTAAACCAGCACACTTAAACTACTTTAAGAACTACTAGCAAAATAGTTTTGAATGTCAAGTAAAATATTGTTAAACTTCTGTTCTGTAAAACATGGACTAAACAGATATTTTAAGGTGGCACAGAAGAGACTTAAAATGACAGAAAAAATAATAATAATAAAATTTTGCATTCTGAAGGTGAACAGACGTTTTATGGGTTTGGACATGAGTTAAGAAATGATGACAAACCCTTTAAGAAAATACTGATTCATACAAGCTAACTGTCTCTTATTTTCTTTTAGGTGCTCCATTTTGTAGAGAAACCCAGTACTTTTGTAAGCGACATCATCAACTGTGGCATCTATTTGTTCACCCCAGATATTTTTGCCCATATTGGGAAAGTTTTCCAGAGGAACCAACAAGAGAAGATCCAGTGAGTGCCACGGACATAAGTCAGCCTCCAAACCACTTTGCACTTCTCACTGGACAGATTTATGTGTTTAAAAATAGGTCACTCTGACCTGTTGTCACTAAAATATATATATTTTTAAAAAAACAGGGAAGAGCTCACTCATGGCAGGCAGATGCCAGAGGTGGTTCGGCTGGAACAGGACATTTTTACAGCCCTAGCAGGACAGAAAAAACTCTTTGTCTATAAAACACAGCACTTCTGGAGTCAGATAAAGTCTGCAGGGTAAATCTGACTTTTTTCAATTGTTATCTTGCATCCCTTCGCTGCCACTATTCTTTATATATGTGCTTTTATAATTCCATACAGGTCAGCAATATATGCTAGTCGCTTGTACCTCAAACAGTATCATCAGACTCATCCGGAGAGACTGGCCACAAACCAAGGTGGAACCCCCAAAATAACAGGTACTGAGATGGTCTGTTTCTGAAGTTTAACTGTAAATAAATGAAACATAATTGACTTGTGTATAAACAATTTTTACTGACAGTTTGGACATTTCCTTAAACTGAATTAGATGTGAAATTTTAATGTTTTGACCCTGAACGAATTTGATTTTTAAATGAATCAAGCTGAGCTAATGAATTAATAAAGACTTGCTTAGTTTCTAAAACAAATCAGCAATTTTGAACAAATCTTTTGAATGAATGATTCATTGAAACACTCATTGAAGGGATAGTTCACCCAAAAATGACATTTCTTTTGTCATTTACTCACCCTTTACTTATTTCAAACCATTTTTTTCCTTCTGTTTAACACAAAACACACCAGTGCACAAAGCAAGGTATATAAAGAATCTGACTGGCCTGCACAGAGTCCTAACCTTAAACCGAATGAACACCATTTTGTTGAATTAGATCAGAGACTATGAGCAAGGCCTTCCCATCCATCATCAGTGCCTGACCTTACAAAAGCACTTCTAGAAGTATGGTCAAAAATTCCCATACACATGTTATGCTAATATGGCCAAATCCATATTAAACGTTATGGATTAATAATTTGGTGTCATTAAAGTTCATGGACATGTAAAGGCAGATGTTACAAAACTTTTATAATAACTTTATTTGGTTAATTAATTCATTTATTTAAAGTAAAGCTATGAAGCCACTTAAAAATAGTTGTTTTTTTCTTCAACAGGAGATGTTTATATCCATCCTACTGCAAACATTGATCCTTCTGCTGTGGTAAGTGCTGTACAGGAACAACAATGTATATAAAGACAGTTCTACATACTCATTTTCTTTCTCCCTTTTTAGTTAGGTCCTAATGTTTCCATTGGCAAAGGGGTGACAATTGGAGGAGGTGTAAGAGTGAGGGAGTCCATCATTTTACATGGAGCCGTGTTACAGGTGAAGAGAATCACTGCTCTGTTCAAATGTGCATCAAAGAATAGACGATAGAAATACATGCCAAAATGATCCTTAAATATCTGGGCTTCTGTTTCAGGACCACTGTTGTGTGTTGAACAGTATTGTTGGCTGGGACAGCACAGTGGGGAAGTGGGCAAGAGTGGAAGGAACTCCAAGTGACCCTAATCCCAATGACCCGTATGCCAAGATAGACAGTGAGACTCTGTTCAGGGACGGAGGTCTGACCCCATCCATCACCATCCTTGGTATGAACATCTGCTTGACTCTGGTTATAATAATATAATATAATATAATATAATATAATATAATATAATATAATATAATATAATGTAATATAATGTAATATAATATAATATAATATAATATAATATAATATAATATAATATAATATAATATAATATAATATAATATACCATTGTGTTTGTTTAAAGACATCTGGACTGCATTTATTTAATTCTGTTAAGTATTATTACATTGAAAGTAACTGTTCTCAATTTTTAAAATATAAAAAAATAATACACTGTTAAATGTAATAAGTTGACCTTACTTGGTAAAAATTGAGGAAACCGATTGCCTTAAAATTTCCAAATAAAGTAGTGTGTTAATTTTAAGTGAGCTTAACTTAAAACAGTTTGTATTTACAACTTCTTAATAAAGTAAACTTCAGTACCGTTGGCTCGAAATAGTTAGTTGTGTTAACTTCTTGTTATAGGTGGGCATAGATACATTTTTTTAATCTAGATTAATCTCACTGTAATCTTAGAATTAATCTAAATAAAAATAGCTCATTTAAATTCTGCCATAGGCATTCAGAATATGTGTGCTACCTAAATAATGACTAAAAGTAAGTCTTTGAGAATGGGTTTCTCAAGCCAGATGGCGCATTAGACCAGGGGCTCATCTCCTGTTTCCAAAATGCATCACAAACTGCATGAGAAACTATTCTACTATGATAATTGGTGATGAAAATTAATTATGTTCAATAATTATTGAAGTTGAATTGTTAAACACCGCAATCAAACTATTACTGCCATATTTTCCGACAAGATCCACACACACAGCTGTCGGTAAAGGACCACACACACACACACATCGCAAAATGTGGAAGTTTTTTTTCTTTCCATTCGGCATGCTTTATTAAATTAGTTAGTGCTTTATCATAAGTTAACTGCACTTAATTATATTAGTATCTGATTTTTCTGATTTTTGATCAGCCAAGTCACATGATCGTTAAGAAAGTATTTTAATAAACTAATTTGGTGCTTAATGCTTCATTATTATATGAATTTGTGGCATAACAGCAACATAATATGACATACCATTTTGTTTTAAAAGTAAATATTTACTGATCAAGAAGACTGCATTCTGTTAAGTAATGCGTCAGTGGAAAATAACTGTTTTTATTTAATATGATTTAATATTTCTATTATACGCCAAAAGTCACCAAATTCCTCAGAAATTGTTCTCTTATTAAACTCATTTAGTGCTCATTAAACATTCCCTATTTTGCATTTAATGTAATAATCTATGGTGTTTTAAAAATTCTTTAAACAATTAAACTTAGATGTAAAGGTAAATGGAGTCCAGAAGGTGGAGCTGTTCCTTAAGACATAACAATGAATCGTTTCACTGCTGTATTTATCTTTTTCCACAAGTTAGTCTGAGAATCTGCACTATTATAACAGTTAAAATCTTTTCTTTTATATATATATATATATATATATATATATATATATATATATATATATATATATATATATATATATATATATATATATATAAATATTGTTCACACCAGATGTTTTTGCCCATATTGGGAAAGCTCTGGAACCAGCAAAAGAAGATCCAGTGAGTGTCACTGCATAAGATATAGATACATTTTATTTTTTTCTATATATCTTTTCCTATAGGCTGCAATGTGAATATTCCATCAGAGGTCATCATTCGAAACTCTATCGTCTTGCCTCATAAAGATCTCAACAGGAGCTTCAAAAACCAGATCATTCTCTAAAAGACACTTTTCTCTTTTCTTGGGAATAAATATTGCACAATGGGGGATGTAGAAAGTATATAGTATTGTTTATAGTTTATTTTTATGTAATGTTTAGGTACTTGGAGAAAATGTGTCTACATATGGAAGCAGATTGTATTACAGTAGTATAGTGTAAATTATATGGTTGAACAACTGGGGATTTTCCTGATAAATTTCAGGATTGGATATTTTGTATTTAATGACTCTGCTGATACACCAGCCTTACACGCACTGACACAACATTAGATTTGAGTGTTAATGGTTTTATTCTTAATAACAAATGACACATATTATACCTGTATTGCCTTTTCCACAAAATGATGAGAGATTAGGTCATTTTTGTTTGTCTTTCTTTAGAAAATGACAAATTTGAAGGGACATAGTGTTTTTTTGGGCAGAAACAAAACTTTTGTTGTTGTTGATTATCGCTTTATTCTGTTACAACAGTTTATTAAAATAATCTTAACACAAGTTGAGAGTTTATTATTCCAAACTTCAGAGTTTGCTGTGAGCATAGCTTGAGATTCAAATATTAATAAAAAATTGTCTGGATTCAATCACTTTAAATACTAAAATTGAACACTGAGGGTAAAAAATGGTTTGTTGTCCCAACACAAATCATTTAAAGAGCCCATATTATGGGTTTTTGAAAATTCCCCTCCATGTAGTGTGTAACACAGCTCTAAGTGAAGTAAAGTATCCAGCTAAGGCTTAAATCTGTAAGAATACAGTGTTTAAAACTGTTGATTCATCTATAAAAGAGTCGACTCATAGTGCTTCAAACGAGTCGCCTTGATACTGATTCATTAGGTGTTTCGCCATGACGTACGAACGAAACCAAGTTATTCACGTGCACGCGCAAACCCGGGAGATTTCAAACCTGAGGCCCCGCCCTCTGACGCAGAAACCCAGACACACACACACACACACACACCCACAAACACACGCACACACAAACATGCCGGTCGATTAAAGTCACACTGCAGATGGATATATTGAGTCTCTACCCAAAGATGAAACCTCAGCATTATAGCCAAGCAGTTGGAAACTACTGGAAACTTCTAGAAGCTACATGCTACAAAGAATACTTCATCAGCGTTTGTTAAAGGAAGGATCAGTAAAGAGTAACTTAATGATGGACGTCAGGATGGATTTTTCTTCCTCCATTTCTCAAGTGTAAGTACGTGCGATTAAAGTTGCCTCGTTTACTCTAGCTTGCAAATGTATTTAGTTGTAATTTGTTACTTGTAACCGAGTGTACTGTATCAGGTTAACTGGCTATATTCTCTTATCGCGTGCAAAGTCACGTTAAAAACGCGACGCGTGCTGCTTTGTTAACGGAGCTCCGTGGACGAGGAGAAGTGTGTGTGTCTGTGTGTGCGTGTGCGCGCGCTGTCGTCCGGAGGTGTGTGTGTTTGTGTGTGTGTGTGTGTGTGCGCGCGCGCGCGTTGTCGTCCGGAGCAGGGTTAAGTGCGTGTGTGTGTGTGTGCAATATGTGTGTGTGTGTCTGTGAAAAGAGCAGAGTGAGAAGCTAGGAGATCTCCTCAACTGTTTTTGGAGTTTTTGCTCAATAAAATAGTTAGTCGTCTGAATTTTCAAGTCCATAGTCTGTATTTACATTGACCCACTGGCAGCTAAAATCCACGCCTACACTATTGAGCGTGCATGAACTGTGATTACTTTTATATTGCTGATTAGCTGTTTGGCTTTTCACTCTCTGACTGAAGGCAGTCGACCAATCGCAACAGGCTGTCATTGGTCCAATCAGCGCAGATTAGCTTCGCGCTAAGGAGGGGTTTGGGAACGAATGAATCACTGGACGATTCATACGGGAGTCGCTGAGATAATTAGGTAAAAATAAATGCAGATTATAAGACCATGAAAGTGTTTTTTGACCTTGCATGCATATTAAACTGTTGTTGGAGACCCTTACAACCAAGATATGACCCTATTTCATGTATAATATGGGCTCTTTAAGTTAACTTAGTTTTTACCAAATTTAAGTTGATTGAACTATGTAGATTGTGTCAAAGCTGTTTATACATAGAAGTCCTAGTAAATTTAAGTGAAGTTTATTTATAAGCTAATTATGAGAGGAGCACGCGCCTATGATTGATAGCAGCTGGTCAACATTAACTAACACTGATTCACCAATCAGACGCAGCCATCTTCGTCTTGAAGAATTCCCCCTTCCACCCCTACTCCTCCCATTTCCTTGTAAGGGCAACACGGAGGCCTAATGGTTACCATCATTGCATCACAGCAAGAATGTCACTTTCTCAGACACTGCCTGGCTAGGTTGGCATTTTTGTGCGGAGTTTGCCTGTTCTCCCTGTGTTTGCATGGGTTTTCACCGGGCTCTCCGGTTTCCTCCCACAGACCAAAAACATGTAACATAAGAAAATTGACAAAACTAAACTGACAGCATAGACACTCCATAGCATTTACAACCTACTTCCAACATTAAGAAGCAGGGGGAGTTCTCGAGACCCACCTGAACTCGGACTCCCTTCTCGCCCTGCAATTGGGGGGGAGCCCCGGGCTCGAGAATCACACAATCTCAGGGCTCTCTCCTGGGACAGTATGCCAAGCACGCTTCATAATCAATCATCAGCTAAGAGCAAACTCTTGAAAGTGAAACTGTGGCGAGGAACAAACTTCACCAAGTGACAACTCCTGAAAAACTCCTTTAACCAAACTACGTGTGCAGAGCTGCAGTCTAGGTGCTGGAGGCTGGAGAACGCTGAACGTCCATCGAGGAAAAGCTGCAGGTGTCAGTGGATCACTGGTACAGGCTGGCCCATGGGATCAATGCGAAGACTCATCTGTCACTGTGTCTTTTTAGAAATCAGTCACAGTCACATGCTCTCCACTCCACCATGACTGCCACAGCTTTTGCTCAGGATACGACCTGGTCAAGAGTTATGGAGATCTCTAGAAGTCCTTTATTGTTAGCATCATCTCTTCACAAGACTTGGATCAGATCAGTGGCACTGCATAATCTCTAGAGGCCTCAGGATGAGTATCCCCAGGTGAAAATAGAGAATGAAGAAAACAAATAGCGTAGCTGCTGTTTATGATGTTTTTAAACAAATGATATTTAATATAAATGCAAAAAAAGAAGTCCTATAAATGAAAATAGCAGTTAAATAAACAAACATGTAAAGCATGGGAATGTTTCTAACAACATAAAATAATTAGGTTGTCAAAATAAAAAACCTTAAAAATTGTGTTGTTTTAGCTTATTTTAAATAGAAAAAATATTTTTTTGAGTGTATATATTAACAAACATTTATGTTACACATTTTCTATTGTACAGGTCGAGGAGGTATTGTATTTATTTTCCTTTTTAATTTTATTATTATAATTTATTTAATTTTTGCCATTTACAATACTGTCTGTGGTTATCAGGTAGCATAACAAATTCATTTAGGGCTTACACAACACACATTTGCCATTTATTTCATTTATTTATTGATGGTCAAAGTGGCAATGCTGAACAGGTGAGATTGTCGGCACTGACATTTTCAAATAACATGTTCAAAAAACCTTTCCTATGTGACGGATCCCAGAAGTCAATTAAATCGCAGAAAAGGTCTCCTTATCGCATATTAAGTTCATTTGATTAATTTGTTTGGGAGAATGGCATATCGTACTGAAAGGCTACATGTTCTATAACATTACTATTTTAATAAAATATTACTACAATATGACAATACATTTGTACAACAATGTTGTCATTTTCTTTTGGGCTGTGTTGGGGGTCTTTAGAATACATCTGCAGAATATTTCTGAGCAAAACAGTTGCAAAAAAAATACATTAAAATAATACAATAGAAATAAAAAATAAATCAATCCTATGTCCAAACAAAAAACTTGAGGTCAATTACAAGTTGAAAATGTTAAGTTTTGTATTGATTTTAAAATATTGCTTTTTAGCTATAAAGCTTTAAATAATCTAGCTCCGGTTTATTATACCAACCTCGCTACAATCCAACCTGCTCTATATGATCTCAAAACTCAGGGCTTCTGGTAGTACCTCGAACAGCAAAGTCGAGTAAAGGAAGTCGAGGCTTCTCATTTATAGCTCCTGAACTCTGGAATAACCTTCCTGATAATGTCCGAGGCTCAGACACACTCTCACAATTCAAAACTAGATTAAAGACCTATCTTTTTAGTAAAGCATACACTCAGTGCATCACTTAGCGGTATGATGCATGTATATGCTTCACACATCTCGTTTATAAACACTATGAACAGCAGCTACGCTAATTATTGTCTTCATTCTTTATTTCCACCTGGGGATACTTATCACGAGGCCCCCAGAGACACTGCTGCGCCACTGATACGATTCAAGACCAGCAACAAGATGATCCCAAGGTTTCCACAATCATGGACCAGGCCGTATCCTGAGCAGCTGCCGTGGTGGTCATGGAGGAGTGGAGAACGTGAGACTGTGACACTCCAGGGACAGACGAGTCTCGCTGACGTCCAGCTTCTCCAGCCTCCGGCACCTATAGACTGCAGCTCTGCACAAGACCTTTGGTCTTATGAGAAATGGTTGCGCCTGTTTTTTTCTCAAGGTTTTTTAATTTTTCACTTTCGCCAATTGGTGAAGTTTTTTGCTCGCCGTTGTCGCCACTGGCTTGCATGGTACGAGACCTGTAAAGCTGCGTCTCAATGGATTTGCTCTTCAGTGTTTGGACTCTCAATAATGATTATTAATCCACACTGAACTGAGCTAAACTGAACTGAACCTAAACTCTGAAAACTGGACTACACTGTTTAAATTTACTATGATCTTCTAAGCTGCTTTGACACAATCTACATTGTAAAAGTGCTATAAAAATAAATGTAAATTTCAATTAATAATTTCAAATTATCAAGCATACTTCACCTTAAATTCTAGACAATATTAATATAATCCCGGCCATTTTGACCATATAAATAAATAAATAAATGTAACAGAGATCAGCTAGTGAAGTGCTGTACAGGTAAACCTCACTCCTCTGACCTCTAAAGGTGTTCTAGTGACAGACGCTAGGGGCCATGGTCTTTATCCTCCTTGTTAGAGCAACCGACTCTCATATGAAGAGTTCCCAGTTCAATCCCAGCTCAGAGCGGGTTGTGTGGTGTAGAACAGAGGATGTAGGCTGAAGCATGTATTTGCAATAATAAAATTAAAATAAATTTAAAGAGGGACTGAACTTACAATGAGACAAAAGCCCTGTCCTAATGCCCCCGATACCCATGATGACACATTTTCTGTATTTGGAACAAATATGCAAGTAGGGATGAATTTTTTTACTTTTTTTAAATGATAGTTTTTAATGTTGTTAGATCTGGTTAGTTTGATTCAAAGTGACTACATTTTTAAAAATCCCTGTGCAAGGAATTAATGAGAAAAGTGTTTCTGATCCCAAGATTGTTGAAAACGAGCACAGCTGCCCACTATTGCTTGCCAACACTGT